GTCAATGATCCCATGCTGTGGAAAACTCTTCCAGCAGAGATTTGGCAGACATCCTCGCTTCTGACTTTCAGTTGTCTCTTGAAGACTTTTTCATGGCAATAGACCTATGCAGCTGTTTAAACTTTTATTTTTAATTAGCCAGTCACCACACTACCCAGATATGATGATATAGGGGTATAAAAACTATCCCAAAAGCTCATTATATATAAATGGTCTTTTGAACAGTATTGCTCCTCTCCCCCTGCCGTTTACATATATTCCTAGCTGAGCAGTTAGCTTCACATGCAATTATGAATCGTAATACTTTCAGCTTCAGCGTCGCTGCAAAAACTTAAGCATTTACTGCGACTTACAACATAACTGGCACAGTAACAGAGCATTCTAATTATATACCAGTGCTTTATTGGAAAAAGGCTACACAAACTTAACTGAACAGGGCATGGTTTTCATAGCATTGTAATACTAAGATATATAGATGCAGTGATATATCAGTTGCAGCATAATTCAGGTTATCAGATATCCAAACTAATGAGAGTACCTTCTGCACTTCTGGCAAGAAATCCCACCAACCTGTCATTATAAATTACTGTAGGATGCTACTAGCAAGAGCTAGAAGACAGTTTAACACAGAGTATCATAGCTTAGTAAATGACAGGGAAGGTGGGTCTACCTCAGGGGTCTGCAACCTTTAAGACAAAAAGAGCCACTTGGACCCGTTTCCGAAGGAAAAAAACCTGGGAGCCGCAAAACTAGCGCACGCACCGCCCCCATGCGACGTCACAGCCAGTACAGCGCCCGCCACAGTGGGGAGTGTCGTGGCGCACAATGCGCCTCCTCCCCTCGCTAGTATCCGCCCTGGAGCCGCAGCAAAGGTGTAAAAGAGCCACACGCGGCTCCGGAGCCGTGGGTTGCTGACCCCTGGTCTACCTCATCAAACCAAGTTTTACAATGTCATTGACATCAAGATTGCTGTAAATAATGTATTCTACTTCAGTGCAGCACACATTAGTAAATGGCTAATTTGTGTCAACAGAAGTGGAATTTCAATGATCAGTACACCTGGAAATTTGGTTACATTGATGAAGACCACCGTCCCTCATGCCAAGTTTGGCAACAATATCTTGAGAAGTGACCAAACCTGTTCTTAAAAAGTGACGCTGAAGTTGTGTTTCGATCCACAACCTTGATATAAGATGGAAGAACTCAGAATTCAAATTGTGATGAAGTCTGATGCCCCACCTCAGGAACCTTCATGCCAAGTTTGCCAACAATATCTCAAGAGGTAGCAGAACTGATGCCAACAGATGTGTGAAATTGACATCTTGATTCAAAATGGCAGCTACCATCCAAATCTTGACTGCCACCCCCTGCCCGGAACCCCTTGTGCAAAATTTAGCGAGGATATCTTGAGAGCAGCCAAACCTAGAGAACAGATGGCACAGACAAATCACTCCCCCAAACTAGATTTTGATGTGAATTATTTGTGAAATAGGAATGTTTCATTTCTTCCCTCTACTCTCCAAAAGTAGAGATTGACACTTTTTGTCAGTTATTAACAAAAATACATTACTAGTAATGGAGCAAATCCTGAGTTTCAGAACCTCATTTTTAACAGCCGATAATGTTCCAGGAATCTTACAACTTTGCACATGTTCCTAGTACTCTAAGGCAAGAGGAGTTACCATCTTCTTCACAAGGAACCCAATCCCTTGGTATGTGATGTTTCACAATATAGCTATTCTATACAAAGATTCTATGCTAGGAATATAGATGTGGTTTCTGCCCTGAGTGTATTAAAATACTGTGGCTGAACGTAGCTTTTTGCTGGTTCAACATCAGGCTTTCTTTCTTTCTTTTTTAAAAGGAGTAACAGAACAAAATAGGTTAGACTTCATTTTCACTTCGGCAAAAGTATTTTTAATAATGCACTTTTTGACATTCCTGCAAGCTGCAAGGTACTTCAACTTAAGTTCCCTCAGAATGTTGTTTTTATTCTCTTAAACTTTGTGGAGTTTTTCCTCAAAACAGTAGATGAAGTAAACCTGTGTCTGCATGTATTACTTCTGAGTGCAATGAAGGCTGAGTGTTTTCTTCTTCACCCCTCAAAATTTCTATAAATAGAAAGCAAGCACATCAAGGAAAAAGGCTCTGTTACAATCTTCCCAACTTGTTTTCTATGTGCAGATCTCTTTTTTCTTTTTTTTAAGAAGCAGCATCCAAAATCAATGGGGGAAACAAAATTGAGGTAAATACTCAAGCTACAATAAAGTTAGTTTGAAATAATTGTCATTCGTGCTTTAGATAAGTCCATGCAAGTTTAGGCCTCATCCACAATTCTGAGTCACCATACTATTAACAGGAATTGTGCTGTTCACACATTTATCTGATTTACCTTGCAGTGGGGCAATTGTGCTTAAAAAGGTTAATATAGAAAAAAGTTACCAGCTTTTTTGTGACACATGTGGCTCATTCACTGAATGGATAGAAGGCAACAGAAGTAGTTCTGAGCAACTGCAACAAGACTCGTTTGGACAGAATGTCAAACTGACTTTCAGAGTTCTGAACAACATTCCCACTTGCAATAGCAGGGTAATGTACAAAACCAGAATAAAGCTTCCTAGGAGTCCAATCTCTTGGGTAGGAAGGAAAATATGAAATCAAATACTATAGGCAATTAGAGTGTAATGAATGACAGTATAGTAAAATACCTTTCATAAGGCCCAAGTTAGAATGCAAAGGTGACATGTATAGCTATTAATCCAGTCACAGATTCCTCTCTTCCCCCATCCCAAAGCTGAGAGATTAAATACATCCTTAACTCTGTCTACCCTACGTTACCTGTTTGCTGAATGTGACAAGCATGAATAATCCAAATTAGAAGATTGCTAATTGATGTTTTCAATGTTTAATAAAACTTTGTAACAGGATATTTGAGCCACAATTTTTTTTGGGGGGGGGAAATACCATATTAATTACTAATGCATAATAATTAAAATATAATGGTTTCCCGTTCAAAGCTCCATTTAATAAGCTGAAAGAGGAGCAAAATGATACTGCCAAATGTAAACACTGAGTATTTAAAAGTTATCCCTTCCATGTCGACTATTTCAGTGAAGGGGAACCCTAAATGTAAATGGCAGCACATGACTTTTCCTTTTTTAAAAAATATAAAAAAAACTTTAAACTTAAGCAGTAAGGTGACATGCAAGTATTCCAATGACTTTGGCTTAGATATGCATCATAGGTGATCAAGCTTTAATTATTTTCTGATGCAAGGAGAAAAGATAACTGAAAATGACAGCTGAATTTCATGTACGAATGAGGCTTTTGAAGGTATACAACACCTTTGTTTCCAATCTTCCAGTCCACTTTCAGCTGCTGCATTTCAGGCTACCACAGGATGTACATTATTAACAATTGCAAGTTAAGCCAAGAGATCTACATGACTTTAAATTAGGAAATTAACATACTTTTAGATTCTCATCAAGTCAAGCTTACTGAGGTTAATAATGGAATTGATCCTAGTTGGGGGGTTCCCTTCTGAGCAAAATGCAGAGCTGAATTTATCGCTAGTCATTTCTTTAAACAGCTAAGACACCAATAAGAGTTCAAAAAGGGGAAAAGGCACAAAACTAAAAAACAAACAAACTTAATTTATGTTTTTACTGTCATTTTAGAACTTATTCTTTTGTATACAATCAAATATGGGAACAGAAGAGCACAATTCCACTGTACAGGTTGTAAGTTGTTGCCCAAAGACATGTTCATGAAAGTCAAACCTTGTATCCAGCTTTATCTAAGAAATTCAATGCATTTTTCTATCCATGATTGGGTTTCAAATGGTGGAAGAGTCCCTACAATTATAATGGCCTGGTCTGCATGACACGCCAAGCCAAATTATAGCTTAATGGGACTGGAAGAACATGCAGGCTCCTGGAGAGGAGCTTACAGACTCTTTGCTCCTCCTGCATCATTTTCACTCACATATTGCGCTCAACTAGGCTTAGTTTATTGTCTGAACCAAGCCTTGTGGGTATGCTTTCTTCCTGCCAACTCAAACTATGGCCAAGAACATACCTGCCTGTGGTGTGTGTGGGTGTGCTACAAGTTACTTTCTAGGAGCCTGCCTGTTCCACTGCTCCTAGTAAGCCGTATTTTGACTTAAGAGTGTCATGCAAACCAGGCCAATGGTGAGGACCAATTTGCAACCATTTGAACTAGGCATTCAAAAGTTACCCAACTTGCTATATTCACCAGATCTGCTGACCAAGTCAAACTACTAACAATTTATACAGATGTACAGTTATATTGCAATCAAAAAAAGGGGGTGATGAATGCCAAAGTGAGCACACAATTCATATTTCACAAGTGCAGCTGCTGTAGAAATCCCTTATTTGACACACATGTAAGAACATTTGGGATCTCAGACTCAGTGTGCGCTTTATGTCAAACAGCAGCAGCAATATTGTAAAAAAACAAACACTATACTGCTAAAAGCAGTTACACCGGCTTGTGCCTTTAGAATACTAGCTACACAAAAATGCGACTCAGTGCTTCATGAGAGGTTCCAACATGCGTACCAAAAAGGAGCTGCATACATGTAGCAAAGAATATGATAGATGACTCTGAGTAACAGATAGGAAAATGCATAAAGACCTTCTTTTATGACAGGATACAACCAGAACAGGGTAGGAAACGACACATTTGCATTTCTGACGACGTCAGAAACAAAAGGTGTGCAGATGACAGATCAGCATAATGAAGAGACTCTAAAGGCACATTTCAGATAGCACAATGATTCTTAATTGTTTCTTTAAAAGGAATGAGAAGTGCATTGTTAGCAGTGTTCTCTGAACACAGCCAAATGCTTATAGTCCAAATGTTTTTCATAGTATTCTCCTCAGTCGATATGGCTTCTCAGCACAACTCCCAATTCAAGCAAAAACAAAAGGGAGGGGTTGGATGGCTGGGTTAATAAAGGCTGACTGTACTAACAGTATTTACTCATCAGATCCTACTGATCTCTTCTGCGCCCTCTTCCGGGGCAGCCGTCTTGGGGAAGCTTTGTCTGAAGGAAAAGAAGAAGAAAAGTTACTCAATGAGATAAGTTAAATGAAATATTTTGGGGGCCAGAGGGAGAAAATTATTTTCTAATTTATTCCCTCAAAGAACGATCATGCAAAAGGCAGATCTGAGAAGCATCTTATATATGTTCTTCAGTTATGGACATGCAACTAGTAGCCTATTAATGAGATGTTCCTAAAACAATGCAGGATCAAAGCATTCAATCTCAGCTCTGTGATGACAATAGGTGGCTTGAGCAAGATTATTTTGCTCTCTTTCAGTTTCTAAATATAGAACAGGTGTGTATCTGTTCTAAGGATGAAGGAAACATCATGCCCTACTTCCCTCTATGCTCAAGGACAGCCAAATCAAAAACTAATCTTTACATTCACAAGCTCAAGTTTCAGTATCTGTAGAATTCTAAATCATATAAAGTAGAAAGAATGCTAAGTATTCAGGCAGTAAATCCCCCAAAAGGTAACAATATCAGTCTCTTATGGGCAAACAAAAAGAGAACTATGGCACCTTACACTAACATTTTAGCAAAAGCCACAATAAGTAATAAGCCACAATAAATGTGTTAATCTTCAATATTTAATTAGTATTCAGTTTTCTAGATGGTTTACAAGTAATTGGCTGATTAGTTGTGGTGACTGAATTTTGCACACTGATTCGAACCACCTTTTGGTCTTGATTGCATACAGACAACCTTAACAGGGCAAAGCAGAAGTGAATGAATGTAATTGTGGGGTTCCAACTCTAGACCTAGTAACTTTACATCTTTTTTCAGCTCCCTGGCCATCCTCTGGACCTCCCTTGCTTCTCTAATGACTTCCTACCTATTCACATGGCCCCTTCCACATATACAACCTTTGTTTTGCCTGAATCCTACTTTCCCCTGGGCTCATTTCTTGAACTCAATGTTTCCACCACCTATTGTTTTCTCACATTCCTGTTTTTCAGACCTCTGCCCACTTTGCAACGTTTCCTCTAGCTAGTTTCTTGTTGAGCCTCCCTCTGCCCCCTTCCCTCACCCCCATAGCAGGCAGCCCTTCTGCACTTGTGATATAACATTTCTTTTTTTATAAAAAAGAAACCCTTCTCCATCTAGCTATCTTGGCTCAGCTCCCTGTCACCTTTATCCTCTAAGCCTCATTCTTCAGACATTTTGGTTCTGCTTCTCAGTCAGCTCCCTACTCTGCAATCTTTCTTCAGCATCCTTCTTTCTCAGCAACCCGTCACCTATCTTCCCAGAATATAGCCTGTCCCTGTGTGGCCTTTTATTTCCCATGCACACTTGCAACTTCCCTGGCACTCACAGAGGTTGGCCTAACTTTTTAGCTCCTACAGCAGCTGGATATTGCACTCCACCACATCAACTCAGTCAATGTCAGAGGCTTCACTGCCACAAACACAGTACAATATATATTAGTAACTATTTGCCCCTTTATCAGTTAAAGCACCATGATCATGAAGTCCAAGCAAGCAGCAATCTTGATGCATTTTAAAAGCCCTCTAATGTGTTAATACTTATTTTCTATGCAAATTGCTGTTTAGCATCAATAGTTAGTATCCTATGCTATGGAACAAGTGATGTGACAATTAAACTTTTCTATCACGTGTTCTGAAAATTGTTGGTGGTCTATTTTGTTTCTGGCAATCTGAAGAATGTAGCCACGGTTTCCTTTGGGAAATCAGGCATGTGAAGTAGATGACATCCCAGTAAGTGCAGATACCACTGAGTTCTGGTGACTGAACCATGTTAACAGTGTAACTAAGTTAGTATCTGAACATCAGCTCCCCCAAGATATGCAACAGTAAATGTACCAAGTGGGATTAACTCCAGACTTCTGTTGCATCTTCAAGATACTGGTGAAATCCTCCAAACCTTATTACTTTAACACCACATGCAATTATGTGAAGTGTACCAACTAAGCAGAAATGGGTTCAATGTATAAGAACCTAATTAGTGCACAATATACATTTCAGAAGCCTCAACCCAATAAAGTGTCTCACCTCTTCTACTTTGCACTGAAGCCACAGGAAAAGCAAAACAGAAGAGACAGTAAAGATATTAGAAAAGTCCACAAGCATTTAAAAGATCTAAGAACATATTTGGACTAATTTTTGAAATCAGAAGTCACCAAAACATACAGCTAAAGCTCCACAGCTCCCAACCCAACAAAAAACCCTGTACACTAGTCACAGAATTACAGTTTTGTCCTCACCTAATGCTGTATAGATTCAGCAAGTATCTTCTAACCAGTATAAGAAACAGTCAGTGATTTCACTATTGACTTCACCACTGATTTCAATATTATTGAATACTACTATCTTCTTCTAATTCATATGCATTCTCAATTTTTGGTTGGAGTCTCATTGAAGTTTATAAAACAATATAATAGTAAAGGAATAATTCTTTCTGGAAATAATTTCAAGTGAATCTGGCAGAGAAAAAAAGGAACATTTAGAACAATCCCTTTTCTAAACAGTTAGAGGCAGGCATATTCAACATTGCAGTTAACATTGTTCCTCCAGATGTTGCAGACTACAACTCCCATATTTCTGACCACTGACATTCTGACTAGTGCTGATGGGAGTTGGAATCCAAACATCTGGAAGATGTTGGTTATCCTTTTATAAGAAATTCATTAATGGACTAACAACCTATGGTAATATGGATACTTACTTATCTGGTTTAAAGTTTCTTGAGGAATCCAACTCATGTCAACATCATTCTGATTCGACGTCCCCATCTCTACTTTTTGAGCTGGTCTTTTTCTCTGGAAACATTAAGCACAAGATTTAATAAGGGAAAGAACTCCACTGAACTCCACTTAAGCCATTCAACTTGTAGCATGTTTTTGTGATCACAACAGCAGTTAACTTCAAACCCAAAGCTGCTGGCTTTACATTCTAGCAGCAGTTCTAATACATGGTGGCATGAGCATCAATAATTTCTTAAAACAGTGTGCATATTTTACAAATATTTAAAGGTAAAAATCCTAATTTGTGATAAATTTCAACATAACACAGATAATTTCAACTTAATTGATTGAATCAGTATTAGGGTGAGCCATAATCTATGAACCATTTTTGAAGTTATAGTCCCATATTCGTGGAAATATAGTTTTTTAAGCTAAGTGAGTATGAAAAACGCATGTTGGGAGGATCAAATATAGGCCTGACATGTGGAACTCTTGCAAGATGTCAAGCGTCACATGCTGCACTTGTATCTGCTCTTTATGATGAAATGAAACATGGCATTTTAGCCACTTTTCACTCTCAACTATGGCTAAGATTTGCTTATGTAGTCTTCTATTACAGCAACTCAACATCTGATCACATTTTACAACATTCTGTTTATAAGGAAGTGTGTGCAGATGCAATCCAGTTACCTCCCAGGTGCAAAGAGAATACCACTGCATGAAAAAAAATCACTTAAATAAACAGGAATTGGCCTATGGTCTCTAAAGCAAATACAGTGGTGCCCCCCAAGACGAATGCCTTGAAAGACGAAAAACCCGCTAGACGAAAGGGTTTTCCGTTTTTTGATGCGCTTCGCAGGACGAATTTCCCTATGGGCTTGCTTCGCAAGATGAAAATGTCTTGCGAGTCTTGAGATTTTTTTCGTTCCCCCCCCCCTTTTCTAAGCCGCTAATCCGCTAATAGCCTTCTAGCCGCTAAGCCGCTAAGCCTTTAATAGTCGCTAAACTGCTAATAGCGCTAATCCGCTAATAGGGTTGCTTCGCAAGATGAAAAAACCGCTAGACGAAGAGACTCGCGGAACGGATTAATTTCGTCTTGCGAGGCACCACTGTATTAGCTACACTTCTACTGCATGGTAGCTTGATCTTTGTGTAAAATTGCCTTGGATTAAGGCTTGCCTCAAGAAAAGCAATGTTCTAATATATGACATGATCTTTCCTTCCAGGTAGCCTATAGCAGTGTGTACAGGTTTCAGTCACCAGCCCATCCACATATTAAAGAGAGCCAGTTAGTTTAACACAGTGTCTTGAGACCATCGTCTGGGTCCAGAGTAGCATCTATAACCGGAAAGATGACCTGCAGAATTTCTTACCTTCCTAGATTCCAACAGCTGGTGTAGACCAACAATGACAAGCAGGCTAAGTCCACCAAGGAACATATACATAAAAATCCTTGTTTAGAAAAAGGAGAAGAGAGGTCCAGTAAGCTTTTATTTCTTTAAATAGAAGAAAACTAAACAAATCATCCCTGAATACCTTTACCAGATTAAGTAGACAGTTGCTGTCCTAAAAATGAACACACACTCATATGCCCATCCCAACATCAACCCCAACTATACTTTGTAGAACACTTTATGAAGGACTCATCTCTTGATAGGAGGAGTCAGATTAGCCAACCAAGGGACACCAGTTTCAACTCAATAACTTTGGTGGGACAGCTAAGTTCTCATCTAGATAAATTCTCCCCACCCCAAGCCAAGATGACAAAAAGAAATTAAGAATGATCCAAATTACTGCTAAATCTTAAATCCTGCAAATAAAACATGTACCTAATGGAGCTATGTGTGGGAAACACATAGAACTGCAAAGCACCTATGAGTTACTACTCTAAAATCAACAAAGGAGATTATATAGACCTGCCTCGGTGTTGAGATCAGCAGAAGATGCCTTGCTGGTTACAGCATGGCGATGATATTGCCAAGGTTGCATGTTCAATCCCTGTGCGGGACAGCTGCATCTTCCTGCATTGCAGAGGGTTCAGCTAGATGATCCTCAGGGACCCTTCCAACTCTATGATTCTATTAGAACTTAGTGGGACAGTGGTGCTTGAGAGGGCATTTTCTTTGGTGGCTCTTTTGAGGTGTGCCCACCCACATTACTATACATGTTTTGTTTTTAGGTCAAGACACACCTTCCACAGGCCCTTGAGGGTGGAAGATGCTACAAAGTTTAATTGAAGATTAACAGTAGATAACCTGCTCTAGGACTGAATGAAGAAGGGGGGCAATAAAAGCCTCTGAAAGAATTAATAAATAAATAGGTTATTTAAATTAAGTCTTACGTTTCACCATCTAATCCATCTTCCTTTTCAATAATGGTAACAGTCTGGTTGAAAACAGCATCTTGAAAGAAGTTTCCCTAAAATGAAAAATACAGTAACATTAAAGGCTGCCCAAGATAACAGATTCAAGCCACTATGTGACAGTAATGTTAATACAGTGGAACCTTGGTTCTTGAATGGCTTAGTTGACAAACAAATCGGCTCCAAAACGCTGAAAACCCATAAATAACTGTTCCGGTTTTTGAATGCTTTTCAGAAGCCAAACGTCTGATGCGGCTGTCGGCTATTGTTTCCGGGGCGCCTGCACCAATCGGAAGCCACACCTTGGTTTTCAAACGTTTGGGGAGTTGAACGCACTTCCAGAACGGATTAAGTTCGAGAACCAAGGTTCCACTGTATATACCTCCAGGGATGAACTGCTCCTCAGCGCTTTGTTCTTGTCTATAATTTCCACTCACATTGCAAATCACAATAAACAGAAAGCTAGCTTACAGGACTCAGTGTCTTGTAGGCCTCAGGTTGTCAACACACATTTTCAAAGCTTTACTAGGAGAAAATGTCCACAACAAAGGGATGAAAAGCGACCACTCAAAGTGGAGTTTGTCTAAAACTTTTGAAAAGGACAAATAAAGTTACATTTGGAGATTGATGAAGCTTTTTTTTTACCTGGGATTGGGAAGGTGAGGAGAGAGAGAGGAGGAGGCAAAATCATAACGATAGCTTATGTTGATCAAAACAACAAGAACAAAAAAAGACCAACTCAGATTCAGAAAGTGTCAGAACATTCAGATATTGAGGAGTGTATAATGTTGTTGTGAAGAGTTACAAAAAGTAAAGGCAGTATTTTAAAAAGCAAGACTGCACCTGTTCAAATCAGGCTCCAAGACATGAACTCTAATGCCTCCTTCCAAAACCATTCATCACAAACCTTAGACTATCATATTGGAATACTATCAAGGATTTGGCTATACCAGAACTTGCAGAATAGATACCCAAGCCTAAGCAAGATAAAAATGGCACACTTGGATAAACATCACTCAATACTCCTGGATAACATCAGCAAATGCCTAGTTTAACACTAAGGAAACCTTGCCAAGCTTCCAGGCTGTCACTCACATTTTGGTCTTTGTAGTTCAGATTGATAACCAGTCCAAAGGGGCGACCACCCATAGGCTCTGCAGGAATGAAGGAGTATTCAAATGTGGCCTGTCTCTGTGGTGGAACAACCGTGTTCAGAGGAAGAGCAGTGAAATTCTGAATGAAAAACTGGTAATCTTGAGGGTACCGGAACGAAGCATCTAGAGACTCCACAATGAAGTCTTCTGTACCCTTGTTAGTAAAGCCAACTAAAAACTTCACAATGTTGTTTGCTGGAAAATCTAGGAGGAAATTAGAAAACTGGTTAAGCTGAAATTGTGTGCACAACTCAAAACATGCATAATGTTGCACTATAATTAGACTAAACTGATACAAGTGTGCTGGTCTGAGGTAAAAAGGAGGCCATTTTTTACCTTCTCCTTTCACAAACAAGATGGTTGTATCAGCGCTAGGGGATGCTTTCGGTTCTCCCGATAGATCTTCTTCCTCTTTCTCTTCTGTCTAATACAAGAGAATGTTTTTGAAAAGCCTATGACGAACAGTGAAGCAATGAATATCTGAAGTAAGACCACTATTGCAAAATCCCACATAAAAGCATTTCCACGCAAAAACATTAATGTTGCAATAAATATTTGGAATTTCTTGAAAACAATTATTAAGAGCACAATCCTTTGTGTGTCTGTTTGGAAGCAAGTCCCATAAGAAAGCAAAAGCCCCATGTGCTGCTTCTGTCTAACAGGGCTCCTTTGGAAGGATGTTTGCTTGCAAGCTGGATTCATGTTCCTTTCTGTTTAGCTGAGAGAAGCAGAAAGAAGTGCAACCACTGAATGCAACATGATGCTTAGACTTGGTTTCTCCATCTTTGTCCAGGACAATTATGTATTTTTTCATGTTGTGAGCTGCTTTGAGTATGGTGTGAAATATGGAAGTGCGACATATAAATAAAATTATGTATGCATGTATTATGTACTCCAGGAATGGAGAGGGAAGAGGGTGGGGAAGGTGAACAAATCAGAGGTGAGCAACTTACCTTTTGCAAATAGAGTAGGTATCAGAAAGCTAATGTTCATATTATCATGTAACAAGAGGAGGCCAATACACAACCTTACAAAACAGCTACCAAAACACCAAAATAGGTGCTTGTACACCAAACCACAACTAAGAACAGGCAGCTTCATGAAAAGCAGAAGTGGTCAAATGTACAAAGTATAGAAAAGCTTAGAGTTACTAAGTAAATTATCAAATACACATTTGATAATTGTGTCTAGAAAGAGATATTATACATAATCAAAACCAGCCTTCTGCTGTTGTAATATTCACTAGGATTAATGGCAATACAGCCATCAGTAAGATTTGCATACAACTTGGTGGCAGTAATACAAACTGTGGCCATCAAGCATTGTACTTCCCTTTGGGTTTTTGATATACAAGAAGGAACTGTTCTGGAGGAGGGAGACCTGTAGTGGCAGGCTTAGGAAAGAGACCACCATAAGCCTAATGCAGATATTTCAAAGTGTGACTCTTCCCTCCACAACTGACCATGTGGTCATTCCAACCACTCAAAAGATATTCCCTCTCCCCAATATACTGCTGCATTTCTATCCCTGCTGCACATTTTTTTGACCAGCAGTATAGCTCCTTGGGTTTAGCAAAGGTCCATTTTTACTATATCCTACTTACAGTTGGAGCAACTCAAGCATTATGATTTGTGGATGTTCACTATGGCAGTTAACAGGGCCAGCCCAATGTCTCAGCATGGCAGCCTCAGGACAGCTTGGAGGAGCAGCAGAACTGACCTCCAAGGAGCATGCCACCTGTGCCCCTCTTCCCAGCCTCCTTTCCATCCCACCCACTGTGAGTGGGCAATGGCAGGTATGCAGATGAGGAGAGGGAGGAGTGGCATTTTAAGCTTTACCTCAAGAGCAAAACATCCTGGGCAGATTCAATTGAGTACTCTTGATAATGGGTTAACTGCTGTAAAAATTGCAATAATGGACAACATAAGCTTGTGAAACAGAAACAAATACTTGTAGATGTACCAATTCTGTGGGTTCATCTTCTTCAACTTCAGCTTCATCATCTTCATCTTCAACGACTGTATCTTCAATAGCTTCTTCATCTTCTGTGGCATCTTGAGCAGCCACCAGCAAACTAGAACCTAGAGACAAGGTAAATGAAAAATTATTTTAAATGTAGGCAAAGTTATTCTATTGTTTAACTTTGCTTTTGAAAGGTTTCATTGCACTTACTAAGTTATCAGTTTAGATAAGTTGTGAGTTGCATTCATGTCTCTAGTGAAAAGCATCACTAGAAGTTCAGTGTAAGAAGATCCAGAGTTTACTCTGATATTTATAAAGCAGTTGTCAATATTAATTTTATATACCACCTAATATTGCACTAGGCACCATACAGATTAGAAACATAAAGGCCAATGACACTGGCTTAAATCCTACCAAAATACATTACAGAAGGGACAGAAGTAATTAAAATAAAGATTTCCTCACAAAGGTCTTTTAAAAAAACTATTATTGCAAACACACAGAAGTCATCCCACGACTAACACCCTGAACAGAACTTTAAAGTATGGGCATGTTAGTCCAGCTAAAAAGTAGCAAGTATCCACTTGGGCAAGGAAAAGGACCTCTAGTGAGCAGCTTAGGAGCATGCAGAATATTTTCTACCCCACAGTGGGGTATATCTTGGCAGAAGCTACAACTGAAGTTGCACTATGGCAAGCTAGCAACTTTGATTTATTAAGGTTAAGAACTCTGGAATGTGGAGGTATGCTAGTTTGTATCAGCTCACAAAGTTACACAATCACAGCACATAAAGAGCTATTTGCTAAAATAGAGCATGACAATGCATTAAAGAGCTTGAAATAAAGGATTTTAGGACACCTCCTCCAAATGTATGGCAAAAGCAACCCCTCTTTTTTTGGTCACAGGGAAGACTCCAAATAAAATTTCCCTTCCTTTCAGAATGTTACAAAAGGAAAGGTCTTAGTGCCATCAAGCAACCACAGCTCAAAAGTTTCATTACAACTCAGTTCAAGTGACTTCAAGAGAGCTTAAAATCAACATACTGGTTTAATTTAGCTGTCTGTTGAGCAGCAGCGTTAAACTAAATCTCTTAAATTGTGATAGTAGACTTCTATCACTAGGATTCTTTAGTGATTTCCTTGAAATGTTCATTATGCTAAAAGCACTATGGTAGACCACACAAACTTTTCCAAGCAGTAGCATGCTTTCAAGATTTCATGATCTCTCCTATATATTTGAGAAAGAATGATGATGTGGCATTATAGTGGAGAGGAGGGAGTGTATTCAACATCTGTTATCACAGCCAGGAACTAACTACCAAGAATTGAGAAGTGTAATTTTCCAGTTATCTTAAACTACTAATGCTGAAAGAGAGCTACCCTGAATTTATCTAAATATTTTGAATGGGGAACAAAAGTAGAAATGCACAGCAATTAATTTGTGGAACTAGCTCTCAATCAGAACACTTTGCTAAAAACACTAAGCACATGCTATTGCAACTGCATAAATTCTCTCCCATTCAACAAGGAATGTAGGTATTTGACTTTGCTCCAGAACAAAGAACACTAACTAGAGGTTCAAGAAAACTGAATTGGAGCCAAGAGAAGAGACATGCAAAATCTCCAGAAGAGCTACGTTATAACTGATTAGGTCACAAAACCAAAGAGAAAACACACATGTATCTATGACATTGTACAAGAAAAAATGGTAATACAAAATCACTGCAAATGAAATTAAAAGAGTGCTAGTTTTAATCTGAAACTAATAAGCCTATGCCAGTAAGCCCAAATGATATCTGTGTTGTTACTATGAGAAGGGTCATCCATAAAACTATAAGGATCTTTCCAATTGAGGCAAATATAATTCAAAGTGTAAAGTGATGCACAATGAGGCAACCCCCCACCCTTTCAAATGAACACTGGTGGGGTCTGAACTAGCCATTACTAAGAAGGAAACATCTTGGGTCTGTGGTGGACAGCTCAATGAAAATGCTGGCCCAATGTATGACAGCTGTGGAAGGTACTTGGCATGTGAGGGACCGCTGGAGAAATAAATGAAAATAACTGGCAGCATTGTAATGTGGCATTATACATTACAGTGGTACCTCGGGTTACATACGCTTCAGGTTACATATGCTTCAGGTTACAGACTCCGCTAACCCAGAACTATTACCTCGGATTAAGAACTTTGCTTCAGGATGAGAACAGAAATTGTGCTCTGGCGGCACGGCAGCAGCAGGAGGCTCCATTAGCTAAAGTGGTGCTTCAGGTTAAGAACAGTTTCAGGTTAAGAACGGACCTCCGGAACGAATTAAGTACTTAACCCGAGGTACCACTGTATATGGGTGGAATCAATCCACCCCCTCCCCCAGTTCTGATATGCAAGTTCATGCTGTTTTAAGGTAGATTCACCTTGTGGTTAATGCACAAGGCATATATCAGAATGCATATATATGCATAAGGCATATATATCACCCATCCTTTATGGTATCTGCATATAATACCAGCAATGTTTTATTTCATGTTTGAGCTTTATAATTTATGTGATTTTTGTTCCAGAATGTTTAACAATTCAAATACACAACATTTCTGGATTTATGTTTTAAATGGAAATAATGCCAGTGGTCTGCCAGGAGTAGGCTTCGTGCTGGGAGGTTTGAAGAGACAAGTGTTACTGGCAAATACAGCATGCCTTTTAAACACATAACCCTCACCTAGACCTCCAGCTGTGTTACCGCACCCTGTATAATTAACCTTGGAAAGCACGTGCAATATTCTCTGTGAAGTATACCTACCCCATAACCTTGATCACACCTGCATATCAATAATAGCCCTACATAAGATCACAAACTTGTATTCTACACTAGCTGCCCCTGTATTCCTTCATTTTGTACTGAACTACAACCCCAACCACAAACATTGTTTCAAAATTGAAAACAATCTACGTTTACACCATCTGGTTGAGTTTAGAATATGTTGATTAATTACTTAATTAAACATTAATTGAACACATTTGCTGGTATGATACACAAAATCAAATCTATGCTGGTCTCAATTTATACTGACAAGCTTCTTGAGCAAGGTCCTCCCAAAACTTACTTGACCTTGGCTTGTACTGCTGCAGAAACATCCAAGAAATTGCAAGTAATTTGTATGATAATGCAATTTAAATGCTGTTATTGGATTTACTCAGCAAAAACATGAAGATCTCAACCCTGACCGTGGACAACCACAGGGATATGTTCTTAGTTGTCAAATGAACTCAGGAAAGTAATTTGATTCAATTCACACAGTTCAGCAGACCTCTACCAGTTCAGACACCCAACTTTTGAGATCAGTAATCTCCAAGCTCTCCACAATTTTATTAACTGTAAAAACACTACTCAACAGAACCCAACAGATTTGGGAAAAACTGTCTTCAGTTACTTCCAAGGTTCCTTCAAGGAAACTTGGCTGAGCCCCTATGAATCCGACACAAGTTTCCTCTGGGCACGAGTTTGCTCTTTCTTTCCCATTCAAAGCAAGGATCTCAAAGCTGCAGCTTGCACACCAGTGCAACAAGTTGATCACGAGAACCTGAAATGTTATGATGCTTCCGTGTGAGTTGCCTGCACTTCAACTCTCCCTCTTTTAAAGGGAACAAGAGAAACTGGTTTCCCGATAGCTGTCCATTTGGCAAAGGTTGCCAAAGCGTACCGAGCTTTTTGGCTCGCACGTCTCCAGGTGGGGTCAGAGGCCGAACCTGAACGCTGTGCTGAAATAAGAGGAACTATGTGTGATTTTCCTCTCTTTCTTCCCCTTCAGCAGCAGCCAGAAGGAATCACAGCTGCACCGAAGGAGACACCTGAGCAACATGAAGAGCTGCGCGCTCCATTCCCACCGAAGGTAGAGTTTGCAGGGGGAAAAGCGAAACTCCTCGCACAACCTCGGGCTGCTGACACGTGTCAGCTTTCGAGTCCCTCAAAAAGGAGGTTAACGAGAAACGTAGAAGTCAACGAAGCTACGACCTGCCAGCACCATGTGGCTATCGGAGGTCTGGACTGACACGTCAGCCTAGCGAATAGGGGAGGGGGGAGAGAGAGCAGAGGAAAAGGAGCCCCCCGCCCCACTCAGAAGCCTCCGTCCCCGCCTTTCAGAATTCACCAGCCGAAACGGCACGCGCGAAGCCGCCTCACGCGCTGCTTCCATTTCAAAAAAGCACAGGAACGTTCCTTCCCCCCCCCCCCACGCCCGGCCCCTCAACCGCCGCCTCGCGTACGCGCGCGAGGCGGAGATAAAGCGGAGCCCCCGCTCGTTCTCTGTCGGCCCGCCTCACCTGGGCCGCTGCGGGCGCCACCCAGAAGCAAGGCGGCGGGGAAAGCCAGGAGCACGAGCAGCAGCAGTTGGGGAACGGACCTCCTCATGGTAGCGGGCCGACTAAACGCCCTCGGCGGCAGTTACTACTTTTTCCTGCCGCGACGCAATGGCGAAAGGAGCTCATCCGGCCCAGGTCCCGCCCACCGTAACCCCGCGGCGCCCTCACGTCACCGCCCTGTTACGCAAGGCCCGCGGACTCCGCCCCTCTCCTGCCCCGCCTCCGCCCCACCGCCCAGCTTGCGCGGAGGACGTGGCTTCCCCTGGAAGGAGGAAGGAGGGGCACGTGACTGCAAGGCTTCAAGTGCGCATGCTCCGCGCGACCAACAAGCTCCTTATGTTCCTTTTCCTCGTCAGGCTTGCTTTCCAGAGCGCAGGCGCGAAAAGTTTTTACCGCGTGGAGCGCCTCAACCACGGGCTCTCTGGAGCGCATGCGTGGAATCCTATCGCTCGCTACAGACGAGCGGAATCGTGCAGTACCTTTGACTTTACATGCGGACGCTAGCGTGTCTCGTTGCGTGTCAGTACGAAAGGGAAACAACCGTCAACCGGCGACCTTTTTAAGACACGGCCGCGGGATTGCCTCTTTCAAGATCCGCAATAATCAAAACCATTGTTCTTCCGCAACGTTTTGATACGCGATGCCCCGATGACACAATGCATTGGATGTATACACCCCAAAATAATATTTGGAAGATTCCTTCCCACGCAAATTTTTAAAAATAAAAAATCATGCTCCTTAGGGTTTCAAGTCGTGGATCTTACCCAGCAACCACATTAACAATGGCCAGGGATACATTCTGAGATTGAGCAAGACTCATGGCCCCTGCTTGGTCCGATTGCAGTGGTACTTTTAATTAATTGATCAGTCAGTTACAGGTTTCTTTGTCCGTTCTCCACTCCCACTGCTTCACTTGAGCAGTCTTTTAAAAAAGAGAGACTCGTGACCCCTGTCAGCATTTAAATATCCCTGTTGTGGAGGTGAGCAATACATGTGGGACAAGCAGGAAAACAAGCTCCTTCCAGTGATGAGAGTCCGGGAAGTGAGATAATGGGGTTTATCTAGCGGGTGCCTCCTTACCTCAAAGAAGCTCCCATATGAGCGGAAATGAGATTCCCCCTTTTTCCCCTGTAAACCGTGTGGTTTATTGCACCCGGGAATGAGGAAAATATCCACTACTGCCATCACACTATCCTCTTCAGTATGACAGGACACACAAGCATCTCCCTCTTACGAAGTGAGAATCCCTTAAACAGGTTGTGGGGCTCAGAGGTGTGGTTTCGTTAACAGTGTCTTGTGCCAAAATGAAGTGCTGGGCCAGACTGCCTATTATTATTATTATTATGGCAACAAAGTATCTTCCATGTTTTCACATTGGCCCATTTTAGAAAAGATTGCCTTTTAAAACAATCCCAAACCAACATTAGCATACTCTGTCCAGCTGCTTCTGAAATTAAGAGTAAAGTATAGTACAATGACAAGGGTTCTTTCAGAAGTAGTACAGAGAGTTGCATTCTTCAACCTTTAATCTTTGTCTTCCAAATTGGTCCAGTCAGGAACCAATCACCAAAATTCTGCATGGTTTCCCAACAAGTCCCTGGAAAGGTATAACTCACAGGCGTGCCGGCTTGGGCCCCAGGTTACTATGGATGCCTCAGACAGCATCTCTGTGCTCTTGCGATGCCTTGGACATGACTTTTGGTGTTTTGTGAGGCACCAGAAGTTGCGTCGGCAACCCTGCAGTGCACCCACAACAACAAAAATTGTGGGTGCTTGGAGATGGCGCCCTTGATAACTCATAAGAAGCTGAAGACTATTTCAAATGCATTCCTGTACAAGTACCACACACATTGTTGTGGGATAAAAATTCAGTGGGGCAACTAAATAGAGCTTCCCAGCCAGAGGTCCCTGAAATGCAAGCAGCGAATTAAGTGTGAACACAATTACAGCTTTAGAGTACTTACTTGGGGGTGGTCCTGCTTGAATGGCTCTGACTTTTGCAATTGCAAACTCGATTGCAAAACCTTTTTAGTGAACTGTAAGCTCTAGGAGCCTTTTTTGGCTGAAGACTGGGCTTTTAAAATCTTTAAATAAATAACTGCACAGTACTTGCCTCAACCCCAATTGGGTGTAAATTCTGTTGAACTCAGTGGGTCATTCCTCTGTGTTAATAGGCATAAGATTACATTTCAGTAAATGCATTACTTGTTTTTCTAACTAGGTATTATTTCTAGCACTGGAACTTATTGGACAGCAGAATCTATGTGGATATAATACTGCATATTGGGAAGCAGATCTTGGTGTCTGGGAAGTAGAAGGTGTAAAACTTCAATGTACTTGGGTAGGTTAAGAATCAGAAATTTTGGGATCAAACAAGGTTAGATATCTCAACCTGAATTATGTGTTAAGACATGAAAGAGTGTTCATTCTTTAATTCACCTAGCAGCATCTTTGGAAAAGAATTCACTGTATTCAAATACACTTCAAACTGTTGTCTCCTAATAATAAGAAAAGAAAATTATACTCACAAACCAAGAAAAAAATGAAGAAGGTTTCTATTTTTTAATCAACTTTAATATGTCATTTGTAAACCTACTTTGCTGCAGTGACAATGACAATCATACTTGGCATATTTAATTGTTTGTCCTTTAGTAACTAAATGGGTTCCACTCAGTTTTTGAAAATCCTGAAAATGGAAGGAAAACAGTTACAGTTCAGATTTTCCTTCAATTTTAAGTCACTAAAGGTGATATCCAACTATGTTGCACGCAGAGTAGACCCAGTGAAATTAATGGAGTAACTTAACCCTGGTTATTTCAGTGGGTATACTCTGAGAAGGCCTAACAGTGCAATCATACAAGCTTACTCAAAAGAGAGAGCCCCACTGTTTTCAATGGAACTTGCTCCCAGGAAAATTACACAGGATTACAGACTTAATGTTATATCTCTCTCTGTTTATATAATTTTGATATGTAATGCTGAAAATTGCAACATGAGATTACAGATAATGATCCAAAGGAACTTAAAGTGCTTTGTTTTGTCTTGTATAAACAGTTTATGCCGTTAACAGAATTAAGTATGTTTTTGACTCTTCTATGGAAATCAGTGAAAGGTAAGTGCTTAACTTTGGACTGTGTCCAATACAACTACACATAATATGCTATATTTTCTTAAAACATCTGAATAAAAATGATAATTCTTTATTTAAACATTTGCAGTCTGCCTTACACTAAAGCAAAGTAGTTTATGACAGTGCTGTTTGGGGAACAGATGGCATTAAAAACCTTAGTTGGCCTGATAAGGGACCAGCATTACCCTTTCAGGAGCAAAATTTGGACCCCGGTCTCCAGTTGCTGATCCTTATTTAGGGCAATATATCTTGACTTACCCCCTGAATCCACATTTTTGGGAAAAATGAAGACCACCCTTGCCTGTGGAAACATAAAGAAAGTGCTCACTTAATGCTTCCCCACTTGAAAATGTGACTTCTGGCCATGTAAGTTTGGGGAGTGAGACAGACAGCAGAGAGTAAAGTAACTGCCCAAGATTGAATCAATACCCACAAGTACACAAGGCTAACAGCACTGAGGACTAGATTAGATGTTACAGGCAAATGCAGGCAATATAATCTCAAATATTCTTTTTTTAAACAGGAAACAGCAAGTGCAGAAGGTTCATTCCCCCTTCCTCTATTTTCCCTAGTCTGATTGTCCTCCTGGCAGCATCTTTTCCTGTTTATAACGGCTGTCATGGTACTGCTATGTGCAAGTATATGGCCACTATGGGTTTAATGGGCAACTTCAGGCAACATAATTGTAGGTGCATTTTTCATGAAATACATATGCACAGTAACAGAACAAATGCAGGCATATTATCCACCTGATAGTTGAAGCCTGAAATTTATGTGATGGTACTGGGACTCGACATGTTGGAAGGTATGCATAACTGTCCCAATACCCTCGTGAGCAAAAATTATGAGAATACGGTTTTTTGTGCTCTGGAGGGCCCCCAAATATTAGCAGATGGGAGCTATAGTTAGGTGGTGGCCACATTTTATTATTTTATAAGAAGCACTTCAAGATTATGTTTACCTGTCTATGCAAGTTGTATGTAAAGGAAGACATTCGTAAGTTTGATAATAGTGTGAGCACTTTCAGAACCCTCCTCTTCTTGAATGTGAAATATATATGAAGTTTACCTCAGCTTTCTGGTATTCATTTTGAACTTCTTAATTAAATCTTCCAAATCCTGGTTTCTTTTCTCTAAACTGCCAGTAAGAGACAATTTAACCGATTGGTACATTTGTTTCAGTTATAAGCAGTATGTTCTCATAGAATTTAACAAGATATAGGCTGTCACTGCAATGACGACTTGCAAACTGCTATTCCAGTCTGAAACACATTTACTTGGAAATAAGTTCAATTGATGTCAATGCAGTTTGCTTCCAAGAAAAATAAATATATGTTTCAAGACTCGGGATACAAATACACTTAAAAAAACCCAGACAGCTAAAGTTCTTGGTTTGTAGATAGATTTGCAATTTCACTTTTACAATCCAAAAAGAGTTTCTTCATATGCGTCTGAAATTTGTATCTGAAATAATAATGGAATTGTCATAATTTTGATTTCTAAGGGCTGAAAGCAACATCACATTTAAAAAATGATCACCCAGCAAACCCCAACATAAAATATAAACTACTGCACTAAATGTATGAAAACTCCAAATGTGTGCCTTGAAAGCCGGTCTACAGAAGAGGGTGTTGCAACACTTCCTGAAAGTCCTTTAGGTTCAAGTTTCAAATATTCCCCAAGAGAAGTGAATTTGGGACAGTCATAAGATCACCTCTACATGCCTTCGCTGTTTCGATTTAATGCTGCGAACTGTATATGTATAAAGTTCACTCCCCCCCCCCAAGACTCTTAATTTGCCTGTGACCATTCACAAAATACCTGACTTTGCCACTTTCTTCTGGGTAGGAAGAAATAAGCTTGAGTATACTGAAATTAACAAATAACTCCCATTTACTATTTATTATTTATTTATCAGTCAGCATTTGTATGTTTTCATAGAACATAAACTTTTCTGGCAGTTTAACAAATAAATAAATATGGAAGCCACGTAAAGGCGAAATAAGGCACAAAGCCACAAAATCAAAAGCAGCATAAAGAAAACAGAAATGAAACCATATCCCCAAAGTTAAAATACAGATTTAAAAACTGAGAGGCTCTTTCTCTGTCTTCTCTGGTTCTTTCTCTGTCATAAAGCGCCCTTAGTGTGGGACACTTTTGTGTGAGAGAAGGAACAGAGCAGGGATCTTTTTGTCACACAAAAGCACCTGAGGATGACGTGAAGTGTGACCCAGGACAGTGTGGCTAAGGGAAAGTCCTGAGGGACAATTATTCTGTCCATTATGTTTCTTCCCGTCACTCAATCCCAAAATCAATCCCTGGCCATTGCTAATGTGACTGCAGTCGCGCCTGGAGAGCGACCTTTGGCCCTCAGGCCTGAGGTTTCCAACCCTCCAATAAGGGGAAATGGCCTGCTTAATGCTGCTTCTTCCATTTTGTTTCCTCCTGACACTATCTGACACTTGTTTTCATCCCTGTGGGATTCCAGACCCCCCGATTTGAGAGGTTAATAAAATTCCAAAACAGTGGCAGAATTTAAAAAAAGGGTGGGGTGGGGAAGGAAGCATTGATCTATTTGTGGCTCTACTTTGGTGAAAAGCACCCCCTTCTTACGGAGGCTTCCTTACACATGGATGTTGTGCCATGCATCATTTGCCACTGAAAATAGCAGTGTGGTCAGGTGTGAACCTGGAACGGACTAAGCCCTGAGACTGAATCTTTAGGCTGCTTTCACACCAAAACAGCGCAAGTTAATTTGCAACCCCAGAGAACATTGAGCTGAACACACTTCCTCCTCAAGAAGCACAGCAGCTGTTTGATTTAGCTAGAGAGCAGTGACTCCACACGTCTCTCTCTGGTGGCTGCCAAAACTGTATCAAATGGGTGCAGCCATGTGCTTTAATATCAGCCCAGCATTTGGTTCAAGAGCTGCTAATCTGAAGTGGCTCTATGAAATACTGCAGTGCTAAAACACCTGATTCCACGCGGTCTAACCAAGTAACTGCATGAAACCAAGTACAAGATTTCATTTAGGTTTCACTCAGTTTTCCAAGTGCTGGAATTGTCTCTTGCTATGTGTTTCTGGAACATATACAACAGAAAAGAATCCAGCAGCAGTGGTATACCTACTCAGATATTTCTGAATTGGCTTGTTCAAGCCTTTTGTCAGCGCATTCAATAATTTCCTCATATGATGTCACCTTTTAAAATAAAATCAGAAAATGATTTAGCATAGTACAAAAGAGAACACAGCCAGTGAAATCTCAATTAAAGCACATTATCACATCTTTGATTGTATATGATATTTTATTAATTGTGATCTGCCTTGAGTACACTTGTAAATCCTGCCCTTTTGCAACATTATAGCAATACATAAATATCAGTATTATCACTGATCTATGGAACTTCATCCACATGAGCGCTGCATACAGAAATCAATTTTTTTTAAATCACTGCATATAATCCCAGTGAATCCATTGGGGTAATTAAATGAGTTAAATGGGCTGGAGGTGGATCTTACTGGTATGTTTACACTATCACTTTGCACTATGACAAGGGTGGCGCACATCTGATCCTGCAAGTGAACTGCATCTCTCCAAAAAGAGATTTTTTACAGCCTGCATCTTTGCCATTCTTTTTGTTTTTTTTTTTTTTTTTTTTTTTGACTTTTTATTTTTTTATTTCTGTGCTTATCCCATTTGTATTTCAGCTGATGAATACATTCATTATGCCAACAATGTATCTATTGTTTAGCACTGCTGCTTGCTACCCTCAAGACTACACCAAATACTGCACACTGTTGTTCGGTTACTGAAAAGTACTGGCCTAACTTTTTAGTGGATCATATCCTAAGAGATGTTTTATTTAATGTTTCGTCTTACCACTCTAACGAATGAGCTAGAAAATGTCGAAATCCACATACAAGAAGTTGAGCTAAATACAAAACTTTTCAATGAAGCAAAATCCATTTCATTAAAGAAAATATTTGGTTTTCTTAAAACCAAGTTACTTGTGAAGCACACTACTGAACAAATACAAAAGTTGTTAGAAGAATTTTAAAGTTAAATATCAGAGACCAAAACTATACTGTGTTACATTGTAACTATCTAAAGGAAAGTTTAATAAAGAACAGTAACTCTATATGTGACTTTGTTACCTTAAAAATAAATTGGGTAACTAACTCCGAACAACAGTATCAAGGACATAGTTTACAAGTTGGTGTCACTGCAAGTCATGGAACAAGGGATTTTTTGAAGCAAAGAGTTCAGGTTAATAATTTTTTCCTCTCTGCCATCAGGCCTCAGAACAAACTATTTAGATCCAGCAGCAATTTTTGTTGAAGCCCACTTCGATTGCAAATTCAATCACGACTGCCCATCACTTTTCAAAGCCTCTAGTCTTTGTAGCAAAGCATTTCCAAATGCTTCTCGATACGCTGGGCTAACAGAGTCCAACAGAGAGTAGACAGTCTCGTGATAGGGATTTTGTACGCTGTCATCCACCTGGTCAAAAGCATAGCCAACCACCCTAAGTCCCGCTTCTGTGAGCTCTAGGCAATATCTGTTCCTTTCCCTAGTTTCCACGTTGATGTACGCCACATCTTCTGCGCATGGGAGGCTTTTAGAGACAAACATGTTGCTCACAGCAAACAACACATCATTCACAACAGCTTCCGCTTCTAATCTCATGTCCTTCACGTCTGTTCCTTCAAAATCCTTGAATTCAGAATTGTCTTCAACCCCTGTGTTATTGGATAGGTCCATGGGATTGCAGTCCATCTCCATTCTGCCCCTACTCCATCCCGTCCCTACTCTCCGGCTCTTTGCCATTCTTTTTGTAATGAAAACAAGTTCTTTCCTTTTAAGTCACTTGCAACATTTTATTCTTTATTTTACTGCCAATAGATGGAGAGTTGCTTGCTCTTACTTCTGAAAACTCTGTAAGTAAAATCTTTGCAAAGTTAAGTGTCTGTGATTTATTCTAGCCTAGGCATTTTTTGTGGGGAATGTTTGTTCAAAGGTGGATGAAGCTAGGTGTAAATCTAACCAAGTTTCAATGTGTTTGGAGCTTTGTTTCAGGGATGTCAGTAGCTCAGTAAAGAGCTTCCAGACACGTCTGGCCATGGTTGGGAGCAGAATGCTGGACCAGATAAACCTGCACCCAATCTAGCAATGGAGTTAGTACTACTGGAGATAGTACAACTCCAGATTACAGTTATTATGTTTTGAAAGTGAACTGAGTTTTTCAACCTTGTCAGAGTAACATCAGCTCATGCTCATACCTTGCATGTCAAGCTGCCCAAGTCCTTCTGAAGCTCGACAATTTCTCCAGTGAGCTTCTTGCATACTTCTTCTTTGGATGCCAGATTAGCTTCCAGTGCTTTAATCTTTCCAAAGAAAGAATGTCTCATTAAAATTAATGGATATAACTTGGCCAGGTTGACTCATTTTAATGGGTCTACTCTGAGTAAAAGGTAATTGAATACCACCCATTATTTTTGTGTTCTCCAAAGTGCCCAGCACATTACTAGTGGTAGTCATGTTCAGCCATAGATTAAGCCTGTCAACATCAACTATTTTTCCTGGGATACATCCTGGGAACAGCTGGTACAATCGACACACCATCTCAGGAGTGTGCCCGTTTTTTCCCCTTGGGAAATGAATGCTTCTTCAATGAAGTAATGGACTAAGCCCCATACAAGCATGTGCTTATAAGGCAATTTGTTTTATCCAGAAACTATTTTGTGTGGAAGTGCCTCTAGAAGTGCACCCAGGAGCTATTCAAAGCAAGCTGCTCTTGGCTCTTTGCTTACAGAATCATAGAACTGTAGAGTTGGAAGGGACCCTTAGGATCATCTAGTCCAACCCCCTGCAAGGCAGGAATATACAGCTTTCCCACATGGGGATTAAACCCATGACCGTGGCGTTATCAGCTTCACACTCTAACCAGAGGAGCTATCCATTATGAGGGCTAATTCCTTAGTTGCTGTTTTGGGCTAAAACTGATCCCTTTCAACAACCATGAGGCGGCAACCATCAGGCATGTAACAGAATCAGGATTCCCACAGATGTCTTCTGAATACCTTCCAAGGATTTAGGTCTTGCCAACGATAACAGGAATCCCAGTTTTCTGGAAATGGAAGCAATTTCATGGAAATGATTCCTGAGCCCTCTTTTTCTCATAACTACTCACCTCAGCTTGGAGCTCATCAGTTTGCTTGTGGTATTCACTCAGTTTTGTTCTCAGAAGATCAGGCAGGTCTTTTCCATTTTCTGATTCCTCTTCGCCAGTTTCTGTAGCCTGTGAATAAATACCCACAGAGAACAAGGCATTAGCCTTTAACAGCATAACCCTAGTATGTTTACTTGTCCTGCTTACTTCCATTTGGCTTACTCCCTAATAAGTCTGTTTAGGAATGTATCCCATATTTGCTACTTTTCTTAGCAGTAGCAGCCCTTTATTATTATACTGTATACATAGCAAGTCTACAGTATCTACCCCATGGTTAAGTCCCCCCAAGTAAGTATATAGGACAGCAGCCATATTAATGGAACTTCTTGTTTTAAAGCAATGCTCCATAATACACGAAATCCAATTCTCCTCCTGATTTTCTTTTAATTTCTGTTCTTTTTCATAATACTGAACTCACCTCAGTATCGGGGTCTTCAGACGCTTTCTCATTAATTATCAACTCCCTCATGGCTGCTATATTTTCCTTGTGTTTCCTCAACTAAATATTTATAGTGATGAATTATAGGCAAGAGAGGGAAAGGGAAAATTGAACATATTTCATTCAGTTGTTTTTTGCTTCTCCCCAGACTTTCTTATATGCTATACATATATCCCAAAGCAAAACTGACATATTCAAGAAGTGGTAAACTTTATTCATGTTAAATCACTATCCATCTTGCTATGGCACATTAATTGATCCCAGCAGACTGCTCCTGTACTTGTGGCAGGGCATGTAGTTCAGTTTATCGCTTATTTTGTAAGAAATATAAGGATTGATGGTTGAAATGTGTTGTTTTTGTCCGTATGACAGAACGCAGAGGATCCTTATGAAGTTCACCTGCCATTGCATAGCATTCTCATGAACAAGACTCAGACGTACAGACAAACCTCCCATCAAGAATAGCTGTATGTGCCCTGAATTCATAAGTGGTACTTTATGGATTTACTGTATATATTCTCTATCGTATGCAGACCACAGAGCTTTTTCTCAGAACATAACTATCAATCTCAGAGTGGCTCCAAGGAGCACACCGCAGCCGTCGCTGCCATTGCTACAGTGGCAGCAGCAGCAGGTGATTTATTCCTTGGAAGCTGAATCTGCTGCCCTGGTGGATCCTGCTGCCTGAGGTGGTTGCCTCACATTACCTCATGAATGGGCCGGTCCTGCAGAGGGGGCATCTGGTGGAGGGCCTCGAGTGATGAACACAGGGTCCGGATATATTCAAGTTAGGGGAAGTATTCTGTTAGATATTGGGGTCCTGAGCCGTATAGAGTTTTGCAGGTTAAAAATAACACTTTGTTCCTGTCAGCAGTCTTGCCGCTATATTCTGCCCCAGCTGCAGTTTCCAAGCTATCTTATAGTTTTATTATTCTTTATTAGATTTATATACCCTTCATCAAAATAACTGAGGGTGGTTCACAAAACAAAAATACAAAGTCTCACAATACAGCACGTTTAGAAGATAATTAGCTATTTTGACATGAGGGTTAAGGACGACAGGAGTGTTCTTACATATGCAAACACAAAAGCAGGATGTAACTGGGAGGGAAAACAACCAGTGCCCCTACCTCTTTCTCCAAACTTTTCTTTTTAAATAACAGGCGCTGCATTTTCCCCTTCACTTCAATAGCAGTTTCACTTTCCGTGGAACACTCAGCAATCGCCTGATTATCTGTGTCCTATCAAACAACAGTGACATAAAACGAACATTGTTTAAACTCCAAATGGACGCCAATTAGTTTCCTAAGAATTAATGCATCACTTGTAATAAAGTGAATTTCTAAACATGATGGTTGTAGAGCAGCAATTCCCCGGCTATGTGCTGGAGAGGAAGCCGTTGTACTGTGAGAAAACGGTTTGCACGTTTCAAGAAATAAATCAATCCAAATAATTCAAGTTTGACCCCACAGGAAGCTGTTCTGCACACAAATCGCTCCCCTGGTCTTGCCTCCTTCCTGGTAGGAGACATGGCTAGATGCTCGTGCAGAAACAGACAAAATGGGCTCTTTTGAGTAAAGTGATTCTTACTCATAGACAGACTAAAGGGATGCCCATATGAACCTGCTCCTGCATTTACTGGACACATGAAGGAGTAGTGGGAATGCAACACTGACATTAACCAGAAGCGGGGCATACATGTGTATGTTCAACTGACCAGCTGTCTTGGACAATCATGGCTCACAATTGCACAGAGAAGCCCAACACAATTGGTCCTGCACAGGGTCCTTTTTTTCTTAATGCAGAAGACACAGCTGCTGGAGAGGCCTGGCCAGCAGGCATGTTAAGTTCAGGGGAGGCTAGCCAGGGAGGGCCTTCCTTGTTGTCCCCTCAAGCATTCACTGAATGCTTGAAGGAATTCGTAGAGATACCCCTTTAAAAAAAGAAGCCCTTTTGTGGGCAAGGATGAAGCGCAGCTCACAGTTTGAATCAGAGTTGAAGTTTAGGTAACAGGTAAAAACAACAACAGGGGAAAGCTTGTAAACATCACTGAAGACAGCAGGGAAATAAAAGGTGAGATTCAGAGAAAAGAAGGCACATTTCAGCCATTGCTTTCAACAGAAGAGTTTTATTGAGTAGTGAATTTGCTCCGTAGCAAACATTCTTAGGATGGCTTAACACATGCACAAAACCAAGGCAAGACTGGGTAGCCATTTCCATCAGGAAGAAGCAGCGAGCGGCCTTGTCTTTAGAAGGAAGGCAGTTGTTCTTCCCCCACTGCTTCTCAGAGTTGCTCACTCATCAGTTGTTTGATTCCTTAGCGTACTTCCAGACGTACTTGACCTGGCAATCCACATGTGGATTATGGTGATCCCCATTCTGACTACTGGCAGTCCAAACCAACTAGCAAGATATACACAACGGACACACCAACCATTATGCATAACCAGCAATGGCAACTCTAACCTTAACAGGTGAGAGTGAACCTCTTTGTAGAAGTACTTCTTCTCTCACTTTCTGTTTAGTGCTACCAGTGCTAGGGGAGGCGACTCTCTGGAAGCACTCAGAGGAGTTACATAGATCCACATAACCCGATGGAAAAGCACTTCCTATTTTCCACTGGTTCCTACGTGAGACCGAAGAATGTAGCCACATGTGAACCAGGGTGTATAATTCCTTGGAAGGAATCAGATTCATTGACTGCTGAGGCATGGGTGGTCTACCATGTAAGGAACACTATTTCCTATAGAGAAATGTATCTCCAACAGAACTCAAGAGTTGTTACTCAGTTTGCTTCGAGCTGTGATTCCATTCTTTTCAGAGCTGGAAAAAATGCTTACTCAGCAGGTTTAGAACAGGGATTTGATGTTTTCTGAAGTTTTTTAAAAAAAAACAATGGCAAAATGTCAGGATACACCCTGCCATTTGAATATGTCAGCAAAGACGCTAATAAGCAACTGATGCTCTGCATTAACAAATACTTCCCCTTGTTTAGTCCTGTGGGAAATGTGAATTGTGAAGACTTTCCCATACACTTGACTTCGATGCTCATGGAAATTTAATGTAATTTTAACGCAAGCTATTGCTTTGTGTACTACCGTATTTTTCGCTCTATAAGACGCACCAGACCACAAGACGCACCTAGTTTTGGGGGGAGGAAAACAAGGAGGAAAAAAAAATCTGAATCCCAGAAGCCAGAACAGCAAGAGGGATCGCTGCGCAGCTTCTGGGATAGCTGCGCAGCCTGCATTCGCTCCATAAGACACACACACATTTCCCCTTACTTTTTAGGAGGGAAAATGTGAGTCTTATAGAGCAAAATATACGGTATATAACTTTGCCTGTACCGCTGCAGGCAAAATAATATACAAGCGCACCCATGCCCAGTCCACACCAGAGATTATGCTACACATTTGAAGAAAGTACCATCCACTGCACTAACAAAGATACCTTGTCATGATTGCCTCTGCCTGCAAAGGTATTTTTTTCATAATAATGAGGGATGGAACCTTGGCATTTATGAAGCACAAAAAGTGGGTAGTACAATCATACCTTGGGTTCAATATGCTTCAGGTTGAGTGTTTTCAGGTTATGCTCCGCATTACTTCTGGGTTTCGCCACTCGCACATGCACAGACGCTCAAAATGACATCATGCGCATGCGTGGAAGCGGCGAATCGCGACCTGCGCACGCGCAGACGCGGGTTGTGTTCACTTCAGGATGCGAACAGGGCTCTGGAACGGATCCCGTTCACATCCAGAGGTACCACTGTATAGAAAAAGGATGGGGAAACTCGCAAGTACACATGCAGACATTTAATTAAAACCTAAGTGTATACCTTGCTAGTTATTTGTTCAAAGTGCACCACTGGCCACGGAGAGAGCAGGAGGAGATAACTGGGTGTTTCCTATGTGATCCATAGGTGTCCAACTTTTTAAAATTGGGAGGCACATTTAAACGTACCACAATCACTGCGTAGGCACTATCCAAGGACTCAAGGAAGAGCACACAATAAAACACAAATGTGGTCAGTACTGTTTCTGTCTGATGTACTTGTGTGAACAAAATCATGGTTGATTTGGGCAGGCTACCCCTGCAGGCCACTGTTCAAGGCATTTTCCCTTCTGCCATTCTGTTTCCCACCCTCTCTGAACCCCTGCAACAAAACAAAACAACAAAAACAACAACCCAGACAGAGAATGCTGCACTTGTGTCATGTCTGATAGTTAATGATTTAGGAGCCAGAGAAGTGCTACTTCCTAAATAGTAGCATCCATGTGATCTGCCTACATAATGGTGATGGAAGAAAAGCTGGAGGGAAGGGAAACATAATAAAGACTGATTTGTTTTACTGGCAGAGTTGAAAGATCCTTTATTTCAATCTTGTTGGAAATATACAGTACAGTGTATACTGGGTGACGGGTTGTTCTGGATGGACCATAGAATTCATGTTTTAGGTGCTATCAAGGTGGCTATTGAAAAGGGCTGTGGTATTTTGCATTACCTGGCACGTAAGTAATCCTTCTGCAAGAGCCAGAAGACTGCAGATTTTTGACAAGAGGTGAGATGCTTTCTGGACATACGGAGAATTGAAATGGTCTTCTTCACTGTGGAGATCTCTGATGGACAAAGCTGAATGCATTGACTTCATGTTCTGTTTTGACAGAGGATACAGTGAGGTGCATTAGATTATAATAAAAGAAATGAGAAAACAGGTTGAACATAGAATATCGGCATTGTAAACCTATTAAAAAGCATTATGGAAGCAAAATATATTATGGGGTTTTGATTGCCTACAGCAGGCTTCCTCAACCTCAGCCCTCCAGATGTTTTGAGACTACAATTTTCATCATCCCTGACCACTGGTCCTGCTAGCTAGGGATCATGGGAGTTGTAGGCCAAAAACATCTGGAGGGCCAAAGTTGAGGAAGCCTGGCCTACAGCTATGGATGGGGGGACGGGGACTTAAGCTTAAAACTTGTGTTTCCTCCTACCCTAAGTTCAATATTTTATTTAAAATAAACACAAGAACAAGAAAAATATATATAAAGATCTCTGCAATAAGTATTTTTAATATAACAAGCTACTCCAAAATCATTGCCATCTTTTGTCCAACTGCCGCTTACTGTTCATAATTGTTTGAACGTTTCCAAAAGTACGTTTTGCTTAAAAGTAAATATTCCATGAGCTTAAAAAGACATTCCAGTTTAAATGCATGTTTGTGATTTTTTAAAAGAGAAAATAGGCTAATATCTCATCCTTCCTTTTTTTTGGCTTTCTTTTAAAATGGAATGTACTTCTTACTACTTCCATTTGGAAAAGGGTGCAGTTTTGACAGAAACTGAAGGCTAAAAGCACCCAACGTGCACTCAGACAAAAATTCAAAATAGCAATGATAAAGCTCAGGGGTGTTGCCCTTAATGCTATAAAACTGAGCATACCAAAAGAAACCTTCCCAGAATGTGCATGCTCCGCTCGATTATTTCTTCTTTCTTTCTCAACTCTTCCCTCTTTAATCCAAGTTCATATCTGAGAATCTGGATCATTTGGGAATGCAGCTGCTCCTAATATGAAGAGAGTGCAAGAACATCAGCTTAGGTTATTTGAATATGCCTGAAAACAAACACTCATAATTTGTCAATCTTCACATTCAGAGTTACTGTTAGGAACCAAACTAGATGTGACCTGGGGGGGAGGGGGACCTCTTCCCTCCAGAGGAGAATAAAAGCAGGTTTGTGTTGTACCTGAATTTTCCCTATAGCCAACATCCTTCTATAATGTTTACTCACAACTAAGTCCCATTCTGTAAAGGTTCCTTTCCAATGTTATTTAAACATTTCCTGTTTTCTAGTCCCATTCATTTCATTGCCTTTTGTTGGTGACACTCAGGGAATTAAGTTATAAATAGTCTCTTGACTACTCTAAATTTAGTTTCTGATCCTGGAGTGGGGAAGGCTTTAATTTCCCTGCACTGGAATAATGAGAGGAAATCAGTAATTAACCTTTCTCTTGTGACACTGTGGCCATTCAGACATGTTAAAGGGGGCGATTCATGACTGACCTAGGCAATTAACAGGAAGCAATTAAGTACAACAAACAGATACAAAACTGTTAAGTTAAGGTACAAGAACTCTGAAGAATTTTTTTAATATGCTTTGACCAACTACCCGCATTAACGCTGCAATTGCATTTGATTAAAAAACCCAAAAAGATCAGATCTGGGAAGGAAAACCAAGGATGGTGCAGAAAACACTGGACTGCAATCATAGCTGGATAATAATGGCAACATTAATTGGATCTCTGTGAGTGAACAAAGGATGATAATTCCATAGGAAAGGGCTGGTGTGGAAGCATCTGTAATTTTGAGCTAAGAGCAAATCAAGACCATCAACATTTTGGAATACCTACTTCTCATATTTGCAGTGTACTTCCACTAGCCCTGACCCTGTAACAGGAACAAGATGGAGCAGGGAATCTTGCCACAGGGAATGGAGTGAGAAAGAGAAAGCATGTTTGCTCCTTTAAAAGTATGTGCAAACCTTTACAAACACACACACACAAAAACTACGTGCTACTCAATGATTTCAAGATAGCCTTGTATACCTTCAGCATTTGTGGCTCTGTAATTTGTCTGCATTGCTCTTTCCACCTGGCAGACTCCAGCTGCAAGAAGCGGTTCTCCTCTCTGTTCTTTGCCATCTCCTCCTGCAGCCCGCTCGTCTCTGTTCTGAATGCACAGACCTGCTGTTTCATTTGCTCCATCTCGGCCCGCTCCTTCTCAAATTCCGCCTGCAGGAGTTTAATCTGAGCAAGCAGCATATTGTACCTGCAGCCCAGCCCCTCTCTTTCGGCCAGCCTCTCGTCCTTCTGCCTCTGCAGTTCTGCCTCCAAGGACAAGGAACGCTTCTGAGCGTCCTCGCTTTCTCCCCTCAGTTTGTGCAGAGCCGACATGGTGCTGCTGGCTTCACGCTCCAATTTTTGTACGGCGTGATTCAGTTCTTGTATCTCTTGCTCTTTCTTGCGGAGAGTGCAGTCCAGCTCCTTACACTGAGCCATATATTTGACCTTCTCTTCTACCTCTACCTGGTGCTTTTCTTGAAGAACTCTGTAGTCTGCACTGAGCTTTTCCAACTGCAGCGCCAGAGCTTTCTTCTCAGGCCCAAAGTCCTGGAGATCATCCTTAGTGTTTCCTGAAGCTCCCATCATGCACTTTGGGCACCCCTCTGCCTCTTCCTTCTTCCCTGTGACTTTGCCCAGTGCTTCTATGAGATCAGCAGTGTTCTCCTTCATCTTCCTGATGGTGTCAATGAAGTTGTGGTTCATGAAAAAGTCCACCTCCTGCTCTTTAAACCTTTTCTCCAAAGAAACATCACAATGATAAAGGTCCATTACTTGGATCTGTTGCCTCTTTTGGCCTTGCTCTAGTGCCTGGATGATTTTGTTCAAATCCGTATCTCCTTCCTCAAGAAGGAGTTTCTCAATTTCTTTGGTCTTCTCAGAAAATATACTGCCATACTGAAGACCCAAGATATGGGGCAGGTGCTTCTGCTGGTCCAGTTCTAAGTCCTTAATGACCTTGCTGAAGTCCATATCGCCTTCTTGAAGCAGCAACTGCTTTGGACTAAATTCCAGGGTGTTCCAGAGATTATCTGAAGCTCCATAAGGACTCAAGCAGCAGCTCTTTGTTGAATGGGTTGAGGAAAGAGCTTTGTCGCCTCTGTCCCCTTGTGTAACTTCTTCTGCCACGAAGGAGGACTTCTCTGAATGGAGAGGTGAAGGCTCAGCGTTATGCTCTCCTTCAGACACATTTTCAACCTGTATTAACACAGATCACGTGATAAGCAAATATTTAAATCAAAACGTCACAGGTGAAAAGTAATTTCTATGAGATCTGCTTTCTGTAACAAGCGGACTGATGTACTGTAAACTGTTGTAGAAGCTACTTGCCCTCACACACTCCTTAGTTTCGTCTACCAAGGTATGCAAGCTGCGCAATTGTACAGATTGTTTGTGGTGGACATGATCTAAAGTCCAACAGATTCATACTTAATTTCTTGGCAGTGCCTTAGTACTAAAAGTTGCTTCACACGTTTTACATATCATAATTTAACCTGGGATGAGGAATGTTTCTTCTCTGGGTTCTTGCTGCCTTGACTTACAACACAGGAAGGTGTTTTGCAGAGTCAGTCTATGAATCCATTTAGCAGTTTTGTCTACTCCGACTGTCAATGGCTCATCAAGGTTTCAAAGGTAGTTCTTTCTGAGCCCTGCTTCCTGACATCCTTTTGCAGGGGGGATTTTAAGTGGGATTGAAACTGAGAATTTCTGAATGCAAATCATCCCTTCTGCTATTAAACTACAGCCACAACCCAATCATGTGTACATGACTCCACCGAAAGCCATAACATTTGATGTGATCATCTGTGGGGTCACATCAGCTATTGCTCACTCGTACTTCCAAGTCATCAAGTGATGAACGTCAATATAGAACCAATTCTCATTTAAATTAGATCAAACTATGATTCTTTATTTTTTATACTGATGAAGCTGATTGATGCATTATGATAGTACGGCCACTTCTCATGGTTGCTTTTTCTATGATCAATTCTACAATATTTATTATGCTATAAATTTTAAAATCTTACATATTCTGGTATAAGTATGCTATCGTCCACTTTCTCTTCGCTGATACAACACGCTATATTGCTCTTGAGACGTTCTTTTAAATGTCTGTTTGACTGCACCAGAGTGCGAATGTAATCTAGGTTTTCATCCACAGCATTTGGCAAAACCGTGAGCTCAGAGTCCTGGAAATCTTTTGTTGATTCGTTGTGGTGCCCAGTCTCCATCTGTCAACAAGAGGGATTCAAAGCTGGTTCATTGTATCGGAATGAAAATATACTACTACAGTGGTACCTCGGGTTAAGTACTTAATTCGTTCCAGAGGTCCGTTCTTAACCTGAAACTGTTCTTAACCTGAAGCACCACTTTAGCTAATGGGGCCTCCTGCTGCCGCGATTTCTGTTCTCATTCTGAAGCAAAGTTCGTAACCCGAGGTACTACTTCTGGGTTAGCGGAACCTGAAACGTCTGCAACATGAAACGTCTGTAACCTGAAGCGTATGTAACACGAGGTACCACTGTACAACCATATCTTTGCCAGACACAAAGCTCTAAGTCAAAAAATTTAGTCAAACCTTGGTTTTCAAACGTCTCGGCTGCCGAACAATTTGGAAGCTGAAGGCTGAAAACCCAGAAGTGAATGCGCTTCAGAAGTCAAACGGCTTCCGCAGCAGCACATTTTTCATTTTCACCATTCACTTTGCCGGCAGCCCTTTGATTTTTGAACGTTTCGGAAGTTGAGCGGACTTCCGGAACAGATTTCGTTTGAAAACCGAGGTTCCACTGTATGTACATCCCGTATTTCTCATTATAAAAGATCATAGAAAGAGTACAGGGCTTGGACCTCCTGGAAATCTGACAGCATTCTTCGAAAAGGGTAGTTAGGCTATCTACTTTTTTGGACTTAAGAATTGACACCACCATCCTTCCCATCTACAGCCCAGCTAAAGGAAGGCGCACCGTATTTCCTTCATCTGATGCTTTTTCAATCGCATTTGAGCCATTCCATTGGACAATTAAGTCTTCATTAGCCGCACACACATCTGTCTTCAGTAAAGAACCTGTGGGCTGTGTGAGAAAACTTGACACAATGGGCGATTCCTTAACAATGCAGTCCAATAAGGACTCTTCCATGATAGGCACATCTGATGTTTCCACCAGTAACTCCTCTGCTTGCATGGCATTTTCGGTTGTGACTTCCTGTGACTCTTCTGGATCAGATTCTTCCCCCGTTCTGTACCATTCCTCCGGCCAACTCTGCATCCTGCACTGTTGCTCTGATTCCCCTTGGTCCAATAATCCCTCGTTGCATTCCTTCCACTCAGTGATAAAAGAGGAATCTTTCATTATAGGGCAAGTTCTTAGCGTGCTCAATGGCGACATTTGTTTCTCTGAAGCATCTTCAAAATCTGCCCGATTAAAACAAAAAACACCGTCAAATTCACTGAGAGAACTGGTGGTACTTTTCAGGTGTGCAGGATTAAAGGTGGTTCTCCTGCTCTCTGTAAGGCAGGTTCTAAAGTGAGACAGCAGTTTGAAATCCTCAATACAGTGATTTAATCCGATATTGCCTCTCATCTTTTTGGGGGACCCCATTTGTGACATTTTTTATTTTTAAAAAAAGAATAGTGCTAGGTTGAGCAATGTGGACTAGTAACAAACTACTGAGGCTTTGCAGTGCTAGTGCCTCTTTAATTAGAAGCTTTTTCACAGCTTGTACAATTGTAATTATTTCCTTTCAGGAAAGGATGCAGCATAACTGAATTGTCCTTAAAAAGTAAAGGTACCCCTGCCCGTACGGGCCAGTCTTGACAGACTCTAGGGTTGTGCGCTCATCTCACTCTATAGGCCGGGAGCCAGTGCTGTCCGCAGACACTTCCGGGTCACGTGGCCAGCGTTACAAGCTGCATCTGGTGAGCCAGCACAGCACACAGAACGCCGTTTACCTTCCCGCTGGTAAGCGGTCCCTATTTATCTACTTGCACCCGGGGGTGCTTTCAAACTGCTAGGTTGGCAGGCGCTGGGACCGAATGACGGGAGCGCACCCCGCCGCGGGGATTTGAACCGCCGACCATGCGATCGGCAAGTCCTAGGCGCTGAAGTTTTACCCACAGCGCCGCCCGCGTCCCGAATTGTCCTTAATTGGCCTTTAATTGCTCTATTTGCTTTCCCTGCCAAAGAAGGATAATTATTGGTTTTCTCTTTGGAGCCAAAACAATTGCTTTTTTTAATTCAACTTTTTATGAGCTAAACTGATGGGCACTTAAGGGGCAATTAAGAGACTACTCTGGAAGACTTCTAAAATATAGGACACTATAGCAGGATCTTGGTTGTGAGGAGATATATTGCCAAGTAAGACGGTGGTATTATTTGGGTTGCCAACAGCAATCTTACATTAAATGCTCAAGCTACTCTTGCCAATAGGAGGACTATCTTAACAGAGCAATGCTTTGCAATCATTTTTGAGACAGTACAGTTCAGCACTGTGGTACATATCAGGAATTTTTACATGACCAAGCCTCACCTCTTGTATTAGCCATGCTAATAATCACTGTCATGTATAAAAGAATATTTCCATAACCAAAAGTGCTCATGTACCTGCTGTGTCGTGTGAAAGAAGGGATCAGGCTAGACATTCAAGAGTTCAAGCACCTATTGCTTCATTTGATATAGCTAAAAAAAGGCACATACCATATGTGAAATCTTCAAACATCAGCTCAGAATGATGGTCTTCTCTGTAGAGTGTGCAGTCAAGTCCACTTTTCCTCACTGAATCCTGCACTTCATTCTGGAATAATTATTTTTTAAAGAGTCATTAATAACCTTTGCAACTGACACGAGGTTTAGGACATCAGGACCTCAACAGCAATAAAATGAGCTGCCCTTGAAAACTGTTCAGAATCTTCCAACTAGTTCATAATGCACTGACCAGATTTTTTTAAAAAAACTTTATTAAATCATACACACGCATATACACTTACATAAAATAGCATAATGCATACATAATAAATATATATAATAAAAAAACAATGGCAGAAGTTGAGAGTAAAGCGGATGTGAAGAGTCACTGAGAGGAAAAATAGCGGCAGTTTTAAACAATGGCAGAGGTTTGGGTAGAGTGAGCAGGGTGTGACACTGAGGGGAGTGTGGAAGCTTGAAACAGAGTTTGAGTACAGCAAGAAAGAAGATGCCTTGCTGCGTTATCCTTTCGATGTCAGCTTCTGAGTTGTACTCGTCTCTGCTATTTCTACTGGTTCAAAGTTATTTGTTTTTCAAACCAAACCAAACCCAGCATTCCATCCCTGCTTTACTCAAACCTCTGTTGTTGTTTAAAACCACCATTTTCATCTCAGTGAACCTTCACCAGGGGCGAACAAAGGCGTCGTGACACCCAGGGTGGGGCGTCGCTACGTACGACGCATGCGCCGTACGTAGCGACGCCGCATATGCGCTGTACATAGCAGTTTGCCGACGGCAGCACTCCAGCGCCGTACGGACGGTGCCAGGATCCTCTGTAGTGGCGACAGAGGGTTCCCACCGCCGTCCGTACGGCACTCAAGCGGTGCCAGTGGCAAACCGCTATGTACAGCACATGTGTGGCGTCACTATGTACAGCGCATGCGTGCAATGCCGCACATGCGCTGTACGTAACGGTTTGCCGCCGGTGCTGGGATCCTCTGCTCGCAGCTGCAGTCACGAATGGAGGGTGCTCCACATGCGACGGCACGATGGCTGCTCGTGCCCCCGCGGGGTGCCTTCTTGTCACCCCCGCAGACATGGCACCCAGGGTGCACCATCCCCTGTTGCAACGCCACTGGCTTTCACCCCGCTTTACTCAAACTTGAGACCTGCTCAGTTGGTTTTCGTACGTGTGCCCCCCCCCGTCTCCTCTCCTCATAGACTTCTAGCATACCAAGGGCAATAATGGTGGCTACAGCCCAAACGACTACATTCCTAAGCTGCCAAGAGAGAGTACAAGTGATGATTCAAAGAGCACATACTTGGGAGATCTCTGAAGCTGTGCTGCAGCTTTCTAGGTCCAAATAAATGTTGCTGGTGGAAACAGGGTTTACTGCTTCACTCATGATAGTTAAAGGCTCCCAGGTGCAAAAAGAAATCCTCCTCTGATGTGCCAATTCCTAAAGAAACATAAGATTATTTTCAGTACCTTAGACACGGTTAAAGCATCACACGCAGCCTAAAACCTATACATGTCTACTAAGGCATAAAACAAAGCAGAGGCGATTTTATGATTGCACAACGGTTCATTCGCACTGGGCTGCGCCACCACAACAATGCAGGACAGGCAGAAGTAATTAGAAATCAACCAAATGCCAAATTGCTCACAGTTTTCCGGATCCATTGAGATCGCCCCAGGTTTCCCCCAGAGGAGGCTGCAACTTGCTTCCTCGATGCCCCGATCTCCTCTGAAGGGGCTGTTGACAGTTTCTTGTTCGTAAAAGCGCACGTGGCCAAAGGCGCGCCTACGTCACAAAGAATCTTAAGCCCCCGCAGCCGCTCCATTTGCAAAGAGGAGCGCGCAGTTTTAAGAAGAAACACCGCATTTCTCTCGCCGGGCATAATGTATGCAAGCGCAACCCGATCCTCCTTATGCTTCCTTGGAAGTCCTTAAGTTAGGCTCCCACCCCCCATGTGTAAAGTGTGCAAACGGACCTACTGAATTCCGAGAAAACGTGGAAAGGACCAAGCTGTCAGTTCCGGAAAAATAACGAAGCATGGGATCCCTTGCCAGTCCCTGCGCTCAGACGAGCCGCCTAGGATCGACACAGGGCTTTGGGTGCCGAGAAAGGGTAGAGACCGACCATAGCGGAATAATAAGAACATAAAGCGAGCCTGTTGGATCAATGGCACATCTAAGTCCAACACCCTTGTCTCATAACTGGATGCATGCGGCAAACCTGCAAGCAGTCGGCCAGCAGTCTAAGGTTATTGTTGTTGTGGTTGTTGTTGTTCCGCCTTTCATCAAAAGATTTCAGGGCGGTTGCAATCCCAACCCCATTTACCAGGGAGTAAGTCCCACTGAATTCGCCCTGGCTGGCAGATTCCGAGCAGACACGTGCAGGAAAAATCTTGAGTTCAGAAAACAAATTAAAAGATTCAACCCGGAGCCGGACTGGGTCTTATCAGAGCGCGCATCTTCCTAACTCCGGGTGCGTTTGCTGCATCGAAGCGCATCTTGCGCAAATGGTTCAGGGGCTATGCGATGCGCGCGTCCGCCCGGCTCTCCGTCCACCCCTCTCCACGCCGAAGCGAAACTCCTTCCCTCCCTCCGTTGCTCCGGCGCCGGCTCCGATCCTCTTCGCGATCCTCCCCTTCCCCTCAATTGGGCAGGCGCCGGCAGCGACGGGCGCCCGGATTGGCGCGAGGGAGAAGTGGAGGAGGAGAAAGAGGGCTGGGCTGAGCCCTGCGGAGCCGGGCAGCGTGTCGGCGGAAGGAAAGGTAGGCCCGGGCAGCAGGAAACGGGTGGCGGGGTGGGAAGAAACAGCGGCTAGGGCACAGGGGGGAAGGGAGAGGAGGCCTGGTCAAAGGGGAGACGCAAAACCGGAGCGGGGCTTGGCGTGGACCTTTGTCCGAAAGCAGCGCTCCCCGCAAGAGGCCTGGGCAGCGAGTGCGCTTTTGCGCTTCTTCCCTTGCTGGCTGCTGCGGGCGCCGCGTTGGGGACCCTGGAGTAGAGCCTACAGGGGTTAGGCGCGTACATTTTCGGACTTGGTTAAAAGGCAGGCCGCCTCCTATGGTTTGTGCTACCTCCTGAGTAGCCGGTGGTGAAGTTTAGCCTGGGCGATCTTCTGTAGGATGTACACGCAGGATGTTGCTCTGTTGAGACGTATAATTTCCACGCTTCGTGCGAGTCCCCAGGCGGGGTTGTAGTCAAGTGTGCTGTGTGAAATGATCTGGAATAGTTGCACTCCTGGTTCTGTGCTCTATAGACTTAGTTGAGCAGTGTTTCTCAAACTTGGGTTCCTATCAGTTGTTGGATGGTGGGTAAGGGTTCTAATCTTCAGCCTGCCAAACCCTGGAGATGGGTATTTGACTGGTTAAAAAGGGTTATGGTCAAATAATGGTCAAGTTCGTTAATGGCACCACCTCCAGATGACCTGTTTATACTGATTTGCTTGTGCAAATATTATTCCGAGTTATGGAGTATTTGCTCTGGCTTCTTAACAGTTCTGCAACAATGAGCATTCGCTCTAATTTGCTTCTGGAGTACTTACACGTCTTCCCATTGAATTGGTTCATCTCACACTTCCCAGTGTAATTTCACCATCCTTTTCCTAATCTCAGAAAATCTTGTTTTTGTTTTTAGGGGATTGGACGGAGCACTTCAATCCGCTTTAATTGTTCAAGTCTAAATTCCCAGTATGTGCTTGAATCCTTCCTTCCAGAACAAGAACAATTGTTTTTATTTCATTTATTTACTATTTCATCATTCTTATAACCAACCCTTCCTCCCATAGGGAGGATGGCTTACAAGAATAGTAAAAAAGCTAGCAATGCTAAAATCGTAATAAAACAGCCTTAACACAACAATTGGACAACAATCAGTTATGGAATATTGTAACAGGTTGAGCCTACTACTTGGATGAGTACAGCATGCACACCACCCACCCACTCGCAATATATAGTGTGTAAAACATTGTCTTATTGTCCAATAATATTTTACAGGAAGTGGATCAGGGTTGTGTGCATTGGAGATCTTCTACTAGCCGCAATGAATTACAGGGTGAAAATTATGAGCAAAATAGTTCCAGGGCAATTTGACGATGCGGAATCTTCAGACAGGTAATGGAACAATAGAATTGTCGAAAGTGATTTTCAGATGGTGTGAAAGAACAGAGCTCCACAGAGTCATCTTTCCGGAGAGGCTGTTTGAAGTATGGGGAGAAAAAGAGAGTAGCAATGTGATGTTGACACAGAAGAGCAGCAGAACATTTGGGGATATTTTTTCCTTCCTTTTCCTAACCTGTCATAGGTTGGGCCCAGTTTCCATAATGTACCATATTATGAAATGTGATTTGGTCAAGAGTATGTTTCTGGTATGGACTTGTTGGGCTGGCTTCAGTTATAGGCAGTTTTTACAAAAGCTGCCATATCTTGTTTACAGTATCCAAGGCCTAATAATCAATCGTGCTTGTACTTTTGTTCCCAGTTCCTCTTGCTGGATTTCTCGTGCATCTCCATTCATACAGAGAGGGGTATCTATGATCCGATAATGTTATTTATAAGACTTTCAGCTAATTCACTTATCAATAAGGAAGATGTACAGAAAGTTAGACCGGTGTGGATAATTTGCTGAAATATGTAACTGCCACCAATTCTGTCCTTCCCAGTAGTCAAGTGCCAACCTAGATAACTTCACAGTAACACTTTCGTTTAAAATGCAGATCAAATGAAAGGAAGGGAGGGGATGGAATCCAACAACCAAAGAAACACTGAATCTTATTACAGTAAAAAAAGAAAAAGTTTCAAAGCTGTATTTCTCTCTTTTATTGTCTACGATATCTGTAATAATAATATACAGGATAAATCTATTTTGTTTCTGCCTACTTGCAAACTAAATTGAGTTACAGTAAAAGTTCAGAACTAATACACCCTACTTCAAAATTTCATCGGTTTCAACACCACCAATAGCCTTCTTCAGAAATGGCTCGTGCACATAAAGCATGCAGAAGAGGCTGTTGGTTCATGCTGCCTGCCCCTGACACCCATGCGCTCAGTGTGGGTGTCTGCAAAAGAAAAGCATGGACACATTGCTGCAAGACTGAGAACCCTCTTCATGTAGGGTTCCCAATCATGTGAAAGCATATTCACATAGTAGATGTGCCTAAGCCCACCTTTTACAGATGTGGGCATTGGAGGCATGGACATAAGAAGCTGCCACATACTGAACAGGATCATTTGTTCCTCTAGCGCAGTATTTTCTGCACTGAACAGCAACAGCTCTACAGGGTTTTAAACTGCGACGTTTTCTATAGATGCCTGGGATTGAACCGCAAAGTGGATGCTGTACCACTGAGCCTTACAGTCCTTGCAGAGGCATTCCCCCACAGTCTTCCAGGGGCAGGGTTTGCTGAGCATGAACCTTGGAAAGGCTTGCAAGTCACCTTGATACTTGATTCTTGTACACAAGAGGGGCAAGGGGGAATCTCCCAGGTGTGACACTCAGCCTCAAGGAAGCTTGGAAGGTAGTCAGTGAACTTATCTGGGACGGCTAACAGCAAAGCAGCAATTAATCTGTGCTCCAAGGTACTATTTCAGTATAATAATAATACTGATGATTATGATAACGACAGGGAGCTAGTTGTACTGTGTTGCTGGCTTTGCGCAACTTGATGAGTTTATCATGATTTCACTAAATACATTCTTTTAAAATATATACGTTAGTGAACGCACACAGGCTTCCAAAGCAGCTGAAGAGGAGAAGGCGATCTTTATAACGCAGCAGCCACGTTTGTGTGAGGAAGCAGACGAGGGTGAATTGGATGAGAGTGGCGAGGAGGAGGACGACAGCGATTGGGACTGGGACGATGCCATGGGGAAGCTCACGAAGCGAAATCCGTTGTCTGCAGGAAGAAACCCTCAGGTATGTTGTTCAAGGAATGTGTGGCTTGAGGGTTCCAGCTTGTTGTTGCTCTTAAGTGAGTTTTTAGACGGCCTCAGGTTTAGATCCTAGCTACACCTGGAGGGATGATAGGAATTGTAGTCCAACAACCTTTGGAGGGAAGCAGGTTTCCTGCCCCTGGACTGGACAACCTCCAAGGTCCTTTTTAACCCCATTTTCTGTAACTCTGTAATGAGGGATCTGGAGTGAGTTGCAGCATTGCACGCTCCCTCTTCCTCTGGTGCAAATATACCCCTCACTCCTAGGCATAACCATGGTTAAAGTGTTTATCAGAGCTTGACTCACATGCTGATTGGGCTTTTGTACCCAGGTGGATGGTCTGCGAAATTTGCATGAGAAAGGATGGGTTGTGCAAGCATGATGTCCGGATTGTATGGCTCTGGTTATGAGATCGGGAGTACGATTGTGTGACAGGGTTTCTTTTTTTGTGTTTTTGTTTCAGGCCAATAAGCAAATTCCTAGCTGCAACGCAGCCAAAATGTCCACTCCTACAGATAAGGCCCTAAGAAAGTTTGAGAATAAAATCAATCTAGGTAAGAGCAGTCATTCTCGTTTTCTAGAAATAGGTATTTGTTAAGGACCGTGCCGAATAGCCATATTTGCTGGGTTGAAGTTGGTGAATCCACGTGTGTCACACTCCCTAATGTAACTCATCAGTATGAGTTTAAGAACTGCAGACAGGCACACACAGCCTGAAAATGTGTTTCTCAGGCTCTGTGCTCCTGCCTACCTACACCTTTGAGGTCACCCCCCCCCCAGCTCATGCAAGGGGGCACAGGACTTGATCAGCTGTAGGGCTGGCCGATGTATCTCGGTGGGGAGGAAGAAACAGTCGAGATGCATTCCAGAAAGTCAGAAATATATCAGCATATCATGGTATTTAGCTGCTGATATATCACGATGCTGAAAACCAGCCTTGCTTGAAAAGACTATACAGTGGTACCTTGGGTTACAGACGCTTCAGGTTACAGATGCTTCAGGTTACAGACTCCGCTAACCCAGAAATAGTACCTCGGGTTAAGAACTTTGCTTCAGGATGAGAACAGAAATCATGCTCTGGCGGCAGCGGGAGGCCCCATTAGCTAAAGTGGTGCTTCACGTTAAGAACAGTTTCAGGTTAAGAACGGACCTCCGGAATGAATTAAGTTCTTAACCCGAGGTACCACTGTACCGTAATGGTAACCATTGGGTGGCCGCGGTGGGGGGGATTAACTTGATATTTTTCTTTTTAAGCTATTCTTTTTTAATCATATCTGTGTAGCATGTTGCACACTATGGCTGTCACAGGACAAGGATTCTGTGGCCCTCCAGATGTTGCTTGACTACAACTGCTGTCATCCCTGATGATTGGTTACGCTGGATAGGGTAGATCAATGTTGTGAGTCCAACAACATTGGGAGAGCTACAAGTTCTCTCATTCTGATACAGCCCATTCTCCTCTGTCTGCACGACAGCAGGTATCACTGAACCCTCCTCCATTTGCAGGTCCTGCATCCCACAGCACACCCTTAGTTACTATCTGGAGCAAACCTTAAGTTCCTTTGGCCACAGGGAGAGAGAAGGAAGTTATTCGTACCAGATTTCATCTTCCACACCCCAGTATGTTCATGCCTATGTGAGAGCAATGTAATAGACTTCTCTTTTCTGTGCCATTGTCTGAAACCTTAGGAAGGTGTTGGAGGAGTCTCTGAGAGTCTGGCCTAGTTCTCTGTATTGTTCACTTCCTGCTGAAATAGCAGGCCTGAAACTACAGTGGTACCTCTGGTTACGTACTTAATTTGTTCTGGAGATCCGTTCTTAACCTGAAACTGTTCTTAACCTGAGGTACCACTTTAGCTAATGGGGCCTTCTGCTGCCACCACACTGCTGGCACACAATTTCTGTTCTCATCTTGAGGTAAAGTTCTTAACCCGAGGTACTACTTCTGGGTTAGTGGAGTCTGTAACCTGAAGCGTTTGTAACCCGAGGTACCACTGTACTTGTGTTTAAATGATTTTTGGACTACAAAGAAGCCAAACGTAGTACCTTTGTTGTGTGTAATGGCTTTATTTTAGAGACATTTCAACAAGGACATTTTTCTTGATGTGTCATGGATAAGGAGCGTGACGCATTTTCAGGCTGCAGAGTCAGAAACTAGTTTTAAATTGAGACGTGCGGGTAGGCGAAAGAGGAATGTATTGGTGTTAATTTCCTTATATGTGTGTGTTTTCCCCTCTTCAAGACAGGCTACACTTTGCTGACTCTGTTATAAATAAAGTTACTGAGAAGTCCAGGCAGAGAGACGCAGAAATGTAAGTAGTGAGGATGACACATTTGTATTTCAGTATTATCCAAATGAAGTGTAGTGGATCATGAAATTCCTTTGTTTCCACTAGGTACCGGGTGAAAGACAAGTCAGACCGAGCAACAGTGGAACAAGTAAGTCACGCAGAGTATCAGACAGTTGCAAAAAAAATCCCCATTTAAATAAAAATCAAGAGTCCTCACCTTTTAAAAAAAGCAAACTGACGTAATAAAATGATTAAACCACATTTACTCAGAAGTAAGTAAGTCCTGAAGAATTCTGTAGTGGGTGTCCATAGCTAAATAGATTTTAGTGTGCTAAAATCCACTTTTGCTTAATCTTGGTATTTATCCATTTTAATCAACCATTTTTACTGTGATTTATTGTTCTAATTCTTGGCTTGGACCAACCTAACACTTAGCTCCTAAAAAACCCCAATGCTCTTAGCTCTCTTTGTGTTTTTATTATTTTATATAATCTCTTATATGCAAGAATTTAGACGGGACCAATAAATGCAAGAGAAAAGTTTCTGGGCAGCAGTTCCAAGTAATGCCATTTCATAAGGCTGTTTTGTTGCTTTCCTGAGGTTCTGGATCCAAGGACTAGAATGATTCTGTTCAAGATGCTAACCAGAGGTGTCATATCGGAGATCAATGGCTGCATCAGCACAGGAAAAGAGGTTGGTTTCACTGCAAAAAGAGCCAGCTATAATAATCTGTTTAAAACCATTAGACTAAAAAGAGGGTCCCAATTAAACACACAACACATTTTCAAAATATAAATATAAAAACCAAATTAGTTCAAATTCAAGCGGCAGACAATTATACAGTATAAGCATGCAAAGACAATGGAGAGGTTGTACACGACACTAAACAATGTTTTAGTGTTACGATGGTGAGCTGCAGTTGTGTGATTACTTCCTTCTGCCCTCAATCAATGCTGTGAGAAGATTAGAAGCTGAATCCTGGTCATTGTAACACAGAACATAATGTAATCCAGCCTTTGAATTCTGAGCTTTAACAATAATTACCTTTTGGGAGTCAGGTCCAGCTTGCAAGCTGCCAGTTAGAAGTCCCTGCGCTAGATGATTGATCTTATTTACTGTATTTTTCCGTGTATAAGACTAGGTTTCCCCCCCTAAAAATTAATGTCAAAAATTAGGGGGTGTCTTATACATGGGACCATCTCCCCCCATTTTCTTAAATCTGAGTCTTATAGACGGAAAAATACAGTAATAAGTGGGCTTGGTATGTGCAACAGTGTAGTAGAACAGGATTCATTTTGTGAGAACTTTACATCCATCTTTATTATTTTCATGAAAGGAATCTTGTTCTGCGTGCTTCATGCAAATTGTGTGCATCATTGGCGCCATGGTTTGCACACACATGCAGAAGTATGCAGGTATACCGCCACCTGCCTCTTCTGTTCATGATCCAAGTGTTTGGGGACTGAAAATGTAAACAGAAATGTGGTTCTACGCAGGTGCCTTCTGGAATAGGGCTGCACAGGTACGGTGGAACCTCGTGTTATGCACCGTCCTCCTTGCGAACACTTCGGGTTACGAGCTCCGCTAACCTGGAAGTAGATGCTCCAGGTTGCGAACTTTGCCCCGTGATGCGAGCGCAAGTTGTGTGGCGGCGACAGCAGGAGGCGCCATTAGCGAAAGCGTGCCTCATGTTAAGAACGGTTTCGGCTTAAGAACGGACCTCTGGAACGAATTAAGTTCGTAACTGGAGGTACCACTGTATTGGCCTATTAGTTTCTTGGGCTGCCTTTAGCTTGGTGGATTAAGCAGACTTTTGTAGTATAGGATCTCCTTGGATTGTAATCTTAAAACTATGGGGGTTTTTTTAGCAACAGGGTCCTTATCTTTGAATAAAGATCAGATGATACATTTTTGTTTTGCCTATTTGCAATTTGCTAGGCTAATGTATATCATGCCAACACAGCAAACGGAGAGAACAGAGCCATAAAGATTTATAAAACGTCTATACTGATGTTTAAAGATCGGGATAAGTATGTGAGTGGAGAGTTCAGGTGAGTCTGAGATTTTAATTTTTACCCCCAGCACACTTACGTGTGCCTGGTTACTTAACGTTTTCCATAACAATAATTTCCATGCTGGGTTTTTTTAGAATTACATTTGCCTGTTGTTTTTTCCTCAAGGTTTCGCCATGGCTACTGTAAAGGAAACCCAAGAAAAATGGTCAAGACGTGGGCAGAAAAAGAAATGAGGAATTTAACAAGGTGACCTTTTTCAAACATTTTGGCCAAGACTTTGTTCCCATACGCCAGCTCTCATCAGCCTGGTGCCCTCCAACTGTTCCAGCCTACAACAGCCATCAGGCACAGAGAGTTGTAGTCCAGAACACCTTTGCAAAGGCTGCTATGCTCCATTTTGTAGTGGATCAAATGAACATTTTAATGGGCTCCCTTGGGAAATTAAAATAGAATCCTAGGGTTTGAAGAGACGAGAATTTTGCTAACCCCAGTCCCTTTTCCCATAGATGAACATTCCCATTTCCCTGCAAGTCATGCTTACCTTTCTGACAGATAAATGGAGTATTTTTTGTGCTATAACTATTAATGGGCCTTTTTAAAAAAAAACTTAGAACATTTTAGTAAGTGTTACAAGTGTTTTTTAAAAAACCCTTCATGCCAGATAATATCATGGGGGGGGGCTTTTTTTTTGTAGGTTACATACAGCCCAAATTCCATGCCCAGAACCTATTATGCTCAGAAGTCACGTTCTCGTTATGAGTTTTATTGGAAAAAATGACATGTAAGTATACTCAGAAACTTTGTTCGTGTTTGTGTATTTTTTTTATATAAAGAAATCACTTTATTAGCAATTCAATCCTGTAGCTAGTCAGAAGCAAATCCATAGCTCTGTTAGTGAGTTTTCTCATCTATCTATCTATCTATCTACCTCAAAAAAATGCTCTTGTATTGTCCTGTAGTTCAGACAGGGTCATCTCATCATTGCTTGGGAGGGGGGGAGCCTAAATAATGAAAATCTGAAAGCAAACGGGGAGAAAAATAATATAATTTGTTAGATGCAAATAACTGATACAATTAGTTAGATGTGAATACAGTGGTACCTTGGTTTTCTAATGTAATCCGTTCTGGAAGACCATTCAAGTTCTGAAATGTTCAAAAACTGAGGCGCAAAGGGTGGTCTGCAAATTTAATAAATATGAGAAAAAGAACATATGCACTCAGCAACTTCTGAGGCGTGTTAGAAAACCGAAGCGTTTACTTCCGGGTTTACGGCATTCGAAAACCAAAACGTTTGTCAAAAGAGACGTTTGAAAACCGAGGTACATACTTGATTAGCTTAGCCCACCCATTAGAAATTACATTAGTATAAGCAAATACAAATGACACATGCGCAAAGGAAATGTCTACTGAAATAAAACAAATAGTGATAATAATAATAACTGTAATAGATAGAAGACGCCATAGAAGGAAAAAAAGGAAAGAAGAAAAAAATAAGGTAAGGGAGGGGAATAGGTGTGTGTGTGCATGTGTGTATAATGCAGTGGAGAGTTATTCAGAAGTCAGGTACAGTGGTAAAAAGGTAAAGGTACCCCTGCCCGTACGGGCCAGTCGTGTCCGACTCTAGGGTTGTGCGCCCATCTCACTTAAGAGGCCGGGGGCCAGCGCTGTCCGGAGACACTTCCGGGTCACGTGGCCAGCGTGAGGAAGCTGCTCTGGTGAGCCAGCACCAGCGCAGCACATGGAAACGCCGTTTACATTCCCGCTATACAGCGGTACCTATTTATCTACTTGCACTTAGGGGTGCTTTCGAACTGCTAGGTGGGCAGGAGCTGGGACCGAAGGACGGGAGCTCACGCCGCCGCGGGGATTCGAACCGCCAATCATACGATCGGCAAGTCCTAGGCACTGAGGTTTTACCCACAGCGCCACCCGCGTCCTATTCAGGTACAGTGGTACCTCGGGTTAAGTACTTAATTCGTTCCGGAGGTCTGTTCTTAACCTGAAACTGTTCTTAACCTGAAGCACCACTTTAGCTAATGGGGCCTCCTGCTGCCGCCATGCCGCCGGAGCCCGATTTCTGTTCTTATCCTGAAGCAAAATTCTTAACCTGAAGCACTATTTCTGGGTTAGCGGAGTCTGTAACCTGAAGTGTATGTAACCTGAAGTACCACTGTATTTGAAAATAGGTTACAATGGGAGGTGTTGTCTTTGACCCTTTCTTCCAATAGCTTATGCCTCCGAATATCAGTCTCTGAGAATTGCAATTGGGGAGAGTGCTGTAACACTCTGGTCCTGCTTATGAGCTTCCCATGGACATCTGGTTGACCATTGTGGGAAATGGGACGTTGGACTCGATGGGCCTTTGGCCTGACTCAGCAGAGCTCACATTCTGTTAGCCAAAGTGGGTATGGTATTGGAGAAGAAGGAGGACAACTGTTGATTATATTCTGGTTTTTTCCCTCTCCCTCTCTCCTTTTCCTTTTGATCCAAGGCCTGCTCCATTGTTGAAAAACGCCCAGTTGTCAGAATCCAAAGCTCGGGAGTTGTATCTGCAAGTCATACAATACATGAGAAGAATGTACCAAGATGCCAAGCTCGTTCATGCAGATCTCAGTGAATTTAACATGCTGTATGTCTTAAAGAAGCTGAACGTTGATACCTCTTTCATCCGTATATGTTACCTTGCACAACTCTGCCCTGGAGCTAGGGTGTTGTCCTCCTGGCTCCACAGCCTGTGAATGTGACAGATGATTTGTGTCATTGTTACACCAGAGCTCTTTAAAAATTGGTGCAGTTTCCAAGAAACAAAATGAAAAATGAAAAGCTGAATTTATCCTACAAAATGAGGTCAATTGTAAATGAGCTTCTATTCTCCTTTTTTCCTAAAACCATTTTGGGGGTTCAGTTGGCTATCTTTCTGCAGTATAAAAATAAATATGTAGAGCAAGAGATGCGATTGGACTTAGATCAAGCATCTTTTGCCATCCTAAGATTCAGGTGTTTGACATGCTCCTTCGGCTCTGTTTCCAAGGTTTCCCTAAAGTTAAAACCTTGGTCAAGTATCTTTTATAAGTCTATACCCAGCTTTTCATGGATCTTAAAGACACCTCTGGCATCTGCGCTTAGATTCTCCTGCTTTGGCTTATGGCGAGAAATAAGAAATGAGATTAAGAAAATAGCTAAAACGCATTGATCAGCCTTGTATCTTCTGATCTGCCCTCTGCTTTCAAGTAGAAAAAAATAATAAAATAATAATAATTAAATTCATTTTTATTTCAGTAAACAAAATCGTAGGGCATACAGTGGACTTAATTTCACAGAAATGACTTGTGCTTTACATTAGCTGAAATTCTAATGACCTCCCTCTTTCACCCTAAGTGGTAGAATGTTCCATAAAAAGTCCCTAGTAAACTTTCAGAAACAGCAGTACTAACAATAGCATCATGTTGCTTATTCCCACTTCTCCAGGTATCACAGTGGTGAGGTATACATCATAGATGTGTCCCAGTCGGTGGAACACGACCACCCACATGCTTTAGAATTCCTGAGGAAAGACTGCTCTAACATCAATGGTGAGTTCCAGCCAAGAAACATCAACATCCTGGCTATCTTGAATATTTTTGTGTGCCTGATTTAATCCCCTGTCACGTGACAGATTTGCATGCATGGATCTGATCCCGATTGCTCATACATACAGTTTTGAATGGGCACTGGTATAGATTTTCCTGCAAATTAAAATTATTATTGAGTTATCTCGAATGATATTTCGACTCGGATATGCTTTGAAGATTGGTTGCTTCAACATCAACTGTCCAGGATAACTCTTGAGGACTCCACCAAATAACAGAGTTATTCTAGTAATTTTACAAGAGTTCAGATATTCCACACTGCATTTGGTTTGCATAGGTGCGAATATCTTATGTCGCCTTTGGTCCTTTCTGGCAGATTTTTTCCGGAAGTACAATGTTGCGGTGATGACGGTGAGAGAACTCTTTGAATTCATTACAGATCCATCTATTACAAACGAGAACATGGATGCTTACCTTGAAAAGGTAAAGCTTTAGAGATTTTGCCTCTATGGGAAAGCATTTAGAGGGAAGATATTGGTTCAACTCTCTTACAATTCTCTTTTTATAAATGAAAGCTGATTTAGCTATTGTGTATAGCAACGATGTTGTTTTTGCAAAGGTTTCTGCATCCTGCTATAGATACGGAAGTATGATACACATACACTGCTGATGAAATATAAAGGGAGAAAAAAAAGTGTGTCTGTTTCGGTCCTTTCCCACAAACTTACAACGTCTGCATTATTGGTCTAGTACTCTACACTAATTCTCAAAGTTAACCTTCCCCAAACTGGTGCCCTCCTGTGGTTTTGGACTACAGATCAAATTATCCCTGACCTGGCTGGGGACGGTTGGAGCTATATAAGGTTGAAGACTTAACCACTCAATTCAGTTAGTTGCTTATTTGTGCTGTATTCCTCTACTCATATGGCATATGGAGTGGCTTTACAACATAAAATGCACAACAGAAGTACAACATGTACATTAAAAATGCTAATAATAAGTAAAGTTAAAAAAACACAAATGTAATATGAAGACAGCAATAGTCAAACCTTTAAAGGATTATAAGTCTGTAAAAAAAAAGAATAGAGCAATGAAAAGAAGGCACAGAGAATAATGTGTTTCCACAGGACATGTATTAAGACGTCCAAAGCTGATTTTAAAGCATGAGAAGTTCTGTATCGGGTGTGAGAGTTGTTAAGGTAACTAGAACCTGGACAATTTAGAGCTTTGAAGGGCAAAATTAGCAGTTTTAATTGAGCCCAGACGAAACAAGCATCCAGTGAATTTGAGAAAGAATAAAGAGTTTACATGCTCTGGACAAAGGTCTGGCCTGCATATTTTGGACCAATTCAAATTTCCCATCTGTTTTTAAAGGCAGTCCCTTGTAGAAAGCCTATTCTGGGACAGGGACAGCCCCTCTGGGAGTGGTAGCGGTGACTGAAATAGGAAGAGCTATTTCTTAGGGCTACATAGAGAGCATTTAGGTCTTGGTGGGCTTTAAGTCACTGTTAAAAGTCTTGCATTATATCCTATAGGCAATGGAAATATCGTGTGAGAGGACAGAGGAGGAAAGGTCCAATCAGGATAATGTGGATGAAGAGGTAAGCCAGAGGATTTCCTCACGTCTTCTGTATCTGTTGTGTCTCTTCTGTGAAATGTTCATCAGTACTTTGACAATGTTCTGCAGTATCTTTATTATAAATGTTTTTACAGTATCTAAATGTCCGTGAGATTATTGGCCTTGCAGTCTTTCTCTTTCGACACTTGAGTGTTTCCACCTGTTCCCAAGTGGCCCCTCATGTGGACTACACGATGGCAGTGTTCCCGCATCATGCCAAACCATGGTTTCTCATGTTGTTGTCTGTATGGCAAAGTGGTTAACACTAACCATGGTTGGTTTCACAAAAGCCAGCATTAACCACAGGTTGGGTCGTCAAAACGAACCATACTTTGTGTTACTCACAGTTCTGGATCCAGATAACACTACAAGCTGTCATTAACTGGAGGTGAAAGCTTCTGAACTCCTCCAGGAGAAGGAGAAGGAATAGGGCACACGAGACCAGGGTTTGCTGCAGCTTGTGGTAAACCATGGCTTAGCATGATGTGGGAATATGACCAGTGTAGGAACACAGTGATCACAGATAAGGTTTCTAATCCTGCCAGCTGTTAAATATGTTGACATAATTACAACAATTGCTACTGGCCAAATCTAGGCAATCTGATTTCCATGTTGTTTGTCCATGTAAACATATACCTGAGAACCAAACTAGACATCATGTCAGAGGTCCACGATCTTTCGTGTCCTAGTCATATACCCTTTATTAAAACATTGACATTGCAGAACTGAATGAATGTTTGTGGTTATTTCGCCTTGTTAGGTGTTCAAGAAAGCATATATCCCAAGAACTCTGACTGAAGTTAAGAACTACGAAAGGGATGTTGACATAATGATGAAGCTGAAGGAGGAAGAGACAGCCTTAAATGTGCAGCAAGATAATGTAAGTATCCTTGGACTATGTGGAATTTGAGGTTGCACATACTGACCAGAATACCACGATACACTGTAACGATGGTAGCAAGTGTGTAATAAAACTGTTCCTAAAGGAAACCTCTCATTCTTTTCTTCCTCTATTTATAGTACTACAATTATAGCCTCAGTTGGTCTCAGAAATGGTAGATTATTACTATAAAAGGGATGGTCATGATGTAAATACTGGGACAGGATACCTAAGGGACAGCCTCATACTATAGATCCCTGCCTGGTAATTGCTGCTCAGATAAGGCACTGCTAAGAGTAGTGTGTGCCCCAGAGTTATGTTTAGTTTGTACTAGAAACGGGGGCTTTTAGCATTCCCGCTGCAGCCCTCTGGAATAAGTTACCAATTGAAATCGGACAAGCGCCTTGCAACTTTACCTTCAGACATCTACTGCAAACGTGTGTTTTTTTGTCTATGAAAGCATTCCCTGAAGGGGTGACACAATCATTCTATCAAATATTATTTGTTTCTCTTGTAAAAAGGTTTTTCGTTGTTTGTAGAAATTGCTTTAGTTTTCGTAAAGACTTGGTGATTTTTGTGTCTGTTTTATCTCATTTGGACACTGCTTCAATGGCTTGAGGCTATGAATCAGTTCATAAATCTGTATGCCTGCATGCATGAATAAATGCCTGTATTCACAGAACAGCAGGGTGTTAATGGGCACACTGAGTACTTGACGCAGTGATCAGTGCTTTGTGTCAACTGAGCCAATGTAATGTAATGGGTAGGCTGAGGGACATAGACTGGAGACACCCAGCTTCATATTGCTGCTTCCCCAAAAGGCTCATTGAGAAGGATTACCAGGATAATATATATGAAGCCTTTGGACATTTGAAACGTGCTATATAAATGCAAACGTTTATTCTAAGTTTCTTATATTTATTTCCGATGCAGATTCTCTACCAGACTGTGACAGGGTTAAAGAAGGATTTATCAGGTGTCCAGAAGGTAAGTCTGAGATTGTATTCTTCCGTGTGTAAAAATCACTTTGTCTGAAGCTTCTCACAAGATTGAATTTGCATTGTATGTATGTATTGGGTAAATATGGAAATATGGAATGTTTTGTTTCTATTAGCTGAAATATCCTAGTCTATGGAATCATAAGCTCGTGTCAAACATCATACCAAACAATACACAATCAGCAGATGATGGCTTAGATCTGTTTGTCTGCTTTCATTTTCCCAACCCTTGGCTTCATAAATCCATACTTTCCTCTCCATGGTGCAGCAACCTCTGGAGGTAGGGCTGTGGTTTGTGATTTGTCACAAATGAGTGACACTGACTAGCAGTGGTTTACAAACCCATTTCAAGCCGTAGTTTGTAAATTCAGACATCTTTCCAAACCATAGCAAACCTCCATTTCCCCATGAATTGGCATGCCATTGTAGAACTGGAAGAAGCCTTGTGGGTTATCTAGCCTCTTCCTCCGTAAAAAGCAGGATTCCCTAGTTTGATATTGGAATTGTTCTTCCAAATCTCCAGCTTTTCCTGAGCAGGTTGTACCCTTGCCTAATTACCGTATTTTTCGCCCTATAGGACGCACTTTTTCCCCTCCAAAAATGAAGGGGAAATCTGTGTGCGTCCTATGGGGCAAATACAGGCTTCAGGAAGCTATCAGCAAGCCTGGGGAGCCCGCGGGAGTTCCCGCAGGGCTTCCCAGGCTGCGGATAGCAGCCTGCCGCCCGGCGCGCCCTGCGCACTGGGCAGACATCCGCACCCTGGGGAGCCCTGCGGGAGTTCCCGCAGGGCTCCCTAGACTGCGGATAGCAGCCTGCCGCCTGGCGCGCAGGGCGCCCTGAAGCAGAGCGCCCCGCGCGCCGGGCAGACATCGGCCAGCCCCACAAGCTCAGGGGACAGTGGGGAGGCGGAGCACCGCCATACCGCTGTTCCCCGACCTGCTTTGGTTTCCCCAACCTGGTTTTGGGGGGGAAATAAAGGGAATTTCCCCCCCTTTATTTCCCCCCCAAAAAACTAGGTGCGTCCTATGGGACGGAGCGTCCTATGGGACGAGAAATACGGTAATCTCCGAGTTTAGAAATGGTTGCCTAGTTTCCATCCTAAGGCTGCTTTGCTGTCACTAGAATCAAATTGCATATTGTCTTTACAGTGGTCTTTTAGCTACTAGAACAGTTCTTCTTGTGATGATATACAATACCTAGATTGCTTGTTCATGTTCATTACTTGATTACTTTATGCTTGATGACTTCACAGGAAAAAAAATCATTGTGTTTCAGGCAATGTGAGCGGATACAAAAACTTGGCTGTGAGGGTAGATTTGTGATGGTTCATTGTTGCTCCATGTGTTCAACCAGCTGTTGAGGCTAGAATAAGCAACCTGAGGCTCTCCAGATGTTGTTGGACTCCCAGTTCCCATCATCCCTGACCATTGGCCATGATGGCTGGGGCTTATGGGAATCGTAGCCCAACAAGCCCTGGAGGGACACAGATTCTTCATTCCTGGCTTAAGAGTTAGTTTAGAGCAGGGTTTCCCAATATTGGGTCTCCAGCTAGTTTTGAAATACAACTCCCATCAATCCTAGCTTGCAACTGGAGACCCAAACTTGGGAAACCCTGGCTTAGAGTACCCTTCCCCAATGTAATACTCTCCAGATATTTTAGATTACAATTCCCATCAGCCCCTGATAGCATGGCTAGGGATAATGAGCGTTTCGGTCCAAAATATCTGGAGGGCTCCAGGTCATTATTGCTGTGTGTGTGTGTGTGTGTGCGTATATATATATATATTCTCTGAGGGAAAAGTACATCAATTGTATAAATAGGTACAATACGTGAAGAAAGAGAGAGTTCAGCAACATACATCGACTCCTTTGTGAACTTACAAAAACAATTAGATTTAAGTGAGAACGAAGAAGAATTCTCTAGAATTGTAGTGCGTCCAGCGTTATTTCCTATGGAGCTTTTATTGACACTTTGAAGTCCAGAACTAGAACGACACAATTATGTTGTCTGCCTTTTAGGTGCCTGCTCTCCTTGAAAATAGAGAGGAGGCAGAATCTGATTCAGAGGACAATGATAGTTCTGACCATTCAGAGTTGGGCTGCAAAGAGCAGGAAGAAGAATCTGTCCATCCTAAAGATCGACCTGCTGAAACCAGCGTGGATAAAAAGGTTAGTTGTTCAGATGCATCCTCCGTGATGGAGTGTGTGCTTTGTGTGTGCTAAAGATTTCAGGTTCAGTCTTTAGGATCTGTAGCTAGGGCGAGGGAGAAACCTCGTCTAAATGCCTGGAGAGCCATTGCTGAGACAATACTGGGCTGGATGGGGCCAGTGGCATTAAAAACCCAATTACGCAGCATTAAAACATAAACATTCATAAATAAAACCTGTACTATTCTATGAGTCCACTTGGTCACTTAGGCCTATTATTCACAATACTCTCTTTTTCCAGGAACGGAAGAAGATAGCCAAAGAGGCTCAGAGAGAGAAGAGGAAAAACAAGACCCCAAAGCACGTGAAGAAACGGAAAGAGAAGACTGCAAAGATGAAAAAGGGGAAATAAATCATGGCTGCCATTTCTAATGGGCAGCTTTAGCCATTCGTGATTTAATGGGTTGCTGTTTCGATATTAAAATACACCCCCTGGGCCATTTATTGTGGTGGCCACCAAAGGAACAATGTGAAAGGGACATACTGTTACCAGTCACCGAGATTTGCTTGTGTACCCATGCATATAGTCTATAGCTCACACCAGGAATGTCTTCTTGGTGGATAAATAAAAACAAATGGAATCCTTTTAAGGTAGTTGGCCAGTCCAGAGAAATTTACGCAAGTTGTATTTTGCAGTTTAGTAGTGTGAACAGCCTGAGCAATGCCAGATTCTTTTTTCATGCTCCAAAGCAGATGCACATGCATATGTAAGTAATAATAATGTGTATAGGGAGAAATATGCATACTCACGAATTAAAACTATCCGTTACATTGGAACAGCTGCAGTTTGTCTCGTACACAGCGATGAAAATTGTCTACCCTTTCATCATAATCCACAGTATTGATGGTATGCTGGAAGAGGGTAGGGAAGGAAAACAGCCAGGCTTGGAAAGGTGGTTGATCATCCTCATTCTTGGCTGTGTCTGGATTTGTGTTGGTCTAGAATGGGATGGACTATGGGAAGGAACAGCAGTGCTTATTGCAGTACCTTGTTCCTGTCGTTCATCAGCAAGTGAAGGGTTAGAGATCCTCCTCCTGCCTGATGGGAGAAAACCAGCAGAGCTCTACTAACTGGACAGCTAAATTAAATCCTCGCCTTCTCTTTTGGAAATGTGTCATTTATTTCTCGATTGGCTTGTGACACTTCAGTGACCTTATTCGGACATAACAGTAAGCCAAATTATAGCTTACAGTAGCATAAGCAAATAAGGTGTGCTGGTGCAATGAGAAAATCATGACATCTTCCATGCTCCTGCTGCACTACCAGGAAGTAAGCCATGGTTTGGCTTAGTGTTACATAGGAACTTTTGGTTTGTTTGAGAAAAAAACATGAGTTCAGGCTTGAATATAATGTTATGGCAAACCATGGCTTCGCTTCTGATAGCATGGCAGCTGTACAGGAGGCCAAATGGCCAGCATTTTCTGACTTGATCATTCATGGTGAAGCATTTGTGCTAATCTGGTTTAGCATTAGGTACAAACTGGACCAGTGATACTTGCTTTTGTGATTAAGTCTTCTGTGATAAATTTTTGTTCCTTCGGCTTCCTGGTTGTTAGAAGTACAGCCGTGCCTTGGTTTTCAAACACCTTGGGAGTCAAACATATTGACTCCCGAATGATCGAAAGCCGGAAGTGGTTGTTCTGGCTTTTGAAAGTTCTTTGGAACCCGAATGTCCAACACGACTTCCGCGGCTTCCAATCGGAAGCTGTGCCTTGGTTCCCGAACGTTTTGGAAGTTGAACAGACTTCTGGAATGGATTCCATTCGACTTCCAAGGTACCACTGTACTTGTTCAAATGGTAAAACTTGGAAGAGGAGCATTTTCCATCTTCAATGAGAGTGGATACTTGCAGACTGAAGATCTGTGATACGTAAGAGCAATAATCTATTTGGATCTCGTTGTGCAAGTGTTACCATTTGTTTTCAAAATATTTGAAATCAGAGTTCAGAGAACAAGCACTGCTATGTTGTTTGGGGCACAATTCTGCAGATGTGCCTACAGTGTTTAGGCTAAACAAATGCAATGCAAACTATAACTACAGTGGTATATTTATCTGGTTCGGCCTTTTAAGGAGCCAGAGTGCTCAAACAGCTGCACACAGTAATGTTTTATATACTGTACCTTACCGATGGTGCCCTTCTGTTTTAAAATAAACCTGAAAATATTCTCTGTATGGATACTGAGTCTATAATTAGAGGGCTAAATAAATTCATGGGCTAACAGTTGCACTGTGGATTCCAATAACAAATTCAATCCCAATAAATGTTCATTTTTTTAAAAAAAACAACCCTCTTTCTTTTGCTGTAAAATATGGATAACACTGCAGTTGTGAAGTCAAACAAAATAATTGCTTCTGAGATGAGGGCTGAGCCCAATAACATTAGTTTACGCCACTTTTAAAATAAAAAATAAATTGCAGAACAGATAGCCTAAAAACCTTTGAATAATGCAAGTACCATCATGGACTAGATTGTTCACATATTCCAGAACAGTTGCAGTGTTTTCAATGAGACTGTCCTGAAGTAAAATGGATTGTGTCACAGTCTACACTTTCATGCATATTTGGTGTGATATTCCAATTCATAGGTGCCAGAAGCAAACCTGCAGTCATTTCCCAACAGTAAAAGAAGCTTATCCTTTTTAATGTAGCATTCATTCATCAAAATACTGCATCGTCACCAGCTTCTGCACACAAAACTAGCTTTGCTGGCTTTTGAATAAAAATCTAGCGTTTGCTTTAATGCTTAATTGGAAGCAAGGTGTTCACACATGTGTCAGTGGTCTTAAATCAGTATTTCTCAAACCTGGAGATATACACAAACATACTATTTTAGTCTTGGGTGTACTGAGCCTTTTCAGAGAAATGTGCCTCTGTATGATGTACAGCTGACAACTGGTATGCAATTCACCTGCAATCAGCAGAGACTTGCCTTCTGGGCCAGTAATAAATGGTGACAGGACTGTTTATTGCCCTTCTAAATCAGGTTTTTGGAGGAAAAGCACTATTAATTGCAGAGAGCGGAGATAAAAATGTCAGGAGCATCTCTCACTCGGTTCTTTTGAATACTTGCAGAACTGTGTGTAGATAAACAAAGCTCAGGTCATGTTCCTGGTATCCACCCGTTCCGTCTTCTAACGTGTGTTTTGCGGAGTGCCATTGATCCTATATACAGTGGTACCTCTGGTTACAGATGCTTCAGGTTACAGAATCCGCTAACCCAGAAATAGCACCTCGGGTTAAGAACTTTGCTTCAGGATGAGAACAGAAATTGTGCGGCGGCGGCAGGAGGCCCCATTAGCTAAAGTGGTACCTCAGGTTAAGAACAGTTTCAGGTTAAGAATGGTCCTCCAGAACGAATTAAGTTCTTAACCCGAGGTACCACTGTACTTCCACGTTGCTAAGCCTCACTTCATTCGATGGGATGTGTACACTTAATTGTACACAGCGTTGCAACCAGTTTGCATCATTTGAATGTTCAGCCCCCTCTTAGAATTAAACTCTTATGTTTTTATTCACTCTTCCTCTCCCTCTTCACCTCACCAACCACAACATTTTAACAATGTACCTGATTGCCATAGGCTACAGGGAATGCATTGCAGAGGAGTACAGTGGTACCTCAGGTTAAGAACTTAATTCGTTCTGGAGATCCGTTCTTAACCTGAAACTCTTCTTAACCTGAGGTACCACTTTAGCTAATGGGGCCTCGCGCTGCCGCTGCTCAATTTCTGTTCCCATCCTGAGGTAAAGTTCTTAACCTGAGGTACTATTTCTGGGTTAGCAGAGTCTGTAACTTAGGTACCACTATATATGGAATGTCCTCTAGATAAGTAGGGCTGGTGGAAGAGGAATAATTCTCTCTATCCTACTTCAGGAAAACTGCCTGATTTGTATGTTGGCCTTGGAGGGAGACTGGCATGGAAATACTGTGGGCAAAGAAAAGGGGGGTGTTTTGCTGCTTTTTCTCTGGCAGCCTGCTTTGCGTTTCCGCACTGGCAGAGGAGAAACAAAGTTTCCTCAGCTGCCGGCACAGAAACCAAGCCTGCTGCTGCTGCAGGAGGAGGGGCAGAGCGATCTGTTCCTTTGCTGCAGCCAAGCACAAAAACTGGGCTAGCGAATGAGGGGGAAAATGACCCACCCCTCCAAGCCATGCTTGGGAGAAGACATTTTAATTCTCAGCTATACTTTTCACAGCCTCTAGAGGGAGCCTCAACTTCAACCTCATAGGACAAAAAGGACTAGAAATAGAGACGTACTGAGATTCGTAAGTTTTTTGAAAATATATATATAAAAAGGTACCAAATGAGGGCATAAAAGATGGTTACTTTTAATGTAAATAACATTTGACGTGGCACGTCCTTTGTAGAAAGAAAGGAAAAGAATATGTAACCATTTGCCCCACCGTAATTAATAGGGCTTACTCCATAGTGTGTTTTAAGATTTCAGGCTTAGTATTTTATTTTATTTTTTAAAATTGGCCTTCTATCCTATACTTGGAGTCTCCACAACACCCTCCCAAGGGACCCAAGCTGCAACTTCTGCTGTGAAACTTTGGTTCCTACTTGGAAGAGTCTACATGGCAATATTTAATGGGAAAGACTACAATTGTCTTGATTACAGTTTCCTTATTAATTAGTACAGTATCCGCTACTACTAATCTAACGGCAGGATTCAATAGCTATTTTATTCGGCCTTCGCCCCGAATTGTTGCCTCTACTTGTGAGAGCCCTGAGGTACCATAACAAGATGGCGGCTGTGTTGCTTCATGCTCTGCATCTTCGCTAATCCCCTTGCCTGCATTTCTTTGCTCTCTTGATGTGGCTGACATGATTCTCTATTGTTTACTGGGTAGGCCAGACTTTAAATCAGACAAAAGTTTCAACACTTTCCTTCTGGCATTAGAGTCTGGGGTCCTGCGACAGCTATCCTCTTGTGTCACGTGGCCCAGCTCCAAAACGGTTGAAGGCAACTTTAAAAACTTAGGCCAGTTCACGTATTTCTCCATGTTGCCAGTGCAGCACCATGCAAGCAACAGTGTGCCCACCAGTGCCTACAAAAAGGTCTCACTAAATAGCCCCTTGGTCACTCACAACATATGAGAGACTGTTTGCTTTTTCTGCTCAGTTCCTGTTTGCGTGGTTCAACATTGAACATGGCCCCGTAAACAGGCCCACATTTCAATGGATGCCAGAATTCAGCACCCACCATCCTGTCTTGTTTGGAATGAGGAGAGGTTCTCTGCGACTCTGGCTGGCTGGCTGGGGATGCTTGCACAGTTTTGTGGCCCTCTCTCTCTTTCCACTCTTATGTGGCAGCCGCTTGGTGTTATTCCACATCCCCACAGCAGCCATTTTATGTTATAGCATATCCTTGCACCAGTCCATTTGGGACTGGTGTCCTCAAAATCCCTAATGCGCCCATTGCCCAGAAAGGTTGGTGACCCCCTGGATATTGTAAACCAATTACTTTATACTTTCCAAATGAATGTATTAGGATGTGCCACTTGAAATTGGTTACCTGGTTTCTGGAAGGCCGCATTTTAATACCCATAGACTGATTTAAAGCCACCTTTTACTTATAGAGGAAACAGGCATGAGAAGCAAAGCAATACTCCAAAATAAGCAGAGTTGCAATGGTACTGATACCTGTTGGATATTTCATATATATATAATGTGTTAATTCCTCATCCTTTTTTGTTTTTTGTTTAGCCTAAGACATTGCAAGGCTCACACCATCCCATGACAGTTGGCAACTAACTGCAGAGATTATAAAAACCAGACAAAAAGTAAGTTATTTGTTGGCATATGAAAAAGCTGTTGCCCCACGGCAATGACAGCACATGCTTTGGCTGAGTTATTTTTTCCATTGATCTATGCATATGTGATGAACATCTGTTTGCTCCTCTCATTTCTCTCTCCCAGGTCTTCTGTCTTCTCCTTTCTCTCTCTCTCTCTCAGGTCTTCTGTCCTGTTTCTTTTGGTTTATGAAAAGTGCTGGTCTTAAGAAGACCTGACTTTTGTGGTTTAAATAACAGTAAAGAATAGAAATGAATACTGATGAATGTCAGGATAGGTTAATATTTTCAGACGATACCACTCTCTATGCTGGAGGAAGAGAATAAAAATGAAAGTGTGAGCAGATCATTGGTTCATTTCTAAAATTAGTGATGTTGGAGCAATTTGAGAAGCTGCAACCTCTGAGCTACATGTGCCTCTCCCAAGCCTGAGGAAATGTTGTGATATTTTTGCTCCCAGCATGGCTCTTGTGCCTACATGGGTGGCATAGCTTCAGCAGGTAGATTTATCTCTTTGCTTTCAACTATATATTTTGAGAATTGGTTTGTCTGCCCATCTGTACTCTATGAGTTTAGACGCCTATTGGAATATCATCACCAAACTCAGCACGATGGTTCCTGAGGTAGGGGCAGTAATCTTCAATGGCATTTTGACACAGGCTGTCATTTCAAATCAAGATGGTGGATCAAAACATGACTTTGATGTGACAGATCCAAACTCACAAACTGCATTATCCATTTAAAAATCACAATATTTGTTGGTTTCTACAAATTCCCAGCCAGCACTGGGCACTCGCCGCTAGTATCTCTAGGACAAGAAAACTTTCACCTACCTAATTTCTCTTCTCAGGGAAAACTGCTCAATTTGTGTTTGTTGTGCTCAGGGGCCCAGCCAGGAAAAGGTGGCAACTCTCACCAGAGGACACATACCCTTTATGACTTCCTTTCTTCATTCAACTTCTGCCAAACACAATACAAAGTCCAAGTTTTGTAGACTGGAGATAAGACTGCTTCATTTGTTTGTCATCTCTTTCTTTATGGCTGCTGCACCTTTAATGGCAGCCAGGCGCACAGAAACATAGCAGATGGCACCTCTACATTTCTGTTTGTTAGACCTGCTGTTGAACCCCAAGGAGCAGAGAGGGTGCCAAAGATGACAGCCCTAACCCTGTGTTGTGGGGGGGGGGATGTGTGTGGGGATCCAGGTTGCAGTCCTCTACTCACTTGACCTGGGACTGCAAGACCCACGGCCAATGCACTGGGGCTTAAAAGGGACCCCTGACCATTAGGTCCAGTCGTGGCCGACTCTGGGGTTGCGGCGCACATCTCGCTTTATTGGCCGAGGGAGCCAGCGTACAGCTTCCAGGTCATGTGGCTAGCATGACTAAGCCGCTTCTGGCGAACCAGAGCAGCGCATGGAAACACCGTTTACCTTCCCACCAGAGCGGTACCTATTTATCTACTTGCACTTTGACGTGCTTTTGAACTGCTAGGTTGGCAGGAGCAGGGACCGAGCAACGGGAGCTCATCCCGTTGCGGGGATTCGAACTGCCGACCTTCTAATTGGCAAGCCCTAGGCTCTGTGGTTTAACCCACAGCGTCACCCACGTCCCTTATTTATTTATTTACTTACCTACCTATGAAATGATCGGCAAGTCCTAGGCTCTGTGGTTTAACCTACAGCGCCACCCACATCCCTTGCAGTGGGGCTTAGAAGCATATAAATACAGTGTTAGGCTGCGATCCTGTACACCACAGATGGGAAATATTTTTCAGCCCAAGGGTTGTATTTCCTTTCCAAGGGCCACATGCCAGGGGTGAGCATAGTCAGAGGCAAAGGTGGACCTAACAACAAATGCAAAATTGACCTTTGTACAATACACTAGCTTCTACACCATGTTTAGCCAACATGGTGCCTTCCAGATGTTTTGGGCTACAACTCCAACCATCTCTGACTATTGGCCATGCTGGCTGAGGCTGATGGGATGTGTAGGCCTCAAAATCTGGAAGGCTACCATGTTGTCTTCCTCTGTTCTACATACACTCAAATGCCCCGCTCTGTCTACCACTCAGACAGAGAGCCCTGGATCCCCACTGTATACCTTATATGGGAGTAAGACCCACTGAACTTGGTGTAACTGACTTCTGAGTAGATATTCATAGGATTGCATTATTAGTGGGGAGTCATTGTTAAGTTGAGGGTTTTTTTCTTCTTCTTCAGACGGAGCTCACTGGAGCTCAGCTCTGGCACCTCTCAGGTGGGAGTCAGTGCCACTTTAGGAGAACAAGGGAGAAATTCATGGTGAGCCCTCACACCTCTTTTTCTAGAAAAATAGCACTGGTTAAGCTGTTCAGTAATTTCCCTCCTCATATTTCTTTCAAAGGAATACAGTGGTACCTCAGGTTAAGAACAGTTTCAGGTTAAGAATGGACCTCCGGAACGAATTAAGTTCTTAACCCAAGGTACCACTGTACTCTGGTGGAACACTGAGATTGTCTAATAAACCATTCCCTCCATCTGAGAAACTGAAGAATCATCACATTCCTTACACGATAGGCAAGAGAGGAAGTTGGAACTGAATCAGAGGAATTAGATCTCTTGTCTCAACTAGCAGGCGTATCTGCCGAGATAGTAAGATTATGTGTACCTCCCTCCTCTTTTTCTCACATGGAGTGGACTCTGTAGCCGCAAGTGTAGAAAAAGTGGACTTGTAAAAAAAGAGAGAGAGAGATGCTTCACCTTTGCCACACTCCCTTTGTGATTAAACAACATCTAGCTATATCCTGTTTGGCTGTGTGTGTATGAAAACCTTGTCTTTGCTCAGCTCCATTCTGAAAGTTAGAAATGGAGGCTAAGGTGTTTTCCTCTTTAGCTGACATAGCACACTCAGGATTACACAAGAGCAAACAGTAGAGACTAGCCTGCTCTGGCAAGTGAAGTAGTGCTCCAACAAGCCCCAGTCTGCCCTTAGTGGCCTCCACATTTCTGCCTTCTTACCTGCCTTCAATCCAGGAGGTGGCACTGGTTATCAGCTTCCTCCTTCTAAGTCTCAGCCTTTGCCACTATAGAACTCAGTAGAGAGGACTGGGCAAAACTAGCATTAGACAGCTTTGCCTGTCATCGGCTCTGGCTGCACCTACAATTGGCCCCTCCGTTTTGTGCCCTACCAGTCTCAATACGTAAAAGCATACTGGTAACTAATTGGGACTAAGTCATCCTGAGTATGAACTCTTCCTGAAGGACGTAAGCGCTTTGCTGGATCAGCCCAGGGTCCAGTATTGGTTCGCAATACCCCCAGCAACCAGTAGACTGTAGGTAGTCCACTGGAACCAGCGAGTATTCCGAAATGTTTTCTGACTCCCTCAGATCTGGGCGTGAGCTACGATCTTGGACCGCTTTCCAGATCTTCGTGTTCCCAGCAGGTTGTTAGTTTCTTCAGACAGGCACAGGCAAGTCTGAGGGAGGGAAATGTATTCCTATATAAAGTGAAACCTATTTTTCCATCAACGCTTTGGTGTAGCTCCGTACTTGGGTGATATGAACTGAACGTTTTCATAATTTGCAAAGGTGGCTTTACACTAATCTGGCAAATTTCATCCCAAATATATAACCATAAGTGGAAGAATACCACCTAGGAATTCTATTCAAACAAATTTTTACTCAGAGTAGACTCATTAAAATTAACAAGTCCATTCATGTTACAGTATTAGGTGACTACAACCCCCAGTATGGAAGCATCTACTGGAATGTATTTGGGATCCAACTGTTCAGTGTTTTGAGATTTGCCAAGACCTGTCAGTTCTACAAAGAATACACGAACACACACACTCCATTTGTTGTGAAAAGATACCTGACAGTCTCTGTTCATTTATTCATTGACTTTTTCTGATTGCAACGGAAGGAGCTGGTGCAATACAGCTCTTAATAGGGATGGATGGATCTGCCAAAGTTTGTTTCTCTGAGTTTCTGGTTTCCCCTGCCTTGAATTCAGTCCTCTGCAGTTTCACAACAATTTGTGATAATAATAAAAACCCTTATCAAAACTTGACAGTGTTTTAGTGCAGATGTCTATTATACACTTTTTTTTTTTGCATGCAGTTTTGACTAACGCATGCGTTTTTGTAAGCAATGTTGCATAATACAATGCATTATTATTATTAATATTTGTGTTGCTGGATTCCATCTCCCAGCCACCATGGCCAATGAACAAGGATGATGGGATCTGTAGTTCAACAGGCATCTGCAAAGCCATAGGCTCCTCCTCCTTCTTTTATAGTCACCATCCCAGGCTTAGAGAGGCTGTTTCAAACTCCTGGGTTGCAAAAGTCACCATAATGTGAGCTTGCAGGAATATCATGTTAGTAATAAGTTTCCCCTCTGCAATGCTTTAGCCACATACTCATCAGAATAACCCAAAACTGTGCAGAGCTCCAGGCCTAGGCGTGCCCCAGCTATGTTAATTGCTGAAATGAAAGTTGCCGCCTAACTGCTTTTGGGCAACACTGGATGAGCAGGTAAGGCAGCCGGAGCACCCGTGGAAGGTGTATCCCACACCACACTCCTTATGTGGCTTGCAAAGACTTTGATTTATGAAAAGCACTCAAATGCACCATAGCTAGGTTTGGAAACCACTGTGTACTTATGAAGTTATTGCACATAACAATATATGCCGCCCAATAACAAAATTATCTGAGTGACTTAACCATAAAAGAATACACAAATATATATCAAGCAGAAAATAAGTACAGTGGTACCTTGGAAGTGGAACGGAATCCATTCCGGAAGTCTGGGTTTCAAAACATTTGGAAACCAAGGTGTGGCCTCCTGCAGCCAATTGGAAGCCACACAAGTTGCGTTGGACGTTCGGGTTCCAAAAAAACGTTCACAAACCGGAACACGTCCGGGTTTGCGACATTCGGGAGCCAAAATGTTCGACTCGCAAGGCGTTCAGGATCCAAGGTATGACTGTATAGCAAGAACAAAACCTTTCAACAACAGCAATAAATAGATTGAACAGGTCTTCGATTTAAAACTAAAGTTTAAGGAGGTTTGGGGAAAATATAAAGGTCTGCGCATAGCACCCAAAGACTGCCAAGTGGGTTCTTCCTTAGGGCAGATTATTCCACAGATGGGGTGCCACTTCTGGGAATATTTTTATTCCCCAGACATTTTCTGCACCTTAGACGTATGTAAAGAACTGAGTTACTAAACAGTTAGTCCGTATTCTTAATGTAGATTGTTATGTTGCCACCAAATATAGCTAACATGCTTGTTTTTTTTACGATCTTCCTGATTTAAATGTATAGAACTGTAAAAATAACATTTCTAAAAAGTAAGCCATTTTACTTGTTTCTATAAAATGCCAGCAGGCCTGTTTCCATACCTATGTTTCTAACAAGTGCACCTACCAGGCATCTGGATTTGGCTTCCGTTCCCTACTGGTGACAAAAGCACATGCTGTTTGACGTGCAACATGTCAAGCAGTCCTAGGAGAGAGATTTGAAAGTGTGGGCTTTCCGTGAACAACCACCATTCTTGATGTTTGCTACATGAACATGTTGTCCCCATAAATAAAGTTTATAGTTCTCCATAAGTAATAAACAAGCCTATTATAGGAGGAAATCTACACATTAGGTTTTTTATCACACATCTAAATGGATGCCTGTTCATTTCTTGACAGGGGAGCCAAATGACAGCAAAAGCTGTTTCCTTGAGAGTGCAGCAACAGCTAGCTTTTGTGTACTTGTTTGTAAAGTGGCTGAGGCCGACACAATAAGACCTTAATCTGTGTTGGGGAAAATTGGTGACTGCAGTAAATATGGGCGTGTGGGATGCTACTCCCACATTGACACAGAGCCCAGTAAGTGAAGCAGGCGTAGGAAACAGCACCAAGGTCTTTTGCAAGCCCAAATGCATCAAATTTTAAAAAGTGTCATTTGTCAAGAATGAAGCATGGGCACAATCAGTGTTTGTCATTGTTCTAAAACAACTGGAGCAAACTAGGAAGTTAGTTCTGCACAAGTCACATTATGCTAAATAGATTGCAGCAACCCGTTTTGTCAAAAGCTGGGTGCTGCTATCAAAAGGCTGCTGTGAGATTAGTGTATGCTGTTGCACGCTACCCCAATCTTCGAGATGTCGGCGTGATGTTACAGGGGTTCTAGGTGCGCTTATCCAGTTTTCGTGTTTCCTCTTGGAAAATGAGGAGACTGTGGTGTTGTTATGATAGCTGGTTTATTTACACAGATGTACAACCTGAGCCCACGATGGAGGTGCTCACAGCATTAGCACTCCAAGAGCATCCTGCTTCTCCCATAGCTGCAGCCCTGGATTTTTATTCTTATTTTTTTAATCAGCCATAGCTCTGACCCTCTCTCTAGCTTGTGCGTCTTACAGACTGTCAGCTTTACAAAATTGCAACCTTCCCCCCCATCCCATCCCAGCTCACCGTTCACAGGATTCTATGGAGAAGTCATGTCTGTTAGTGCGATAAGAGTGCTTTAAAAATATGGTGTGGATTAGGCCTAGACGAAGGCAAACTTCTTGAATAAAAATGTATAAAACCAACTGGGAACTGTAGTTTGTTAAGGGTACTGGAAATTGTTGCTCTCTGAGGGGGAACTACAGTTCCCAGGATTCTTTGGAAGACGTCTTTGTGCTTTAAATATGTGTTGGATGTTTTTTAAAATTATGTTATGGAGCAGCCTTAAGAGGAGAGCTTAGAAGAAACTAAAGGCAGAGAGTAAAAGGGTGTGTTCTGTCACCTTAATGACTAACAGATCTGCAATGCAGTCCTGGACATGTCTACTCAGAAGTAAGTCCAGTTGTCTTTAGTGGGACTTACCGGCAGGTGGTCTAGATAAAGTGGACTCTAGCATCTGAAAACTTAAGCCATAATAAATATTTTAGTCTTTAAAGTGGCACAAAACTCTTGTCTTTTTACCAGCTATCTATTTGTATAGCTAATTGCTCCTTTCAGTCTGTGAAAACTGTGTCTAGGTCTAGGTCCGGTCATGCTCTGATTCCCCAACCCCTATTTTTCATTTTGACAGCAGAAACTGATCCCCAATTCACCCCATGAAACATCACCCTAAATTTCAGGTTTCTGAGTAGCCACCGTGTCTTGATTTGAGACTGTTAACTAGAATGGGCTATGGTTTTAATCTCATTCTCAGGCTCTCCTGTGTTTATGTAGGAAAGGTCACAGAGAGCAGGTAGTGCCGAGGCAGAAGAGATTAAGCAGACTACTTCATGGGTGCATCAAAGGAATCCCTAACACATCTTTCTGTTTGCAGACTGACATATATATTACTCATTTGGATTACAGCTACTCCCACTATTGACCAGAGAAAACCTGGGTCTTTAAACACATTTTTCAAAGAATGGAACCAATTGCAAACACTTCATTTTCAAAAAAATATAAGTTCTCTGTACTATTATGTCTGGTGGTCAATATGCAAGAGTGCCCATGGGACTGTTCTTTTGGTCCTTTTGCATGAGCACAGAATATTAAGATCAATGGTTTGATTTTATTGTCGACCATTTAAAAAACTGCTGTCTCCCATCTTTCTTCCCTCCGAACCCTGCTGGGTGCTCTGCTCACAATATGTGTTGTCAGGTATGATTGCTGCCAGGGGCCCCTCCATTAAATCATCTGAATGTGAGTTGGTTATGAGATCCTCACCTCACCAACCTGAAATACCGAGTGCCTGAGCCAAGTGCCTTGGGAAGATTTCGTTTGAAAGATGAGATGTGATAGCATCAGCAAGCAGGCACCTACTGGTGCCACCTTTCCCCAGCCTCTTACCAGTACCAGTGTTTGCAGGTGCTGAACAGAACACGCAAAATGACACTGTGAGGGTTGCAATTTCCCCGCTTGGGCCTGCCCTTTTGCTTTTAGCAACAGCTCGACACACCCACAATTAGCAGGTGAAACTCTCCCCACCACTTATCTCCATGCTACCAACAACTTTGCTCGAATATTCAGTCTATGCATGTAGGTCTCCCACTAAAGGCACAACTAAAGGCTTAGGACCTAGGTATTTGCTAGGCTGCCACCACCTACTCCCCTTTACATCAGCCTCATCCTTGAGATAAAGGGAAGACTCCCTCTTAGCTGTGTTGCATTTGCGGATGGTGGTGACATGCGAGATGGAATTCTCTGCAATGGCACTCCAGTTGTGTAACACCTTCACTGATTTGGTTGACGCCAACACTGATGGGTTTTAACTGTCTGAAAAAGCTACTGTCATTTACTGAGGCTTTTGGCTAAGTTGACTGGAGGAGATGTTTTGTTGCTCTCTGGCGCAGCGATGCAACTTTGATTTATTGTTGTCACTGTGGTTTGAGTTTATTTTTAAAAGATTGCTTTTTTATTAATGCATTATATTGCACTCCACTCTCAGATTAATTTTAATGAAGAGTGGGTTATAAATCACCCCCCCAAAAAAACGAAACTTTAGCAACCTTGTTTATTGGACAGACACAATCCTGGGTCTGGGGAATAGTTAAGAATGAGCACATTGAGGATGAGCAGAGGAAATGGGAGCAATGCTCTTCATATAACAACCAGGAAGCATTGAAGCAAGACAAAGGGGGAGCATGGGAGTGTACGTACTTTGCATGCAAAACGTCCTGGGTTCTATCTTGCCATATCTTGTTAAAAGGACTGGATAGGGAAGGTGATTTGATGTGGAAAAAACACTGCCTGAAACCCTGGAGAGTAGACAATATTGAATTACATGGCCTAACAGAGCAATCCAGACCCCTGATCTGTTGTGCCAAAGGGATTTGGATGGAGAGGAGGTGCCTCTGCTCAGTTTTCTCCAGCCCCACAAGCCTTTGGTGGCAGGGGAGCTCTACCATAGGTAGGGAAGCCCTGACACCAAGGAGCACCCCAATGAGCCTGCCCTAACAGTGGGGAGAAACTACTGCCAGTGGCATTCTTGCTGTCAGTTCAGGCACCAAAGGACTTGCTGGATCCTTGACAGATCCTGATGCTGTCCTACAATGACAGTGAGTCTGTTCCATGTCTCCTCACTGTGTCAGCCTGGGAGTTAGTGCAGCAACAGGGCATTTTTTCCTGTCCCTCCACAGTCTGCCTTGACCTGTACAAGTGCCGGGGCTGTAGGTGTGGCAAGGCCTGCTGTGCTCCATCAAGCTCCACCACTGCCAGCCAGGGGTTGGGGTTGCACCCTAATAGCTTGACCTGCTGGAATCCAGCTTCCTATGATGTAAAAGCAGAGTTCCCAAACTGTGATCCACAGAGGCAGAGCCATCAAACGTCTCCCTGCGATGCAGCTATTAAGGATACAGGAGTACCTTGTGGTCAAAAAAGTTGGCACATCTCTATGGAATGCAGGGATCATCTGCCTTGCCTCTGCTTCAGGCTGAGCATCAACACATACTATAACTTGGAAACCTGCAAGATGAGTCGGAGTGACTATTCAGACACCCTCAGGGAGAAGGAAGATGAAAGGTACAAGTGAACAAGCACCGATTGGTTTAATTTTACATTTACCTACCCCATACTTTCCCGAGCAATTCCTCTCACTTTAAATTACATGAAAGAATGAACAGTATACAAGGTCACAATATACAAGGTCCTTTATTAAATCCTTAATTTTATATCCTGCTCGCCCAGTATCTCACCAACATAAACAGACTTTTTGTTGTTAGCATCCATCTATCTCAAGAGCAAAAGGAGTGCCCTCCCAGGGGGCAAGTCAAACCACTGTATTAGCAGCACCAAAGTGACTTCCCAGGGGCGCAAACCTGGGCAATGTGTATGGAGGTCTTGGGCTGCCCAGGAGACAAGACTCCTCTCTTGACCTCACTGATGTGGTCCAAAGGAAAGCAGAGCTATATGTTTGGCCCTGGCTTGGCTACAGGAGTTGCTGGAAGAAGGCATACAAGGCACTCTGGATTTATGTAGGTTTTACTCTTTAGCCTTTTCTTCTTCAGAAGATAGCAGGCCACTCGATGCCATTCCTGGGGTGTGGCTGCTCTCACATGCTGACTGAACTCAGAAAGCACCTCTGGAAAGTCAGTGTGAATCCAGGTGTGGAATTTCAGTGTGAAATTCATCTAAGTGACTGAGGAACCCTTAACCCTGTTCCAGCAAAATTCCCTGATGGCCAAACCTCACCAGACATGGAAGATCCACGATTAGATCTTCAGTGATGTTGTTTTTCATTTACTTAATTTAAAGCCACTTCAAGGGACTTCAGTTTTGACTGAAGAAGTGGCTCTGAGGAGTACTTAACCCATTTCCCTGATGTAAATTACACTCCCAAAAATCATGAATTGCTCTGAAACAGAGGGGGGAATGCAGGTACCTATACCATGTCTGTATCCCCACCCCCCATTTTTAAAATAAATATTTCAGAGTGGGAGGTTTTGATATGGCAAATTGCAAAGGGCATCGCTGATCTGATCAAAATCCAGCACAGCTGCTTTAAAATGGGAAAGAAAACTCCCAAATATCTGATCATCTTGTGTGGTTGGCCCTTAAGCCTTTCATGGCACATCTGTGCCCCAGAGAGGGCCAAAGGGCAGTGGGAAAGAAAAGCAGCTGTACCAACTGCAGCTGCTGTACTACTGGTGTTGAATCTGAGGCTAGGGTGGGGCCTGCTGCTTAATTTCCAAAATCAGAGGTGCTGATGGGGGAAGAAGGCTCAAGTCTTCCTGGAATGAAGGATCTCTGCTAGCGTAGCTATTCTTTTTCAGTGTGGAATGGCTGCTGTGTTTACACAGTAGTGCTGGAAAAGAAGCCACATGTGCTCAGATATATTTCGCTTTTTAAATCATTATGTACATGCTTTAGAGCTGAGCTCAGACCCAAAAAAACAGGATCAGGGGCAAGCCAGTCAGGACTTTGCAAGCAGGTGGTTTTATCCTTACGGCTCTGTTACTAAGACCCTTTTGATTTTCAAGGAGATCCCCAGTACAGAAGCAGAAATTGATATCTTCTTTTTGATGCAACACTTAAGTACAGTCGACCTGTCTATGTTGGCTTCCTATACATTTAAACTGTATTCAAAGTGCATTACTCCCCCCTTCCCCCAATAATCCTGGGAACTATAGTTCCCCCCCTTCACAAAACTACTATTTGCAGTGCCCTCAACAAGTTACAGATCCCAGGATTCTTTGGAGAAAGTCACACCCTTTAAATGTGTGTTGAATATGCTTTAAATGTAGAGCATGCATCTGCCTGAAATGAGACGCAAATCATTTATTGATCATGCACATCCATGTTTACTCTGTCTGTGCTCCTGAGCCACATGTGCTTGCACATTTCTGAGTAATGCAGTTGATGGAATATAGGACAAAGCTGGACCCATAGGGCATAAACTGTATTTGCACTTATTATTTAGAGGTTCTGTTGCTCACAGAGAGTCATGCTGTCATCAAGGGCAAATGTTTGTTTTATGATGTCAGCACAGATAAAATGACATATGCTGATCTAAGTGTCTGCTGAATCTAGACTGTCTGAAGCTCATGAATTTTTTATTTTTTTTTAAATGATATTTATTAAGCATTTTAAAGTTACAGAAAAGACAAAGAGATAAAGAAGGGGGAAAAAACAAGGGAAAAGCAAACAGCAGTCAATACAAATCAATAATAAAAAAAAAACAAAGACAAAACACATCAAAATCCAAAAAACAAAAGTAAACCACAAACATTTAAAAACAGATCCAATATTCCCAAATCCTTAACTGTCATTGCCTTATTTCATTGACCTCCTCACACCTCCCTTTTTTGTATTCCAGTTATTAATTATAACAGCAAATCCTTCCCATTTTTCATAATATTCTGTCATTAAATTACCTTAATCTATTTTAACCTCATCTTACTATAAAAGACCCTAGAATTTAAAACTTAAATCTTATTTATACCAATTTCTCATAACCATAACATATTCTTGCTTAGTTCTTTTTAACATTTCTGCTAAAGCCAAATAGTTTCGTTCCAACATTTTTCTAATACTCATTAATTTTACAAAACAATCCTAAATAAATTTTTTTTAAAAACTTTCTTCCAATCTTCATCCAACGTCTCTTCCTCCTGGTCCCGGGTTTTGTCAGTCCTTTCTGTCCCATCCATCTAGTTCGTTAACCTGGTAATCTTATGTCCGAGGCCCTTAAGTCTCTTCCATGTCCCTTCCACAGATCTTCTTCATATTTATACCTGTACTTTACTTTGTCTCCTGGTCCTTTCACTCGTGGAAACTGTCTGAAGCTCATGAATGAACGTTCCTGGTTCTGTTACTCTCTGCTAAACCAAACAGGAAATAATAAAAATAATAATTAATAAACTTTTATTTGTATCCTGCCCTCCCCGGCCGAAACCAGGCTCAGGATGGCTAACATCAAATATATAGCATTAGTATAATAATTGCATGGCCAGGATCTATGTTTGGACCAGACAACAGGTGATGGATGAGGGATGTGTTTCTGAACAGTTCCCACAAGTGCAGATCATGCTGAGCTGCAACCAAATTTATTTTAACTGCTGGTGCTGAAAAGGGTGACTATATAGTGTGCATACAGTCATATCTCAAAGAAAGGACTCAGTGAAGTCCCCCTCACCCCAGTGGAGCTAACCTGGCTTCTTAATGCCTACACAATTATTTGGCAGACATAATTATCAATGTTATGAGCACTGACAGAATGAATATGTATCCAGCCTTCTGCCATCCTTCAGGCGGAGTTGTCTGAAAGATAACTTCTCAAAGTACTGCTTGCACCTTTATGCAATTTAATGGTTTGGGTACATCATCGTTATAACATTAGCAACAACAACAACAATTGAAAGGCTATGTGCATACTATACTGGCTGAAAATGCACCTAAGGTGTTATTTTTCTTACCGTAATTTGGATCGAGGCTGGTTTGGGGGAAAATGCATCAAAGCACAGTATCTGATAAAGAAATTACAGGATAGATGTGGGTTGTAGCGTTGTGTGTACCCTGCTTCCTAAACAAGCAGTGGCGTTGTGATGGCTGCAGAGTAAACAAGACTGTGCATTCGACTTCCATTTTTGAACAATGTAAAAAAAACAGCCTGCTTTTGGGGAATGAGTTGAGGTCATCAAAGCTTCATGCATCATGGCGTCAAAGGTCTCTGGCCAATGAGTACAATACACAGCTGGTTTCTGCCCCAAAGATGTGGAACTGGTTTTTCACAAGCTCAGTCCTGAGGAGAAGATGACATGTTACACCTTGGGTTACATACACTTCAGGTTACAGACTCCACTAACCCAGAAATAGTACCTCGGGTTAAGAACTTTACTTCAGGATGAGAACAGAAATAGTGCAGCAGCAGCAGCGCAGCGGCAGTGGGAGGCCCCATTAGCTAAAGTGGTGCTTTGGGTTAAGAACTGTTTCAGGTTAAGAATGGACCTCTGGAATGAATTAAGTTCTTAACCCGAGGTACCACTGTATGAGCAAATGTAATGAGTGCAACCCTCACAGAAGCGCCACTGCTGCAAAGTATGTAGCATGTACGCACCTTTGTCATGATGGCGACACCCTGCCTCAAACCTTCAGGGGGAAGCAATTTTTATTTTATTTTGGTGATCTCCTATTTAGCCTAATCCCATAAATTTACCCTCCACATTTTTGCTGGAGCCTTGGTGTCACTGTAAATCATGCCTCTCCCATTCTGCTTGTACCTTTATTAGCTTTTTCACACCTTCCACTTTTAATTGCAGAGGCTGATCTCCAAGGCATTTGGGGATCCACTCACAACTCCACCCTGCTTAATTGTTTGGTGTTATCTCATTTCTTCCTTTTCATTTGTGTTCCCCAAAATTGGTGGGGATTTTTTTTTTAGGGGGGGAGGAGTGGGGTGTCTGGAGCTGGTTGTGTCTTTCCTTTTAACAACGACAACAAAGATGTTTTCATCTTTATACTTTTTCCCAAGCTTTTTTATTTGACTTTTCTCCATGTCCCTTTGGTTAACACAGTACAGTGGTACCTCAGGTTAAGTACTTAATTCGTTCCAGAGGTCCGTACTTAACCTGAAACTGTTCTTAACCTGAAGCACCACTTTAGCTAATGGGGCCTCCTGCTGCTGCTGCTGCTGCTGCTGCGCCGCCGGATCACAGTTTCTGTTCTCATCCTGAAGCAAAGTACTTAACCCAAGATAATATTTCTGGGTTAGCGGAGTCTGTAACCTGAAGCGTATGTAACCTGAGATACCACTGTATTTCGGTAAACTTTACAGATTTGTGCCGGGATCCCTATGGGTGGAGAACCCTTTCCAGTGGAAGGGACACATTCCTTCAGAGCAGTCTTCTACGAGTGGTGGTGGGGCCAGAGGCAAAAGTGAGCAGAGCAATATCTTGTTAATTTTTACCTTTGGAAAGTAGGTTAGTTTCTTCACACTCGCAACATCCCTCTCTGTCTTCCATCTAAGCAAGCAGGGTTCAAGTACACATTCCTACCAGGCAAAAGCACTCAAGGGGGGGGTCCATGCAAAGTGTTGGGTGTGGCTTTGGTGGGCAGGTGGCCTGGGGAGACTCCTGACTCCTGGGTAGGGATGGGAAAATAAATCAACTTGGTTTTCTCTGTTTCTCATCTTTCCAGTCTTAAGCTTCTGGGTTTTTTTAAGTGCTCATGAAAATTCAATATCATTTCAGTGTGGATTTCTCATGATAGACACGTTTGTATACAATGTTACACAATATGCATGTGTTTGCAAAGCAATTTTCCATAACAGAAAATTTTTGTACAGTGTATCCACTAATACAGAGCTTTCCATATTTTTCATGTCGGTGACACACTTTTTAGTCATGCATCATTTCGCGACACCGTAATGCAGTTTTACTAGCAAACCAGAGGTTAAACTAACCCCTTTCCAGTGGCGTAGCGTGGGTTGTCAGCACCCGGGGCAAGGCAAGTAATTTGCGCCCCCTAACCCGTGGATTTTAGCACTCGAGCCAGGTAGGGGCAGAGAGCTGCGAGTGCGAGCGCGCCCCCCCCAGATGTTGCGCCCGGTGCGGCCGGCCCCCCCTGCACCCCCCAGGCTACTCCACTGCCCCTTTCCAGCCCCAAGAGGAACGCGGGGAGCATTTGTGCGACACACCTACACACTGCAGCCGACACACTAATGTGTCATGACACACAGTTGAGAAAGCTCTGCACTAATATATGCATTTATACGCAAACTTTACACTAGCATATACATTTTTTTGTACACATTACTTGGCTAGAGAACTACACTGCAAATTTCAGAGATGTGCAAATTTCAAAGGATGCATGTATTTCATTCAGTGTGCAACTTGTTTCAGGAAGTGCAAATTAGGTAAGTTCACCTTTAAATGTGAACTGAATCGGATTTCTTCCCCATCCTTATTCCTGAGTGTCAGATAGGAAGTCCTGGAGGGCCTGAGGTCCACCCCCACCCCGGTTTACCTCTTACTCTCAATCTACCTCTTGTGTTGTTGTTTTTCACCCTTGTTTGGGCGTAGCTTCATGGACTTCTTGGATGCTCTTCAAGGCTCCTTTGGATCTGAAAGCTCAAGTCTGGGCTGTACTGAGGATTCCATTTCTGGCTTAGTTGGTTCAAACTCCCTGCTGTTTTATCAATACAAAAAGGCACACCCAATGTCTAATTAAAACTGGAGCAATGCCATAGATCAATTGGTAGACCAGTGTTACTTAAGACCAGGTGTTATCTCACACTTCTTTGTAGCTGCGCATCTCTTTGATCTTAAAATGAAACCCTTTGGGCAATGGCAGCAACAAATTTAGAGAGTATTCACACTTTCAACCAGAACAACAAGAAGGATAGTGAAACTATGGGCAGTGCGCTGCGTAGGATATATGTTTAAGTGTTTGTGTCTTGGGCATGATTTCTTAGCTGAAGAGAGTTAAGGCCTGTGAGAGGCAAGAAAGGAAGAAAAAACAGGAGCATTGACACTCCTTGGGGTAGGACCCACAGCTTGAGTATTAAAATGGGTGTGACTCATCCAAGTCTTTTTGTTCCAGAAGAAGCCACACCTCTTGGAAAAAAGTTCTGAGTGCCAGACAGAAAATTGCCTGTGCGAAAGATACCAAGTTCATGTTTGAACAAGCAGCTTTGTGGATTTCTGCCAGTAGAACGAACACACACACACAAACACACAGTGATTTTGTTGTTTGATTAATGTGAATGGGTCAGTTGCTCTGTTTCTGCTAGTGGCCAGACCGCAAGTGACACCCAGGAGTAGGCGGCAGAGTCTTGGACAACATTAATATTTCTTAATGACTGTTGTTTTCTGACGAGGCAATTCACCCGTAAGGGTGGAGCAGAGACCCAGTAGATGAGTGATGGGAAACAGTAGTTAATGCTGTCAAAATAAGAGAGAGGGAGGGAGGGAGGGACGGAATTGTGAGTTGGCAGAAAGAGAAGCATATTGAGCTACAGGGCCTCTCATTGGGGATCTGTTGCCTGTTTGCCTCCATATGCACTGGCTCGGTACTTGTAAATAAAATACAAATATGTCCAAAGTCACTAGTGTATTTTTGGGCACTCTGCAAACAGAGGCAGTCCAAAATGGGAATGCAAACAACACTGAGAGAGAAAACGACATTGTCACAAACTGATCCCACTTTACTGAAGACATAGATAGGCTGTTGTCTTGATGCCCTGCTTCTGAGCTTTCCAGAGGCATCTGCCTGGCGGCTGTCAGAAACAGAATGCTGAACCGGATGGATGTTTGGTTCAATTCAGCAAGTCTTTTCTTAACTTCTTATGAAACAAGTCATGGGCGCTGTTCGTAGGAGCCAACTCCTAGGGGCCAAGTTCCGTTCACCCCCCCCCCCCAAAAAAATATTTGACACACACACCCCCAAGTTGCTGGGCATTGCCATTCAAATTGTGTGCATGTGCCATGTCTTGTGATCAGTTGTGCAGGGTGGAGCTTTTATTCAAGTTGGCACCCCAGCACTGTTTAATTTTCCAGTGGCGACCTGGAATCGGAAGATCCCAACTTTGCAAAGCAGTACTCAAAGTAGAGTAATCCAGATTTTCCTCTTTGTAAAAGCAATCATTTCTACACATCTATCCACTAACAACTTGGTTAGCCTGCGATAGGTCCATACCTTCCCATACATACACACTTCGCTTTAATTAAAAGCTACACAAAGAAGGCGTGTACACATGCCTTTGATGTTAATGAAGATAAGGATTTAGGCCTGGCAATCCTTGGATATTCTTAAGGAAGCCTCTCACTATGGCTCCAGCATGAGTAAAAGCCTCTTAGGCAGGACTGATTCACAATTATTCTTATTCACTAGGAACACTTTTTTCGCAGTATTGCATGCATCTTCTCCAAACCTACTGATCTTCCCGAATGGAAAGCACCATTCTGCACACACACACACACACACACACACACACACACACACACCCTGTTGTGTTGGCACCATCTCTGCAGTCTCTGATCCACATAGGTGTTGCAAGAGGTGGTGCATAGATGGGAAAATTCCACCCCCTAGACAAGAATTGCCAGGAATCCAGTACAGGCAGGAAGAAAGAAGAGTGAAATGAAACTGTCAGCTAAAAAGCATCTAGAGAGCCTATGCATGCACGAAATGGCCAAACTAAGCACCAAGTGGTAGATCTGTGATCAGATTATTTTTCTTTATTTTCTTTAAAGTATTTGCAGAGCCTGCTAGCTTGGACAGTGGAAGGGAGTTAACCATTTCCTTAGGTCACTGCCTTGCTCCATCGGGGCCACTCCAAGACACCACTTTTTTTGCACCACTGGAGAAAGCCACACAGCTACCTATGGCAGCAGTATATTCTTGCGTGTCTATTTATTATTATATTTTAGATTTTACATCACAGAAATTCATCCTTTGTTAAACAATTTAGTAAATATATCTGAGGGTTAGAACTTGCCCAGAAATGGAACTGGACTCAGGGTGCGTTGGGTCACACCATACCAAGAGAATATCTGCAGAATGGTGCACTCTCTCCTTAAGTGGGCTTTTTTGCACCCAGAAGTGCTAAACTACTATCGCCCTGTGGCAATCATCTCTTCATTGGGCAAGATGCTGGCAGTCTAGCTTTAAGCACGCTTGGAGGAAAGTGCTTATCTGAAGTCTAGACCTAATCAAGTCTGGCTTGAGGCCCAGTCATGGCACTGAAAGCGCTTTGGTCATCCTGGCTGATGACATGTGTTGGGAAAAGATGGCGGGAGAGTGACTTTGCTCATTCTCCTAGACATCTCAGTGGCTTTCAATACGTGGTTCTGCTCCTGCCTCCATTTACGGAAGAGGTAGTTATGGCTTGTCTAAGAACAGAAAGTAAGGTCCTGACAGAAAGATTTTTGAATGGGGGACTTTCTAGTTCAAAGCTTATAAAGCTACAGCCCTGTGCACCCATACTTAGGAGAAAGCCTGAGTGAACACAGTGGGTCTTAACTTCCAAATAAGCATGCTTAGGATTGCACCAACTATTACTGCCAGTACAGGTAATGTTTATAATAAAGGAGGGTTTCAGAAAGCCCCCTTCAAAGGGAAGGAAGAAAGCATAGCTTCAGGGGAAGGAGAAGTTACTTCAAGCTTCTCCTTCCACTGCCAGAAGCTGGAACTCAAGCACTCCCTCCTAATCGGTCAGATCCGCAAACAGTATTTATGGTAATATCCCACAGCCTCCTTCACACACACAGCCACATGGCCAAGTGATGGCTCCAACTCCCCTAATTTCCTTTGTTTTGTACATTTTTATGAGGTAGACCACAGCTTATCTTGTCTAATTCTCAGTAGCCTATAGCCTGTACCACAGTGATTTAACAAGCATTTATCGCAGTGTTTCTAAATGTTTTTTTTTCCCACTGACTGACAGAGTCCAGCATTTATAATGCAGGGAATTGTTCAAGAAAATGTCAAGGACAGCAAGTAATTAAGCCTGCTATTTCACTGTCAGAAAAGCCTTGTGTGAGGCAAGTAACATGATCCACTCTTGTCTATTGTCTGTGGTGCCAGCTGTGCTGCCTTACTCCACCTGAAGCAAAACTGCTTAGGCATTTCAAGTTTTTCGGCTGAGCTGTCCATCAGGTCTGACAAGACTGAAACTTCATTCACCACACCCTCTGTGAGAAACATTCTGGGCGCTTCATGGAAGCAGGCATGCAGTCCTATAAAGGTTTTTGAAATGCTCTTTGTCTTGTGCGAAATAACTCATAACTGAAGACATCCTGTGCAAAGTACTTAGAATAGTTCTGTCAAGGATGACGTATTTGGGAAAGAGCTATAGACAGAACTACCTCGCTGAACATGCTCAAGATGTAGAAGGACTGGATGAAGTCTTAATTTGCTCGCTTATCTGACTTGGATCCTGACACCCAAATTTCTTCCACGGGGGTCTCAGAAAGACTTATTCTGAGGTGGTCTGCCATACTGGGCGAGGAAGATCAGCATTGTTTAGTAAAGTTGTTAGGCCTTTCTCACCACCATGAGAACATTGCCATGCACACGCCTTCTGCTCTGTCAACCTGACAAATGACAAGTTATTTTAGCTGTATCTGCTAGAACAAAAACACGGGTAATGAAATTGCAGGATTCTTCTTTTTTTAAAAAAACACACTTTTGACTCCCGCTGACTTCAGTGGGAGAGATTACATCCGTAAGTCTCCTCCATTGAAATTCAGTGTTGTGTTTAACAGGGTTGTATTGAAAATATGATTTACTATTTTTCAGTCCCAAGGACATTATGTAATTGCAGCACCACCACTGAAAGGGCCTTCTCTGTGGTGGCCACCTTTCTAGTCTAATCTAGTCTAACCAATGAACCTGGAATAGGACAGGTATATAGAAGAGGGGGCAAGAGGTAGTCATGGAACTGGTGGAAGGTCTTCATGAAAATAGAGCAATGCTATTTGTCCAATTTCCCCTCTTAAAAATGAGTGTGAGGCAGGAACATTGCACATTTCCCCATCCATTGTGCTTTCTCAATGCTCCCCTTCTTCCAGCGGCAAATGCATGAACTAATGAACAGAATGGAAGCACATATGAAGGCAGTTAGTGACTGAAAGGATGCTCAACTTTACAGAGGACAATCCTCTATCTTAAGGGTCATCCCGTTCAATTTAAAGAACCATAAGAAGGGAAAACGGAGACCTCGAAGATGTCTGTCAACAATCAGCATATGGCACTGTCAATCAGCTGTTCGACAGTGGAATTTGCTGCCAAGGAGTGTGGTGGAGTCTCCTTCTTTGGAGGTCTTTAAGCAGAGGCTTGACAACCATATGTCAGGAGTGCTCTGATGGTGTTTCCTGCTTGGCAGGGGGTTGGACTCGATGGCCCTTGTGATCTCTTCCAACTCTATGATTCTAGGTACCCAGGCCACCTAGTTACAGTGATCCACATGGTAGTGAGATGCACTGTATTTTTATTTGAATTTTAGTTATTTGTTCTACAAGTGCATCTATCCATATAAATCTGTGCATGCAAATTTTATTTAAATTTGTGTAATGCATTGCCTCTTTTTGGAGCGAAAAGTTAAACCTTCCCTTATCCAGCTCCACGTCCTAACTGAATCCTCCCTCTCCCAGTGTCTGCCATTAATGTCTATGGGTTAATGGATCAACTACATTATATCTACTTTAGCTCGTAGTCTTAACATTTAAATTACATAATCAGCATTCACACACTTTATCAGCCGTTTTAGCTAACTTGTTTCACCACTGACACTCTGATTTCTTTGTACTCTTACTGATACTCCTACTTGAAAATGTAATTAGTCAGATGCAAGTGATGCTACATGGTATTCATAGTGGGCAATTAGCTCACTGATTAAAAGATGTTATTATCATTTCATTTACACATCAAATTACTGTAGAGGCATTTCACATCTACAGATGCAAAAGCGGCATTTGGAATTTAATTTCTAAAATGAGACTTGTCTATTCTCAAACTCAAATTAGAAGTGATCCCTATTCTCAAATTCAAGTTAGAAGTAATCCCTTCTCATTTTGACTACGGTAATTTCAGATGTTTGAGTGAGGCAGGCTGAAGTCTGTCACAGGAAAGCAGTTTGCACCTGCTTTCTGCGTTTTAAATTGCAGCACCAGTCTGATCCTTACACCTATTTTCAAGGAGCCCAGGAAGAATGCCAAATAGCCAGATTCCTTTGGCTCTTCACTCTGATGCACCTTAACTACTACCTTTCTAGTCAGTGTCACACAATTTAAAACAATCATTAAAATACTAATGCAACAGCAATAGTGCTTAAGTTTTAGCACAGTTTTAAAAACTGACTTTAAAAACCCCACACTGATGAAATTGTGTCCATAGGCAAAATGGTTAATGTCTCACTAGGGTGGACAGAACATAGGATGGAACACGCACACAGAATTGCTATGCTGGTTGAAATGTGAAGTCAGCTGCAATTCTGTATGTAGCTTAAGCGTGGAAGAGTTAGGACTGGGCAGAATTCAAAGCTCAGTCTGGAAGAACCCTTGTTTGTAAACACCAGCTGAACCTCTCCAGTCATTTTACCTCTCTTGTGAAGCAAGGCCTCTTGAACATTGCGCTTTAGTAATTCAGCTTTCTAATACGGTCCTTGCCTAAGGGGTCAAGGGAGGTAACACCAGCAGAAAACAAAACAAAATAAACCACACACAACAAAGGCACTTACCCAATTAAATGAACATTATTCACTTAGAATTAAGCCGAGGATTTGGATGCCAGTATAAAGAGAAAAGTTTAACGGCTCTTCCACAAAGGTTCAAAAATCTGACAGTCTTCTCAGGAAAGGGAATCTGTTACAATATTATCGGCAACCACAGAGAATGACTTTTTTTGAGCCTGTTTGGCTTTAACTTGGTGTGCTCAGACTTACTTGGCCTTAAAGGTCTTTAAGAGATCTTTAATAGTTGATATAAGAAAATGTGTCCATCGGTTCATAGGAAGTAATTCGAATCCCCGCGACGGGGTGAGCTCCCATTGCTTGGTCACTGCTCCTGCCAACCTAGCAGTTCGCACGTCAAAGTGCAAGTAGATAAATAGGTACCGCTTTGGCGGGAAAGTAAACGGCATTTCCGTGCGCTGCTCTGGTTCGCCAGAAGCGGCTTAGTCATGCTGGCCACATGACCCAAAAGCTGTATGGCCAATAAAGTGAGATGAGCACCACAACCCCAGAGTCGTCCGCGACTGGACCTAATGATCAGGGGTCCCTTTACCTTTAAAGGGGGTAGGGTATCCCTGGTCAAGCATACCATTTTAAAACAAATCACACACTCCATACATATACCCCCGACACAACCTGGTAATCTGCATTATTTCATCTAGAATAACCAGGGCTGGTTCACGACCCTTAGCTGCCTGATCCGGAATAGTAGATGGTATTTGGTCAAGGTCAAGGTACATATTCCCCTCTTTTGGAAGGAAGGACTGGATAGACATGTAATAAATAAAGTATTGGGGTAGGGGCCAGGTAAGCCCCACCCCACACAATTGATCACATGACGTGGCACATGTACATCATTTGAATGGCAATGCTCATCAACTTTGTGATGTGATATAATGAAAAGATGTTCAAAATAACATTCGTAAAAAAAAACAGAAGCTTTTCTCTTGGGACTTATAGGAACAGAACTACCTAAAATGTATAGAAACATATTCATGTATGTGACCACAGTGGCAAGAATGTTACTTGCCCCAAATTGGAAAGAAAAAGAAGTCCCAGCAAAGGAAGAACAGATACGAAAACCTATGGAATACACAGAAATGGCAAAACTTGCCGGAAGAATAAGAAATCAAGGTAACAAACTGTTTATAAAAGAATGGAAACGGTTTATTGAACATTTACAGATAAATTGTAAACAGATAAAAACATTGGCAGGATTATTGCAATAACCTGCAGCTTCATAAGAAGATGAATAAATGAACAAATAAAGTTAATTTGGATATGCAGAAGATATGAAAAATTTCAAGAACCGCAGAAAGCGGGGAAAGGAAGTCAAGTTTTGAAATGTCAAAAGGATTGTAAAATCGGGGAAACGTATAAATTCGAAAAGGATAAATAAAATTTAAAAAAACTTTGTTGTGGGGGGGGCGGTCCCCTCGAACATTGGGCCCCTAGGAGTTGGCTTCCTACGCCGACCGGTCGGGAAAGAAGGAGGTTTTCTCCCACGGAGCTGCCAGGCGCAGCCCGGCCCCTCCGCGCGCTTTCCCCAGGCTCCTCGCCGCCCAGGGTGGGGTCAGCCGGGCCTCGACGCTTTCTTTTCCCCCTGCGCGCTAAGGACGCCTGAGCGAGGCGGGCGTCGGCTCTCTCGCCTCTGGGTTGGGCCCAGGTAAAGGCGGAGAGAGAGATGTCAGGAGGGAGGGCGGCCCGACACGCAGCACTGTTATGAGTGTCCCACAGTCACCGGGCGAGGGCTGGGGGGGGGTGGAGGGCGGCGGTGGCGGCTCCACGCCCAGGCTTGCAAGTTGAGCAAAGCATTCCCCAAGGTGCGGCTTGGCCTCTCCGGTGCCAGCAGGGAGGGGACTGGCCGGTCTCCTCCTCTTCCCCAGTCCCCGCCCGCCGCCACCATCTCCAGCACCGCCGCGCCTTCGGCTGCCTCCTCACCTGGACGCCGCCGCGACTGCTCAGCACCACCACCACCTGCCTCTCTCTCTTTTTCTTTCTTTCTGTTTTCCTTTAAAAGTTCCTACTTTGCTCTTCATTCGACCCCTCCCTTCCCCTTCAGATCCCCTTCCCCTCTTTAACGCCCACCCCCGGCCTTTGACCTCCATTTTGCCTCGCCACCTTTGCGCGCTTTCTCTTTTTTTGGACTCTGTCGCTTTTGGGGTTGCCTGCCTGGTTCTAACTCCTTGAGGACTTGCGCCTTGCGAAGGCCGCTTGCTGCCGGGCGTTGGAGGGAGGGGAAGAAAGCGCACGAGAGCGAGCGAGCCACAGGGGAGCAGCCTTTCGCCCGCCAGAGAAGTTCATGCTTTTGCTCTCATCTGTGGGTTTCCTTTTCTGATTCTGAGGCACCCAAGTCTGAGCCAGCCCAGCCGCCAAGATGAGCATCAACGGATCCCACCCCAGGATCAACACGGTGGGGAGGATGGTCAGAACCGACTCCGGGCCGGATATGCGCTATGATATTAACAACCATGCGATGCTGAGCGGCGGCGGAGGTGGAGGAGGAGGAGGAGGAGGGGGAAGCAGCCATACCCACACTCATAAGATGTATTACATCCAGAAAAACTACGGGGACATGAGCTCGGAAGGCTACACGTAAGTGCAACCAGTCTAGAGATCTTCCATCCTGATCTTCGTATTTTCCAGTTGGAAACAGACGCACGCGTTAAGGCGTGCATTTGTAGCTCGCTGTTGCTAACCCGAAGCGGTTTATGGAATGGTTCCCACCCTTGATTGTAATCAAAGCTCTCTGAATGTGAATAATAAATCCATCCATTCATTTGATGCCGCCCCTCCCCACTTTCCACATTGCACTTAATTTATCGGTGGAGAAGATAGTGGTTGCATTTGGAGTATTTCCTCCGGGGCCTCTTTAAAAAGAAAAGTGAGCGCGCGGCGAAGTTGAGAACTTTTTGTTGCTGGTTCTCTGCAGGTTCTGTGTTTTGAAGTCTGGCTCAGTTGCTGTTTGTTGTTGGATTTTAGAGCGGGGGGGAGGGGAGAGAAGGGGCTGATGAGAACTCCTTGCAAGTGGGGGGTAGGGAGGAGGAATGCTCGGGGGTTTCCACCAGTTACCTCAGCCCCATTGAAAATGTAAAGTTTCATGGCGGCTCTTGTCCTTATCTCTTACATGCCTTTGGCTGATAACCTCCTGGATGAGTTCCAGCTAAGTTTTCCCAGATAAGGATTCTTTGCAGTAAAAGAGACTTCCTTTGTGAGTGGGAGTTGCCAAAAATCGAGGCTGAGAACGTCTTCATCCTTATCCAGTTCTTTAAAGTGATACAACTGCTGAATGATAATTAAATGTCACTAGCTTTCCCATGAGAAAGACTTTCGATTTATTGCCCCGAGAAAGAAAAATGTGTTATGTTTTCCTGTTCAGAAGGCACTGCTGTTTACAAGATAACATGCACCTGTGAACCACTTCACACATTACATTTCCTATGAAGCTTTTAAGTGCACCCAAAAGGTATGCCACAAATGTTTTCCAAACAAACGTATCAGATTTATCAGGGAGCAGTGACTGACCTCAGCGTCTTGTGAATTGTGCAGTCCTTCACATGTGTAGTTCAGTAAACATGCATGTAGTGGGAAGCTGTAGACATTTGTGACTCGACGGTGCTCATACATGCAGGTTGTGGTATTTCTAACGTGGAAGTGCATTCTGTAGAAGGAAAAAATTGACATAGGAAACATTCCTTTGTCTTGCTTTATTATTTACATTTGATTGGTTTTCTTTGAACTGTGGCTCATAATGTGGTTTCAGTGGTGTGGTTCAGCTGTGGAAGAGGTGGACTAACTGTGATGGGAGTGCTCTTCTGAGCATTGCTCTTTTTACTGAGTCTGATACCGTCCCACACATTTTATTTGCAGATTAGAAGTTACCAACTTCTGAGGAATGTGTTTTGCAGTTCAAGTTCGCAGAAATTTCTTCCTCCTTTTCTTTTAACAAAGGCCAACTGCTTTGCTTAATGAGTTTCAGCAGGTTTTTTTTTTAACTATCTGGGTTGTAGTTTGTTAGACAGCTCAGAAAGGACTTTTCCTCTGCACCATGGACACCTCCAGATCCGTGTTTTACTACTGAATTGTTGCTCTTGACACAATCATCAGGCACTACTCATGGATTGATCCTACTTTATTAGTTGTTTGGGAGTGCTTGCTCAAATGCTTCCACTTCAATGCTCTCAGCAGGAGCTAAATTGCCACAAAAGGTGGGGGGAGGACTCCCTTTGCTATGCAAAATTAGGGGATTTCAGCAGAAAGTTACTGAATAAGTACTAGAAATGAAGCAGGATGACCAAGGCAAAACTTTTCCAGGTACAAATCCGGGTTGCATATAGCTGCTCTGATTAGCATCATGAGCTCAAATCGTCATGAATGTGCAGTAAAAATGACACCTGGAAGCTATTCCAGTAATGGTGCCGCATTGGTGTGTGGTGTTCTAGGAATGTAAAAATTCCCAGAGGAATGTAGATAAGCTGCTATAGGAAACGAAGGACAAGTTGATCTGTCGGCATGAATGATAAAAATACAAGTTCACAGTCCACCTTGCAACGCAGCTGTTTACTTTTTCGGAACTTGGGCTGCACTTTCTGTGTGGGCGTGTATCCACAGGCAGCTGGTAAAACAGCGTGCTTGTTTTCAAGTCCCCCTAATGTGTTCTGTGTTTGAAGAATCATTCCATTCTCATCCCCACCCTGCCCCATAACCCTCGGCACTTTATTTCTTCTGCTTTGTTTATATTGCTTCTCCCCCCCCCCCCAATCCTCCCGAGAAACTGGGTGTAGGCAGCTTAGCAGGGCAGCTTCATATATATATATTACCTATTTATTTGCAGTATTTACCGTATATACCACCCAATGACAAAAAAAGTTCTCTGCAAGGCTTATAAGCAAAATTAAAACAGTAACATACAATAAAGCAAAGTGACAACAAATCCAAAACAGACTATAGCAGCAGAGGATAACATCAGTACAAGTGATCTGAAAAAGGACTAAAATTATATTTCAGATTGAAAAGCCTGGGAAAATAAATTATTCACCTGATGCTGAAAAGACCATAATGGAAATTTTACATACATTGTTCATGTGCAATATATCGAGTTTGAACCACGTCATACATCAGAACAGTTGCAGTAGTGTATTTTTGCGTGGAAGCAAATCGTATCAGCATTTGTGGGTCTTGTAAAAACTCCAGCAGAAGTGTTGCCTCAGTGGTATGCACTCAGAATATATTTGCTTAAGGCTAGAAACCTAAACTCTTCTTCAAGTTGGGATACATAACCTAATTCATCCTAAATTGTTAATCCCCATTTTACAGATGGGGAATGGAGGTTGAAAGAGATCTGCCTTAAAAGTACTCACTGAGTGAGTTAAAAGTATTGAGTTAGGATAAATGGGGTTAAGTTCCCAGTCTATTGAATCATGCCTTTCTCTTGATAACAGCAGTATCTAGTGGGAGATGTGCCCGTGTGAATGAAATCTCACAAATCAACACATGGGTAGAGCTTTCATATGTTACATCACCACAAACGCAATGTTCTTCAGTGGAATCAGTTCATATATTAAGTACATAAGGTATGTGCACCAGTTCTAGCGGTACAGTTCTGGAGCATTCTGGGCCCAGTTCTTCCCTTCTAGAAAGTAAGCCTTAATGACCTTGGAAAACGTGAGGATTCCCTATATATATGGACATTCAGCCACCCCCCACAACCGGCTAGCTCAGCAACAGCTATGCAGAGGCAAGATAGTATTTAGCATATGCAGTACAATCTGTGATCATGGGCAGGCACTCTTGTGGATGTGGAAAATGGCAGCAATGCAGCAGGTTAAATATTTTGCCAGGCTGATTAATTTCACCTGTTGGATTTTTACTTGTCATGTAGCTGTTAAGTGCACAGGAGCCCTGAAGGAATTAAACCTGGCAACCATACACAGGATTCCAGGAACTTTTCCTCTCCATTGGAATTAATACCATGATGCTTATATGGGTGTTGAAAAGTTCAGGGCTCTATAAGTATAGGTTGACTTTAGCAGTCATGGTTCTTCATCTCATTATTACTCTTCCTTTTGTGTAGGACTGAATAACTGAAGGTGCTCTGAGCTGTTCCATCATTTTTTCCAGTGTGCTGCTGTTGCAGATCAGCTCCTTTGTGCTTGTGTGGCTGAACAGGGCCACCATACAAGCCTGTTGATAAATAAGACTTCAGTCCTAACTCCACATACCATGGAATACTGTTGAATCCAATAGAACTTGCTTCTGAATAGACATGGTTAGGACTGCAGCCTAACTGAAGGTATGCAACAGATGTTCCTGGTTCATTATGACCCTAGTTTGAATCCCTGTATAAAAAATGCTGTACAAGTAGATATGCTAAACTATTTATATAATTTTGTACTTTTTCTGTTGCACAACTGGAGGCTAAGTTTAGCGCTGGTTTCCACAAATTTAGTATCTTGCAGAGCTTTATTACAGGAAGTTGAGTTACTTGTGAGTATAATTTGGTGCCTAAATTAATAAAGGAATGCTGCCTCCGTATTGTTTCAAAAGGAGCTGCCCGCTTGTTTGTTAATCAGTGATTTACTAGTTAGAACTGCACATAGTATTGCAAGTTTCGCAATGTCTTGTTTTCTTGTATTTCACAGGTTAAACCTTATCTGGGCCCAAATTGGAGTCTGATTACATGGCAGATTTACACCCTTGTCAGCCCAGCAAAAGCTGCCAGAAATTTAATTACTATCCTATGTAACCTCAGAAGAATGTTTCAAGATAGACCTTGCTTTTGTCTTTAGTGACAGCATAGCTTATCCATGAATTCATCCCATGAGTTCCCTTGCTGAAATTAGTTCAGATTAGATTAGTAAACCTGGTACCAGAGGAAGTGCAGTAGGCAATAGAAGGCTGTAAAAACAGTAACTCCTATCCTTCCGACAACTAGTGATTTTCCTGAAAAGCATGCAGCATTTCAGAGGGGCCCTTGTTAAGCACAGAATTCAGTGCATTTTTTCTTTATTTCTCTTTGTTCCCTTTTTGCCTGCAAAAACTTCGGAAACCTTGCACACTTCTCGGATATGAGTCTTGAGGATCAGGCGTTTAGCCCATTTATTATTTTTTTATGAACTGCATTCAAACAGAAATACTGCTCTGTGTGTGTCTGTGTGAGTGAGAGAGAAATATGGAAATTTAAATGCAAAAGTGACGATACTTCCATCTGAGTTTCAGCATAGTTACCTTTGGGGCGGAGTCTCTGTCCTGCCGAGGCTTATTCTGTCGCCCTTTGTTCATTTTATTAACTAGTACCTTGCTCAGGTAGCATTGCCAGCCTCTCCCTGCCCTGAGGGCTTGAGCAAGCTGTCTCTGTAATGTTCCCAGCTTCTGTAACCCTGGGAACTGAGGAAGAGGGTGGTTTCTGTGGAACCTCAATTGACAGGGAATTACACTGCTGCCCTCAATTGCCAGCCTGTTTCTGCAATTCAGTTAAAAAATTTTTTTTTATAACACCCTTAGCACTGTTTTAAACCAGCAATCCCTTTGAATTGTGTACACTGCAGAGCACAATAGTTAAAGCTACTCCCAGTAGGTTTGAGAGAAACCAAAGGTCTTTATATACCTCTTACGCAGGCATAGGCAATCTCGGCCCTCCAGATGTTTTGGGACTACAACTCCCACCATCCCTGACCACTGGTCCTGTTAGCTAGGGCTGATGGGAGTTGTAGTCCCAAAACATCTGGAGGGCCGAGTTTGCCTATGCCTGCTCTAGTGGTGTTGGCTTCTGTAACTACAGGGTAGTGCTTGCCTCCTGTCGACACACAGTCTTTGCGAGTATTTACTCGACGAACATCCGCAGCACTATGCTATTTGTACAGGTGTGTGTTGACGGGGGGCAGGTGGTCCCCATATTTATTTTGCTCAGATCTTTAGCCAGTTTGATGTAGGATCCACAACAGTGATGCTGAATGAGATTAAAATGATGGTGCACCATGTGGTAGAGCAGTGTGGGTTCCCAAATTGTGGTCCATGGATCACTGATGGGTCACAAGCCTCATTGAGGAAGTCTGTGGCATGTCCTCATTCAATGTCCATATTGTTTTTTAATTGTATTTCCCCCTCTGCTCTGCAACATCTTCCGTTTCTTAATGTTGCATGCGTTTTAATGGTGTTAAAATTAGAATTCTATGAAATGCGAATTGCAATACAATAAAATGCAAGGAGCAATAAAAAGACAATTTAAAAAAATGTACAGCATCTGGCACAGCACATTACATTTGTGACACACACCATTGTAATAATTAAGAGGTCCACTAAGACCATCAACAATTTCCAGGCCTACGTTGGGGGGAAACCTTGGGAACCACTGTGATAGAGCACTGAATAATTATGATGATAAAACATGTCTGCTGAAAATATTATGATTCTGTACTTAGTACAGTACTTAAAAAATAAATAAATCCTGCCCTGCCCCATGTAGTTCAGAGTACTCACCTATTTTCTCTTAACTACAACCCTGCAAGGTAAGCTAAGAGATAGTAACTGGCCTAATGTCACCTATTGATTTTGCTGGCTGTGTGGAAATTTGAACCTGGGTCTCTCGAGTCCAAACTCTTAACCACTACATCCCTCTCACAGCTTCTCCTCCTCACCACCCCAGACCCCCATTTAGGCTTGAAAACATCTGTCTACTGCCACCAGCAGAAGGTTATTTTCAAGCCTAATTCCAGCATGTAGCTTCTTGATCTCTTTACCTGGTGCTTTTATAACAGGATGGCCATCTTCAGCCAGGGGATTTTCTCCATCATGCTGTTTGGAGGTACAGAGGTTTATAGAATAATTTGCACGCGTTGTCTTAGAAATCCTACCAGTGACATATACCGAGGTCAAGGTTATTAAGTAGCTTGCATCAGGTTACCTAGAGAGTTCGTGGCAATATTTACCTAGGGATTTCCTGCCTCACAATTCGCGCTCCCAGTCACCATGTTACCACTGTTCAATACCCCACCCCCCAGTAACTGTTTCCTTTAAAGTTGGTCTGCATAAGGTTTCCAAGTGTATGGTACCTGCATTGATACTTAACAATCATAACAGCCGCTTCAGAATCTGCTGTAGCAAATGTCCTTCCGATGTAACTTGCACAGGCAAGTCGGAATAGCAGACTGAACAGTCATGCAAAGACCAGAATTGCAGCTTAATTTTTAAAAAAAGAAATTGGGATCTTCCTATGTCTCCGTTTTCAGAGCCCTGCCCTGTGTGAATAAATACACCAAGTCTCTTCTTTGCTAATAAAGGAAGGCTGCCACCCCATCACGATATCCCAAGTTGTGTGTTAGGAGTGTCCTGTATATGCCGTGACTAATGAAATGATCACACGATAAAAAGCAGAGAGCAGAATCTGCATGCCAAGTACTCTTCAATTGTACATAGCTAATTATTGCAGGTGGGTTAGCTCAAGAGAGGGAGAGAGAAATGATAATAATAAAATAAACCCACTAGAAGCAAAGAGTGCTGCAACACAGTGAATCTTTAGTCATGAGGAACTACAAGAGGGATAAGCCTTTCATTAGAAAAATGGGCGAGGCCTCTTTGCCACAGACTCTGGGAGAGCTGCACATGAAGCATTGTCAAAAAGTTGGGTGTGCTGAGGCAGCATGCTTGATGCCCAGATATTGTGTCATCAACTGTGATGATTCTCTTTTAAGTCAAATGATATGGGGTACACAGCCCTAAAGGAGTGAAGCCAATGTGTCATAGTGGAAAGGCTGCAACACAAAGAAGTCCTGTGTTTAAATCCCTATTCGGGCCCAGATTTTTAGTCTGCTACTCTCTTAACCATGGCAAATGGATCAGAAGTAGGTTGTGGGCTTGTATAATCCTCCTTTTAATCACCATTCAGTATTACTTACGCACTGTTGCTAACCATGGCGAACACTTAAAAAGGTTGTTTCTTGATCAAGGTCTTGCATGCCGACTTTAACTCTCATTTCAAGAATTGGTTGAAAGAATTGGGAACCATAGTTAGCGATGGTTTGCATGTAATGCTGAACCATGGTTAAGGAGAACAAAGCAAGGGGAATTCATGCTGGAGAGTAACTATGCTAGGAAAGTGCAGGGAACTACAGTGGGGGATAACGTCACTGGATAATCCCTGGGAAGATTAAATGTTTTGTTTTGCTGTTACGATTCTCCAAAGCTAAGAATGGGCAGTGTTTTGTGTGACCTCAGGCTGTTGTTAGCATTTTAAAAAGGAAGTAAAGTTCTTTACGATTGCAGAGACAGGTTTGCCTTATTTATTTATTTATTGGAGCAATTTATTAATTGCTTCATTTTTAAAAAACAATGTATAAAAGGTATAAAATTTGTAATTATCCAAATAGCCTCCAACCTATTAAAAAAAACCAAGCAAACAGGCTGCTTGGCACATTCCTGGGTTAGTTTTGAAAGGGACAGACATTGGATCCGTCTTATTTGTGCCATTTAACCTTTTAAAAGTTTAAGAAACAAAACCAGTGGAAACCTAATCATAGCAGCATTCTGCAGCTGATGTGGAATGGGTGTGTGAACTCTTTCAAAATAGTGATTACTAATGGTGTAGATTTACACTTGATTTTCATTTCTGTGCAAGTTGCATTCAACCACAGTTGTAAATGCCAACAAATTTTTATACAGGGGTTTAATCTTTTCGGTGGGGGAGTATCCAATCTTGGGGGGCAGTGAAGTTCACAGTTGTGTATGTTTAAGGTCGCTTTGGGATTTAAAAAAGGATAAGAAGAATGTGATGGATCATGGCTGTGTGAACAATTGATAACTGGGACTCTTTAAGAACATCTCCACCAGTAGATAATTTTTAATCAGATGTGTCTGACAGGTACTTTAGAAGAGAATCTTGGCAGACCTTAGAGCAGGTATAGGCAAACTCCGGCCCTCCAGATGTTTGGGACTACAGTTCCCATCATCCCTGACCACTGGTCCTGTTAGCTAGGGTTGATGGAAATTGTAGTCCCAAACATCTGGAGGGCTGAGTTTTCCTGTGCCTGCCTTAGAGAGCCCCGCAGTGGGACAGAGCACATTGTATGATACACTTGACAGTGAGGAGTCCTGTCCTCAGGGATCCATGGCATTTCCCCCAGCTCTTTCTATTCATTTTGGAATTAGAGCATCTCCTGAAATGTTCTGTACCTCTGCTCTCATATATTTACCCACCTTAAGACAGTGGTAATACGTTGCATCAATATACAGAAAAATTAATGCACATAATAACTGCTTAACTCCCTTTTTCTCTACGCCTTCTAGGCTACATTATTTCTTTAAGGGTTACCATGTGTAATTAATGTCAGAAGTTACTGTTGCCTGCATTATCTCCAAGTGATGCATCAGTGACTGTACAAAGTCCTTCAATGATTTAATCATGGCATACAGTATTCCCCCTCCCCGCCTTTGCATCTGACTTCTTTTATCCAGGGTGCCTTTCATTGTAATCCCATGCTTGTTCAGACAGGTTGGTTGGGAGGTGAAAATAGAAAGCACAGTTCCTTTTTTTCACATGGGAGAATTGCTTAATTATTTAAATATGAGCAATAAGAAGTTGCAACTAATTCTTGTTATGCACGTGCACGCACACACACACACACACAGAGAAGTAGCTTATCTAAAAGCAACACTTAAAAGTAGTTTTTAACCATTCCTAAAATTTAATAGTAGTCAAGAGTTTTGCTTGTGGGGCCCCACCTGAGTACTACTTCCCTGAGGTTTCTTCCTAGGGTGGTGTAGAGTTGTCTGCCCACCCCACCCACATCCAAGGAAGGGTGTGTGTCTGGGTAGGGCTCATAGGCAGCCATTTAAGAGTTTACAATCTAAATAATAATAATTAGGGCCAGCTAGTGATCAGCCTTTGTGTGAAAGCGTAAAAAATGAGAGGAGTCCTATTCCCATTTACCTCAAACTCAAACGGACTCCACTCAGGGTGGAGCAACTGTATCACATCTGTGCATACCTGGGCATGCATTCTCACATGCGCACACTTTGCTCTGACCTTTCCATACAAGTTGGACAACTTCTGTACGTACAGCTGAATGAATTGGGCTATGCACACTCATGTTAGCTGCCTCATGCAGTAAGCCCAAAGCACTTTGCTGAGCTAGGCCCAAGTACGGAGCAAAAACCAGTCCTTTTTTTGGTGATATTCTTTCTCTGTGACACTTGGGGTGCATGGACCGTTTACAAAGGGGGACATGAAAAATCTGACAGGTGGCTGTTGCTGAAAGTATGCAAAAGTTGTTGATTTGCAAACAAAAAATGACACCTAGCAGTTCAAAAACGCATGCAGGGAGAATGGTAGGAAATGAATATTTTCATTATTTCAGCAGAAATGTTTCATTTACTCTCTCTTCCCCCCACAGTGCAGGATATTGTTGGCTCCTCTGTTCATTCAAGGAGGGGACGTACACAAAATGAATCGAAAGCTTCCTTTGCTTTCTTCCAGTCCCTTACCTGAATTCTGGGCCAACAAACGCCAGTCTCTTATCTGAGTGCTGGATCAACACATATAGGTGGTCCTTCCTATAATGCCCTTGCTCTGAGCTGGAGGGAACACAATTTCCTCAACAATAACTGTGAGCAATCTACTCGCAAAGCCTCCTGTCACCCCTTGATTGAGTTCTACCTACCCTTTAGGAGGCATGCCTATAAACTTCACTTTATGGCTCACAGTGGCATCAAGGTGCATTATGGATGCTGGTAGAGTTTACATTTTCATGGGAGAAAATAGGTGGCTGCTTGTACTTCTTTGGGGGTTCACAGACTGCTTTGGGGGTCCACCTCTCTGCTTTTTCTCTTCTGCCTACTTCAAGGGCTTTGTCTAAAGTGGGAGGATGGGCATGAGAAGCAGATAGACTGGAGAAGGCATCAGCAGGAACTCTGCGTACACGAGGTCACATAGGTGCCATGTTTCTCCTTAGAAGTCTTCTCCATTTGGCCTGGAAGGCAGACTTGACAGAGCCAAGCCCACCTGTGCTTCACCTGGCATCTTACAATGCCATGCATGGAACAGGTGAAGCCACGACACCCAGTTCCAAAAGAAGAATCTGGAAGATTTAGGAACCCTGCTTGAAAAAGTCGTTTCTGAGTTTGGTTCCTTTTTCTGTCATCCTGCACGGCAACAATGCAGCAATGTTAGAAAAAATAGTACGCAATTCACGTAAGCGACACCTTGTTAATATCACCTTTTTAGCAGAAACTGTTAGCGTTTTAGCAGAAATTTGGTGTTTACAATAAAAATATTGGCAAATACTTCAGTTTTCAAAACACTCTGCTCTTTATTGTTGAACTCTTGTAACATGTTGTCTGTCCTTAACATTTGAGACTTCGAAGCACATACGTTTCAGTAATCCTTGAGTGCTAGCCAGGTGCAAAAAATGGCACCCAGACTTTTTGAGGTGCTCGCAAATGGAGAATCTTTAGGCGCAAAATGCTAATTTCGAAGTCTGAGTGCAAGTGTCAAACCTAGCAGTTGCTCAAACATCACCTATTCACCTTTCCCCAACCTTACTTATTCTTTCTATAGCTGGTGCCCCATGATATTCTTGTAAAGAAGCTGGTAAAATGCGGTCTTGACTATGCTACCACTCAGTGGATTTGTAACTGGCTGACTGACCGAACCCAAAGGGTGCTCATCAATGGTTCCTCTTCATCCTGGAGAAGAGTGACTAGTGGGGTGCCACAGGGTTCTGTCTTGGGCCCGGTCTTATTCAACATCTTTATCAACGACTTGGATGATGGACTCAAGGGCATCCTGATCAAATTTGCAGATGACACCAAACTGGGAGGGGTGGCTAACACCCCAGAGGACAGGATCACACTTCAAAACGACCTTGACAGATTAGAGAACTGGGCCAAAACAAACAAGATGAATTTTAACAGGGAGAAATGTAAAGTATTGCACTTGGGCAAAAAAATGAGAGGCACAAATACAAGATGGGTGACACCTGGCTTGAGAGCAGTACATGTGAAAAGGATCTAGGAGTCTTGGTTGACCACAAACTTGACATGAGCCAACAGTGTGACACGGCAGCTAAAAAAGCCAATGCAATTCTGGGCCTCATCAATAGGAGTATAGCATCTAGATCAAGGGAAGTAATAGTGCCACTGTATTCTGCTCTGGTCAGACGTCACCTGGAGTACTGTGTCCAGTTCTGGGCACCACAGTTCAAGAAGGACACTGACAAACTGGAACGTGTCCAGAGGAGGGCAACCAAAATGGTCAAAGGCCTGGAAACGATGCCTTATGAGGAACGGCTAAGGGAGCTGGGCATGTTTAGCCTGGAGAAGAGGAGGTTAAGGGGTGATATGATAGCCATGTTCAAATATATAAAAGGATGTCACATAGAGGAGGGAGAAAGGTTGTTTTCTGCTGCTCCAGAGAAGCGGACACGGAGCAATGGATCCAAACTACAAGAAAGAAGATTCCACCTAAACATTAGGAAGAACTTCCTGACAGTAAGAGCTGTTTGACAGTGGAATTTGCTGCCAAGGAGTGTGGTGGAGTCTCCTTCTTTGGAGGTCTTTAAGCAGAGGCTTGACAACCATATGTCAGGAGTGCTCTGATGGTGTTTCCTGCTTAGCAGGGGGTTGGACTCGATGGCCCTTGTGGTCTCTTCCAATTCTATGATTCTATGTCCATACTTGATTTTACAATCTATGCTGGCTAGTTTTGGAAACAACCAGCGCACACTCACACACCCAACAGACTCATAGTGGCTTTGGAATTGCAGTCATACCTTGGTTCTCAAAAGGAATCCGTTCCAGAAGTCTGTTCGACTTCCAAAAATGTTCCTGCACTCAATCGGAAGCTGCGTCGGACACTCAGCTTCCAAAAAATGTTTGCAAACCAGAACACTCATTTCCAGGTTTGCGGCGTTCAGGAGCCAAAAAGTTTGAGTCTTAAGACGTTCGAGAACCAAGGTACAAATGTATAATAATGGCTAACTGTGGCAACAGAAATAAGCTGCTGTGAACTTCAAATAAATGTACTCCTCCCCTTTTCTCTCTTCCAGCTGAGAGGAGATCAGAAGCTTTCACTTGTGTATTTGATTAGCTGCAGTTTAGTGTTTCATCCAAACCGTAAAAGTCCGTCATTCAAAACTATGGTTTGTTGAAACTTGGCAGCTTTGTTGTCCAAGATGTGAATTGACGTGTTTCAGCAAACCAGATTTTCTCCGGATTTGAACATTATGACAAATTGTGTTTAATAAAAAATGCAAGTGGAAGCTTCTATCGCTTCATGGTTGTACCAGAGGAGGAAAGGGGGGAGGCCTGTGCTAGCCTGGGGCTCTCGAATGTTTTTTCCTGTAGTTTATTACTATGTCTGAAAGCAAGCAGTACCACTGGCATCTGTGACAGTAGCTTAGAACACAGTTCTTTTCATATGATTCACCCCCCTTTTTTATGTAGTGACTTTGCTGTATCAGTTCTCTGTGTCGCGGGTTTCATTTGCGCACACCCATGTGTGCTTAAATCTGGAACTTGCCACATGAGAGAAATCTATTGAAAAATACCCCCACAGCAACATAGTAAATGCTAGAGTTCCACCGGTAACTGAAATGGTCATCCCGCTGAAATGGTCACAGTGCAAAACTGATGTAGAAGAGCCAGGCCTTGGGAAAAGTGACTGTAAACATCTTTCCAAGTTCAAGACTGAATCACATATGCACGTGTAACAGCACGTGAAAATGATTTTGGGTTGCACTCAATGCTAGTTGTAGTCAGAGTCAGGGTGGATTTGATTTAAATCACGATTTAAGTCACTAGTCAGTAAGACTTGATTTAAATCACTAGTCAGTAAGACTTGATTTAAATCAATTCTTTTTACAGAAAGACTCATTCTTGCTGGTATAATCTTAATAATTACAACCAGATGAATGTTTCATTTTTGAAATTTTCAGAGTAGTTTTTACAGTTATATCAAAAATTACTGATTTGGTTATACTATTAGAAATACATTGACAGATAATTATGAAATTATTGTGAGGTTTAATAAGTTAACTGTTTATATTTGGACAACTTTTCTGCTGTACTTTATTGGAAGGAGAAAAATAATCATTTCCTGAGTAATAATTTAAACAATGTATTTAACTAAAACAATAACATTGTAGCATATGTATCAATGTTTGTTAACTGATGTGGTTAAATGTTTTTTTTTAAAAAAAACAGACTGAGTTTTAGTACACATGAAAAACTTAAAACAAATCCTTATTTCCTGATGAATAGCCTTTGGACTATAATGTAACTTAAATAGAAAACTATCTTTAGAAATATTTTTGCTCCAAAAGCATTTTATTTTAAAATCCGATTTAAATCAAAAAATCCAATTTAAATCAAAACTGATTTAAACTTTTTTTTAAAAAAATTGATTTTTTTATTTTTTTTAGACAATCATTGATTTTTATCCACCCTGGTTAGAGTAGACCTGCTGAAATTAATGAACATGCCTCACTTAATTTCTGTTTCTTTTTTCCTACTCCTTTACTTCGTTCGATCATACATAAGAGCCTACTTTAAATTTGGAGGGGTAGCCCTTGCTGTCATAAGAAGAAAGTCATTTAGAGGCTGCAAAGTTTGGCAGATATTAAAAGTATTGTGCATTTGAACTGCAGTGGCTGTTTTGCATATCCAGTTGTCACTTGATGTTTAATTCATTGCTTTATGAACTTGCATGTAAATCCATAATCGCATTGAAGTCACTAGGTGAGCAATACACATGCTGACTGTAATAATTCACTCGTTAAATTATTATTATTGTTATTGTTGTTACGAGAGAGCTCTTGAATCTGAGTGCACAGGATAGAATTTAGCTTACGCTGCAGAAAATAATCAGTACAAGGGAATGTACTTAGCCAGCTGGATTAAGCTTGGAAGTTTGTTGGTTTACTAAAGTATCTGTTTTAATAGAGGTGCTTCGATTTGGGAAATGCCTGAGCTTGTTGGGAGAGCTCTGATGCCATCAGCGAGGTGTGGCTCCTAGTTTGCAGCACCTCACCCATAGACAACTAGTGCAGGCTTGCACCTGTGGCTGAACGCAGCATGACCAAACACTTGCAAAGCAGCCTCTCTCACACAGCTATCCTTTGTGTATATTATATATAAAGTGGCCTTTGAAGCAGAACGCCTCTTCCTTTAACAGGGAGGTTGTTTCAAAATGCACTTTGTGCTGCCCCTAAAATAAGTAGGCAAGGGACTTTAATCTCTGCTCATCGGTTGATGACCAAAGATGAAATCCTGTTGTCTAGGCTTTGTGATCCTGTTCGCTGCTGGGAACAGAGGAGTGAAGGAGTAAACCCTATCCTTCCACCCATCAGCTGACAGAACCAGGGACATCAGCTGGTGGGTGTTTGGGGGAAATGGCCTGGTGAGCTACATTCAACAAGCCAGAGGTTTCCCAACCTGGTAGCATACATTTTTAAAAACAAGTTATCCAAAGCTAGTAGTATCTTCTCTACTGTACTGGTACATTTTACCTACATAAAAGGAGATTTTCTAAGCAGACTACATTACTAAGCTGTTCCTGTTAGAAGCACGATTTCCAGAATGTATTTTTCTGCCTTGAAAGTAATAGAATAATAGAATTGAAGAGTTATTTAGTCCCACTCCCTGCAGCAGTGCAGGATTCTCTTGCCCAGCGTGGGGCTCAAACACATGAACCTGAGATTAAGAGTCTCCTGCTCTATTGACGGAGCTATCCCAGCTCAGTCTTCCAGTTGACAATACAGAATTCCAAAAGATGGTTCTCTTGGACTGTTACCACAATGGAATCATTGTGTCTGAAAAGACAGATTAAGTCTTGGGTACGGAATTCCTCTAATTATACTGAATGTGTTTTGAGCTCAAATGGAAAGAACCACATTATTGGGTTCCAAACAGGCTTTCTGAATCCACTCTGATCCCTTCTCCTTGGACGTATATAATCCCAAGCTCCCAAACTGTTTCTGAATATCTTGTTCAGGATAGGATCAGTTTACTTGGGAATACTGTTCTGGATAAAACTTCAGTAGTGGCAGAAGTTTACATTATGTATTGGCTTTCTTCTTTCTTATTACAAAACCTTGTCATGCCTGGGCCCTTAGGCGCTGTTACATAAAAGCTGGTTGGCAATACCCTCACCAAGATGCCACATACATGAATCTGGAATAGTATCTTGTTTTGTAGATTGGTTGAGAAAGCAAGGTCTGTATTCTCTGTCTGGTTAAATATCCATAACAGGTTCAGAAAATCAGGTACAGGTTTCAGCTTGAGCATTTATCATCATCATATCATCACCACCATCAGTGCTCTTAATGCTTTGTAGTGTAATGTAAGTGAACCCCTGTCCCAAGATTCTTTTAGCCTAAATTTAGACAGTTCAGAGAGGAGGTAACAGAGGAGTTGGCCAAGGATAACAAGGGATGGGTATAAAACCAAATACAGTGGTGTGTGCTTTGGCTTCATTTGAAATGAGATCTTGGTTCAGATTTCACAGAAGAAGGAGGGATTTGAAGGAAGACAGCTGGTGTCATATATAATTCTGCAGGAATTTACAGAATGATGGGTTAGAAGGGAGAATGGACTGAGCAGTTTTGCACTTGAGTATTCCGGCTGTCCTGGTCTTCCTGTGTGTTTCTAGGCTAGACTAAGAATGTCTGTTTCATACACCATTCATCCTTGTGTTTGTTTCATTGGCAGAATGGTAACCACAAGCCAGTGTTTATTTATTTTTTACTTAGCTCACATTCCCACCGTGGTTTTTATGAGGCTGCAGACTCAGCATTGTAACTCTTTTGTGTGTGACACACAGACACAAAGGAGGGGTGAGTGTATCAAGGAGAATCTCTGTGAAGCCGCACAGGTTACAACACTTTAATTTGAATAAGGTGTGCTGCTTGCCTTGGGAAATGCATTTAAAATCCATGATTAATTATATCTGTGTGATTAATTCTCGGCCTCTCTTTCTCCTTCCCTTAGCCACAATGGAACCGGCACAATGTCCAGGCGTCAAAACACCATTCAAGACCTCCTGCAAAATTGCTCCGATTGCCTCATGCGTGCCGAACTCATAGTGCAGCCTGTAAGTCTTGTTCCATTGCTGAACCTATATGAATGCTAACCTGGGAGATGCTGTTTCCCCATTCTGAATGAGCAAGCGAGAACGCAGACCTCAGAAAAAGTGCTGTGGAACAGTTGATTACAGAGGTTGCCTGCTTTTTAAGACTTGTGTGCACTTCTGGTTTTTTTTTAATAAGTTCTGTGGGTGCCAGTCCCTCTAGTCACTTCTTTCCCTGCTCCCCCGGATCAGCTGCACTCTCGTGAGATGGAAAAAGAGAGCAAGTGCACACAAACGTAGTTTCATTTTTCCAAGGTAGAATTCAGTAGAATTAACCAGAGTAGAAAGAGTGTCGTCCTCCAGTTCAAGGAGAAAAAGTATGATCTTATGATCAAAGGAGTAGTTGGGGGTCGGGGAGCTCAGGGGCTTTGTAGGCACCAAGAAGATGCTTCAAGGGTTCCGTTGCACCCATGTTGGTGACCCCTGGGTTTATTCGGAAGGAAGGAAGAGAGGTTCTGTGGCTTAGTGGTGCAGCACCTGCTCTGCAAACTCAAAGGTTCTAGGTCAGCCTTTCTCAACCTGTGGGTCCCCAGATGTTGCTGAACTACAACTCCCATCACCCCTAGCTAGCAAGGCCAGAGCTCAGGGATGATGGGAGTTGTAGTCCAACAACATCTGGGGACCCATAGGTTGAGAACTGCTGTTCTAGGTTCAATCCTTGGTCTCTCCAGTTACGAGGGATTAGCTAGCAGGAGATGTAGAAGACTTTGGCTAAAGACCCTTGAGAGCTGATACATATCAGATTAGGCAGTGCTGTACTAGATGGACAAACAGTATGGTTTGGTGTAAGGCAGCTTCCTGTACAAAACATACCTAACTGTCCAAATATGAGAGAGAGAGAGAGAGAGAGAAGGCAGTATGACTATAATAGCATGTACATTTATTTACACCCTCCCCCAGTTCATCCCAAGAAAGAGCATATTAATGCCTACTGGTTCCTGTATACACACACATCTGTTTAATAAACAGAATCACAGCTCCATGTTGAGGTCTGCCTTCTTACTTGCTCCTCTGCTGCTGGTGCCCTGCCTCTTCTTTTTCAGGATTCACTGTTTTCACAGCTAGGTTTCTAGGACAGCTTTCTAGGTTGCTTGCAGAAACGCCTATTAAGAAAACGCCCTCTCAGCTGGTAGAACATAATCTCAGAAACAATTCTAGGAGGAATGAAGTGGCCATCCAAGCGGCCAATTACCAGGGAATAAGGTTGGGATTGACTTGGTATATAAAACATAACCCAGTCTTGCAGGTGACTGTTCAGGGGGAATGATTGCCACTTGTCCATCTGGCCAGTTGCTCTCTACTTGGTTAGGCCTCAATTCTCCAAGGAGGTCATATCCAGCTCTGCCTTAGCCAAGCTGCTTTTGAGCGGCTATTACCACTGGCCTGAAAGTGAGACCTTATTTAACAGAGCCTTGCTATGAAACCTGCAAGTGCAATTTGTTCATTCTCCTTCCTAGCCTCAGATGTTGCTAGGCCTTTAACAAATGGCGTTTCCCTGCAGTGCTACCATCCTGGTGTTGAAAGGAAGGCAGGAATGAACCAAGAGTTAATGGGCAAAAGCTCCCAAGCACCTGAGTGGCTCACACAGGACAGCTTCCCAGGAGATTGTACCCAGCAGATCCTTCTTTAGACCACGCTTGTCACTTGTTTCTGTACCTGGTGTAGTTTAGGCGTAATGATAATGATAATGGATAATAGCAACGATAAATAATACGCCACATATATTTCAAATATTAGCTGTTTCATGGGTTTCAGTGCATTACCGACAGAAAACTTGCAGCATTAAAAAAATCTGGAGTTTAGAACATCCTACACACGTTGCCTCCTGCTATCACATTATTTTTGTGGTGGTGGTGGGGCTTTTGAACCAAATATGGTGATTTTTTGTTTGTTTCCTTTCACTTAGGAGCTGAAGTATGGGGATGGTATCCAGATTAGCAGGAACCGAGAGCTGGAGGAGTGCTTTGCTCAGGCAAATGAGCACATGGACATCCTCGATGGGCTGATCAGAGAGATGAGGCAAATGGGGCAACCCTGTGAGCTGTACCAGAAAAGGTACCACATTCTGTTTTTGTCTCCTGGCTTTTCCCCACAGACTTCTAGTTATTATATGTGGGCTTGCCTCAGTTTACACTTAGCAGGCGCTTGACTCTGCCTCGTATTGAATCAATGAATAGATGCCCATGAATTATACGAGGAGGTTTGTACCAGGTATGTGCTCTTGTGGAGTCAAGTGCTCCGTTTCGTCAGACGTACCAAATGGTAAGCCATTCAGTACTACAGTAAATAGTGGTGCTGCGTACCTGTATTGGGAAATTTTCAATGTTTGATGTTTTATTGTGCTTTTTATCTTCTGGAAGCCTCCCAGAGTGGCTGGGGAAACCCAGCCAGATGGGCGAGGTATAAATAATAAAATTCTTCTTCTTCTTCTTCTTCTTCTTCTTCTTCTTCTTCTTCTCCTCCTCCTCCTCCTCCTCCTCCTCCTCCTCCTCCTCCAGGACTCTTTCTCATCTAATGAGACTGTGTACCTTGAATTTTTAATACTATTTCATTCTGTGGAACACAAAGCATGGATTTCCCCCTTCCATTCTTATTGTTTTCAAGCCAGGAATGCCATCTTCATTGCACTTATTTATTTGTCTTTAAAAAATCCAAAACCAAAACAAAACTGCAGTGAACAATCTTAGTGGATCAGGCATCTAGTGCATTATCCCCATATTCCACCACTGCTATTACTGGATATTACCTAGTAAGTTTATAGTGCTGGGGGGAAATGGAGGACTTTATCCCATATTTTTCATTACAGGCTTATGGTGGCTCAGAGCCTGCAAATGTATTCCCCCTCCTCCTCTGCTCCATCTCTTTCGTCTTATAGCACCTTGACGTTGTTCTCCATCGTTATCCTTTCAGATTGCTTCAGCTTCAAGAGCAGATGCGCGCCCTCTACAAAGCGATCAGTGTACCTCGTGCCCGTAGGGCTAGTTCCAAAGGTGGTGCGTTTACCTCCCAGAGTGGATCGGGATGGGATGAATACACCAGGCGTTGCACCACAGAATGTCTGAACTGGATGAGGCAGCAGAAGGTAAAGCGTGCTTCGTGTTCTGGCTTTTGTTGAGAAAATGGAACTGCATTTTTCTCCCCTCCAACACCACACCAGCCAGTTCTTGTCCTGACAATTCAGGGAGTGGCAGGGGTGTCTCCCTGGTTTCCCGTCGCCGACGTTACTGTGGCTTGCTGGGAAGGGTGAGGTGGGGAGATTGGTGCAGTGTAGACGCTGTGACAGAGCCAATTAAGTGCTCCTGCCAAGGTGTCCCTCCCGGTAAGCCACAGCGACAGGACTGCTGAGAGGCAGTCCCCTTCCCATTGTCTGCTCCTGGGCACGGCACTTTGCAGCCTCAAAATAAAATATCAGCAGGAGTTAAGGGAAAGTAAGCCAGCCCCTTTCTCTTGAGTCTGTGTTGTTTTAGAACCTTCTGGACGCACCTATTGCAAGCTCATAACATTCACCCAAGCACGGCAAAGATTAACTCTATGTACACAGTGCATTGCTACAGTCATCCTATTTCTGCATAAAGGAAAGGGGTGGGGAAAAATAATGGTTCAGACAATAATTGAAGAAAAAAAAAAGAATACGGAGGACAGAAAAAGAAACAAATGAAAGATCTCATGTGGCTGGCAAATTAGAAAATGGAAATGAAAACAAGAGACCTGCAGATATGGCAATAAGGCATTTGCTAAAGGGGCTTGCAGTTGATTTTTATGGAGTGGCTTCTTTAAGATGACTGTTTGAATGGCCACGTAATTTCCCTACCTGTTCTGCAAGGGAACAGGCACCCCTCCTATAGCAGCCGCTGCCGCCTAGGAAGCCCTTGCAGCATTTCAGCTGTGCCAGAGTCCAACTATGGTCACCGTTTACCTACCATAAATGTGAAATGCTCTTTCCAAACAAAGCAACGTCACCTGCATGGGGCAGGAAGCAGGAGAGGATGACACACACAATCACACTCTTGCTACATACTCTGCAGGTACAGAAGGGGAGATGGGGCCCCCTTTTAAGTCCCTCCCCAAATACCTGCCGTGTTGTCAGCCCGATGTGAATAGGCTTCCTTACCTAGTTGCCTTCCAACTTTCTTATCTTACCTTGACCTTCTCTGGCTTTGCATTCTGTCTACAGAGCCCAAGTTACAGCATGCCAAAGAAATGTGATACGTAGGGAAGCCCTGCTGGTAGCTTTTGTTTTCTTGAAAGTGTTTTGTTTTACTTCCCTGTCGTTTTGGAGATAGGAAAGCCGTGGGCTTCGGACCTGGGTTGGGTTTCTCTGGTGGGGCCGGGAGCTGGAAATGAGTCACTTTTTTTGTTCACACGCATTGACAAATGTTCATTCTTGCTGCTGCTTTGATGGCTTTGGCTCACAGCAAGCTGAAAAAAAGAAGGAATAAAGTTCTTTTTTTCAGATGGCCGACAGCCTAAAATGGCTTCGCTTGCTGGAGCCATTCCAGCTTCGCTTAAGCACAGGTGTGGCTCAGGGTGGTGTCTGTGGTAGCGTTATTGCTGTGCTGAATCATAATTAGTTCTTTTAAAAAAAACCAGCAGCTGATACCTGATTTTGAAGGTAGAAGAGAAATATCCTACACCATTCAAATGGGCAGAGCATTTTCTGAAACACAGCTCAGCTCTCCCAAGTGACTTTCTTGCCCAAGGCTGTTTAGTGTCTCCCTTCCTCAGTCCACTGTCTGCAAAATGGGAATCTGAAGGAGTTGGCATATGAAAGAACGGGATAGGGCACACTTCTTAATACCGTATTTTTCGGTCTATAACACGCACCCGACCATAACATGCACATAGTTTTTAGAGGAGGAAAACAAGAAAAAAATATTCTAAACGAAACAGTGGATGTATGATTTTTGTGGTTCATGCTGTGGCCACAGACATGTGATCTGACAGTGAGTCTGGAGTAGCCCAATGCAAAAATCCTGAGGATCCATGTGGATCCATGCTTTGTAACCACGTTTTTGCACCACTGCGGCCCCAGGCAACAGTGGGTGCATGATTTTTTTGGTGCAAGATGTAGCCATGGACATGCTATGTGATCTGATGGTGAATTTGGGGTGACCCAGTGCAAAAATCCTGAGGATCCATGTGGATTCGTGCTTTGTAACCACGTTTTAAGTGGGGAGGGAAGGAAAAGCACTCAAGGGACAAGGAGCACGCATGGGGTGTGTGGAGAAGGATGCTGCTAATAATGAAGAAGAGGGGTATAAGGGGAGAAGGCTCCTCTCCTCTACCGCTTTGCTCCTTTAAAGCAAGCAAGCTCTGCTTTTCTCCCTCCTCCCCGCTCATCCCCGGCTTAGCGAGCTGAAAAACTTTGCTGCTATGTAGCGAGCTGAGTGGGGAGGAGAGAGGGACAGAGAGCCTGCTTGCTTTAAAGGAACCAACTGGACAGGAGCCGCTTATTCCTTAAAAGAAGGAGCTTTGCTCCTTTAAAGAAGCAGGCTCTCTGTCCCTCTCTCCTCCCCACTCAGCGGCTCTTCTCCCGCTTTGCTGTTTCAAAGTGAGCCAGGGAGGAGGGAAACAAGGGGAACCATGGATCTTCTGCTCAAGACAGCAGCAGATCCCCACCACCACCTGTAGGCATTCCCTCCATAACACGCACAGACATTTCCCCTTACTTTCTAGGAGGAAAAAAGTGAGTTATGGTGCAAAAAATACGGTACTTCACATGTTATCAGTATTTACATATTGGCTGGTCATCTTAATTTTCACATGTTAAAAGCAATGGTAACACATGCTAGCAAGGACTGTGTGTGTGTGTGTGTGTGTGTGTGTGTGTGTGTGTGTAGCAAGAGCTAGTTTCAAGTTCCAATTATTACAGACTTTCTCAACTTTACCATTTAGAAAATATGAAAGTTTTTTTGTCATGGTGTGCGTGGAGCTGAGGGCTGCAGAGCAACAAGACATGGTGCACAAATTTAATAGTATTTAGGTGATTGCTTCACTAATGTGGCTGGAAAGGGTGGCTGGGTGGAAATTAATCTTCCCTGTAAAAAGGTGGCATGGTAACTTGGCTCCTGCTGGTCTATAGCTACCTGTAGATGCCTTCTGAAGTTCTTTGGTGCCTGTTCTACTGTGGCACCTAAGGTAGTTTTATTCTGTTACCTTCTCCCCTGCTTTGCAGAGCAGAAAGGGACATTGGGGAAGGCTTTAGTCTTTTCCGATTTGCACGACTCCTGTGAAATAGTAACCCCAAGCACCTCTGTCCCAAGCAAGGATAACCACCTGGTAGCTGCCGAACCATGTCTTCCTTGCAAAGCAGCTCTATATACCTTTGCTTGTGCACCATTGTTTTAATTTTGCTTCACATCGGCACCTATATAAATAAACCACTAAAGAAGATGCGCATTCTTCCTTTCAGTCTGAAATGGAGTTAGTAAAATGGGGATTTGATGCGGCAGCTATTGAGCAACAAATTGCCGACCACAGGAGATTCCATAATTCCATTGGAGACTATCGCTGGCACTTGGACAAAGTCAAAACCGACCTGGTAAGATACTGATTCTGCTTCCTTGATTTTTTGCATCACTGCCTGTTTTAAATTGCTAACTGGCGGTTTCACATCTGGTGAAATATTTGAAAGAGCCCTGTTTTAGCACTGCTGTGTTTTGCTTATTCAGAAGTATTGGTGCATGAAAGAGCATTCTTTCCCCCCCCTCCCCCAAACACACTTTGTGTGGTTGTAAATGAGTCTAACTTGGGGTCATCAGCAATGTATCTAGGGGCCTCCATTACACATTTTGGTATTCTATCAAAATATTTAAGTATCTACACCCACTCCTTTCTACACTCTTTCTGCCTCTGTTATCTTATGGACACTTCCTGGGTTGGGGACCCTGTTGTTCTCCAGATGTTGTTGAAATTCAGCTCGCATTGGCTCCAACCAGCATGGCCAGTAGTGAGGGAAGATGGAAGCTGGAGTCCTTCAACACCTGGAGTGTCGCAGGTTCCCCATCCCTGATCTAAAGCATCCTGTGTTTCCCATTCAGGTTGGCGTCAAGCCCCAACACGGTCTCCTTTGCCACTTCTGCTTGTCCTTTGGTTGCCAGCATTCCCTTGCCCCTTCTTGCTGAGGCATGTGGCCTTTGATTGTGGCTATTTGTGATATAAAGAGGCTCCCTAGGAAACTGACTGTACAAATTATTCCATCTTAAATTTTGTTTCTGCAGCGGCCCCCTTGGTAAATGGGTCAAATTTGTAAGCTGTAGAAGATCTTTATTCTTTTTATTCTTTTGTCCGCAGCGTGAGAAGGCTGCTGTTCATCAGCTGGAGGAGGAATATGAATATCTTCTGGTAAGCTAAAGAACAACTGAATTTCCGAAGGCCTTGTTATGTGTGCTTTGCCTTCTTAGCAGTGAAGCATCCTATGAGTCAGGGAAGACAACTATGGATCCCACAAGGATGAAAAGTGCAGGTTCAGCCCAGTCATGGTGGAACTTGACCATTCTTAGTTTTTATTTCAACAATTAATCCTTAATTATAAAGTTGCATCTAGAAACTTGTGGGCAATACTTGCTGAAGTATCTCTGCATGGCAACTTACCCTTGTCCATTACAGTCGTACCTTGGAAGTTGAACGGAATCTGTTCTGGAAGTCCATTCAACTTCCAAAATGTTCGGAAACCAAAGTGCGGCTTCTAATTGGCTGCAGGAAGCTCCTGCAGGAAGCTCCTGCAGCCAATCAGAAGCTGCCTCAGACGTTCGACTCCCAAAAGAATGTTGGAAAACCAGAACACTCAATTCCGGGTTTCAACCGTTCAGGAGCCGATTTGTAAGGGAGCCAAGTCATTTGAGATCCAAGGTACAACTGCATTTGCATTTTAAAAAAATGTTGTCATGGAGCAGAATACAGATTTCCCCTCTTTCTTTTTTTTAAAGTGCAAAGTATCCCCAGCCCAAATGGGGGCAAAAGAGTGTTGGGTGTGCTTTCCAGAGCTCTGTCTTGATCCCTCTGTTTTGTTCCACCGTTTTGTTTGCACAATAAGCTTTGATCCTTAAGTCTGAAGCTCATTACTTTGATGTTTTGTAGAGATTCTCCTTTGAAAGAATGGATCAGTTGCGCCAGCTGCAAAACATCATCCAGGCCACTAGCAGAGAAATCATGTGGATCAATGACTGTGAGGAGGAGGAGCTTCTCTACGACTGGAGTGACAGGAACACCGATATTGCCCGGAAGCAGGAGGCCTTCTCTGTAAGTTACACTGAGACATCTTTGTTCCGACCGGCTTTCCCAGCTGGATCATTACCATCAATGTAATAAATAAAATAAAATTTATCATGAGTGCCTACCTTGTTACAGTTTCAGTCTTTTTTAAAAATGTATTTTCTGGCCTGGGGTTTGAACTGTTTTTAATTATCTTTGGTGTAATTCTCCTTGAGACAGTTGTTCAGAAGGCAATTAATGAATCAGTGATGATGATAATACTTTGTGTGGTAGGAAAAAGGTACGAAGGATCTTTTGGGTGCTTGATTCAGTAAGGCTGTTCTTGCTAGTATATAGCACAAATTAAGCCTGGAAGGTTTGCAGGCCTATAAACATGCCACAATATAAATACGCTTGATTGTATTAGTCCCATTGAAATTAATGGGCTTGACTAGTTTAGCTTCACTCAGTTACAAAGCCACTAATCTTACTATATGCTGGTGATACGACCTTATATGCATTGAACTTTTAGTGCCATTATTATTTTAAGGTTGGCCTTAATGCTTGTTCCTTTTCTGTTTACAGAAACGCATGAGCCAACTGGAAGTTAAGGAAAAAGAACTCAACAAGCTGAAGCAAGAATGTGACCAACTGGTGGTCAATCAGCATCCTGCCTCAGACAAAATCGAGGTATATCTTAAACTTCCTACGATCTTGCTCTGCTCTTTTTTTCCTGGAGGGTGAGATACAAAGGTTCCACAGAAGTGAAAGGTACTGCAAATCAGATCTTGAACCTTGAACCTTGACCAATTTTTGGTTGATCAACAAGAGTCAGTGTTAGAGACAATGCAGGACGACCTGCATGCTGATCAAAGACTGGTTGCTCTGGTTGTGTGAGTGACCATTTTATAACCCTGGTTTACAACTGCGCTTAGTGATGGGCCACTTTTGGTGTTTGAAGTGGAGGGCCAAGTTTTCCTGCAGGTTTTCCTTTAAGCAAGTCCAGTTCCTTTAAGCCAAGTCCTGTTTATTGTCTCTTCCTCCCTCCAAAGCTGTTTTAGGAAGTTTTGAGAGGTGTCGTTGCTAGCTAGGTAAAAGAAATGAATGAATGGAGGATGAACTGTGATTTATTTACTCTTTAAATGTATAGGCCTACATGGATACACTGCAAACTCAGTGGAGCTGGATTCTCCAGATCACCAAGTGCATTGATGTTCATCTCAAGGAGAATGCAGCATACTTTCAGGTGTGTGCAGTCATAACGGATATTAGAAGTTGAATCCCAAGCAACGGCATTTAAACTCTGTTTGGTTGTATATATTTTTTTTGGGGGGGGGGAGAGGATTCACAAACATGCAATATCTTGCACTCCAACTATTAGTAAGTAAGGAACGTCACATTGTGAGTTTAGCTTGTAGAAAGGAAGGCTTGCTAAATAAATCATCTGAAATTGGATTGAAGGTAATAGGCTGTCTTTAGTTTAGTTTCCTTCATTTATTCTTCATATATCCATGCTCTTGAAAGGGGATTGTATTCATATGTTCAAGTGTTGCATTTCCTATTCATGTCTGTTAGTCCACTGTAGATTTTACGAGTTCAGCATTACTAATTGCTTAAAAGTCTGTTGGATCCTACAATACTATACTGAAATCTCATTCAGGGCCCACTGTTATCATTCTGTACAAAATGTACACTTCACACCTTTAATTTATTTTACAACATTTGTGTTCTGGCTTTTTCTCCAAGGAGTTTAAGGCAAAATAGAGGGTTCTCCCCACTTCATTTTATCCCCACAACAACCCTGTGAGTTAAGTTAGACTAAGAGAAAGTGACTGGCCCAAAGTCACCCAGTGACCTTCATGACTGAGTAGGGATTTGAGTCCTGGTCTCTCAAGTGCTAGTACGACACTCTAACCACTATGCCCCACTAGTGTGATTAGATAAAGACAATCATATGTCTATTTGCTTTTTATGCATAGTTTTTTGAGGAAGCCCAGTCAACTGAGAGCTATTTGAAGAATCTACAGGATTCCATCAGAAAGAAGTTCATTTGTGATAAGAATATGTCCCTGCAAGTTCTGTTGGAGCAGATCAAAGAGTTGGAGGTATGGATGCCACTTCGTTTTGAGATCCCACAACTTCTTTCAACTTCAGCAGGACTAAGCCCATAAGGGCAGATGTCCTTATATATGAAAGATACTGTGTTTGAAAGACAGATGACATGAAAGGTCATTGTGGCTGTTTGAAGCCATTGGGTGAGGAAAATGAGGTGTTAAGGCGAAGGTCTGGGGAAAATTGCAATTTCCAGGCTTTCTTGTCACGTTGATGCAATTAAAAATGAGCAGCCGCTTCTTTGGTCTATTTCACTGAGTATATTATACTTCATATATTTGGGCCTGCTGCAGCATTTTATGTACTCAAGCAGAACTTCAGATGGATTTTTTAGTTTTCTTTTCCTCTGTTATTGATTGCAGAATTTTAGAGTTTATAACTCTTAAGATTTGATAGAACTCTAAAATATAAGCTCTGATTTTCTCAGAATGTTACCAGTGAAGTCTACCAAGATACTTGTCTTAAATTTGAAGATAATCTGGATTTGACCGATAGCAAATGCAGGTCTGTGTTAGTGAATGTGGTTCCTTGTTTATAAGTATTTTTTGCCATGACAAACTTTCTCTGTCTTTCTAGAGTGAGCGAGAGAAAATTTTGGAATACAAGAGACAAGTGCAAAATTTGGTGAATAAGTCTAAGAAGATTGTCCAGCTAAAGCCACGGAACCCTGATTACAAGAGCAATAAGCCAATCATTCTCAAGGCTCTGTGTGACTACAAACAAGATCTGGTAAGAATCATGCTATTGATTAATTACTCAATCGTTGATCGTATATATTTTAGATTTATTGGCAATCCCATCCCAAGCACCTGAGGCAGGCTACTGTGTAGCTTCAGCTAAAATCTGCTTAAAATGGACCAAATGTATTGGATGAGAAATAATCTGTTCTAGTTTCTTTTTTACTGCAGCTGCTAAGCAGGTGCTCAGGTAGAAATGTCTTCAAATGTTTCCAAAGATGCATTTGAACTCCATTCAGATCTATTGCTTGGTATAGCCCTCGTAGGACTATGCCATTCCTGAAGGTTGGGGAAACTGCATGCTTGAATGAAGTATGATGTATTCTAAGCGCTACAGAGAACACCCTGTGATTGACCCATCAAATGATAGATTACGGTGTTCTGCATCACACCGCTGAGCACAGAGGGCAACCCCAGCATATTGCAGTAGTTTAGCCTAACAATTTTTACATGAGGTTATTTTATGCATGTTAATAGGAATGCATGCCAACCTCAGTCCAGTACATCTAGGTATCCAAGCCTTTTTTATATGTGTATTCAGACCTATGACTAAAAGTTGTCTAGTCCTAGGGAGGATTCCAACTAATTACAGCAACTGAAAACTACATCATAAGTATTTACATTGTCCCAGTGTGTTAATGCCTACAATTGTTTTTTCCTTCCTTTTCCATAGAAAACCATGCGCAAAGGAGACGAGTGCATTTTGAAAGACAACAGCGAACGTAGCAAGTGGCATGTGACTGGGCCAGGAGGAGTCGATATGCTGGTGCCATCTGTCAGTCTCATTATCCCTCCCCCTAATCCATTAGCTGTGGATCTGGCGACTAAGTGAGTTATTCATAAAACCTGAAGCCATATTGCTTGGAAAAAAAAGTGTGAGTTCTTCCCTGGCTCTGTATGTTGTGTATCTTTGATTGGGTCAGAAAAGAGCCCAGTTGCGTATAACAGTGTGACTGGGTGGACTCTGTGCACCCATCTATATATTATTTAAGGAACTCGAGGCCAGCGAGCAAAAATTTAATTTTGTGTTTTGAGTGGGAAGTACTGGCTGTGAGCAAGTCTGTAGGGAAAGGGGAACCTCTAGGTGTTGTGGGACTCCAACTCCCATCATGCAGGAGCATTTGCCATGTTGGGTGATGGGAATGAGTGTTCAAGAACATCTGGAGGACCAGACGTTCTCCATCCCTGCTATAGAAGGTCAGTCTCCATTGTGTTGCAACAAGAAACCTTTCTAGAGGGTGGGCTTTCCCCACCCCTCAAGAGCCCATTTTGCAGCCTTTCTCCCAGATTCTAAGCAAAGCTAATTCTGACTGGAAACAAAATTTTTGGTTTCATTTAATTCAGATTCATTTTAATTTGTGGTTATTCAGTACAGGCTAAATATGAATCGGGTTCTTTCATATTTATTTATGTATTCTTTTGGGTTAAATGAGGTCACATCATTAGTTGAATGTATCCAATATGGTATCCAACACACTTTAGCCCTGCAGCACCTAGTTTAGGAATCACTGCACAAGGAGCAGACTTCTAGCTCTCAATGTGCTGCATCGAAAAAAGTCCACATTTATATTGAAAACATTTGCATTTTCGTATTTGGGGTTTTGAGCCCTTATCTGCTCAGGACGCTCGTCTTCTGGTTGACTAGGAGACACTGATGTTGCTTTTCGAACCTGAGTTAACACATTCATTGCCGTTTAGGATTGAACAATACTATGAGGCCATTATGGCTCTCTGGAATCAACTCTACATCAACATGAAAAGCCTGGTGTCTTGGCATTACTGCATGATTGACATTGAAAAGATAAAGGCTCTGACTATTGCTAAGGTGGGTGTTGAAATGACTTCTATAAAGTTTGACCAGGAGCTGTCATAGTCTTCGCAAATGTGCACTTTTCCTAACTTTTGAGCACATATATAAGAAGACTTGGGTATATGCATTCTAGACTTTACAGGGGCTGTCTGCCTTTTCTCAAGCCTTGTTTGTACTGATAACGTGACTGGCAATTCTGCAGTCAACTCTTGCTTTTGCTGACCAAGACTCTCCCTGTTTTCTTTTATTGGCTCATTCCATTGCATGCAACCTTAGGCTCTTCATTCTAACGTAAACCTCTACGGTTAGCTCATTTTGTCATTGTTAATCCTACAAATATAAATAACTCGCCAGAATGCCCCTCTTCTGTAGTCATCATTCCGGAGGATTGCATCAGCTTTCTTTGGCTGTTTTTCCTTAAATTGTTTCTGCCTGTTCATTTCAGCTGAAGACCATGCGCAGAGAAGATTACCAGAGAGTAATAGCTGACCTGGAGATTCATTATCAAGAATTCATCAGGAACAGCCAGGGCTCGGAGATGTTTGCAGATGAGGATAAGAGGAAAATCCAGACTCAGTTCTCCGATGCTCAGAAGCACTACCAAACATTGGTCATCCAGCTGCCAGGCCAACACCAGCAGCGTCCGCAGCAACCAAATCAAGGTCAGCTTTCCACAAGAGTGGTAGAAACTGCACCGTCTGTTGCAGGGTGTAGTCGTGCTTCCCCTTGGAAGCCTGCACAACTTGCGACCCACTGAGCCAAATGCAGCCCACCAAGCATGCATGCAATTCACCAAGGTTGCAGTCAATTGTGTGTCCCTCTTCCATGTCTGGGACTGCAGAAATACAGGAATGTCAGATACATGCTGGGCCAACAGGTACTTGGTGAACTGCATTCAGCCTGACACATAGTAACTTGACAGACAATTAGTCCATGGTGCCTGAGTTTGCTTGTTGTCCTCTTCCCTCCTCACCGCTTCTTCCTTTTGTGTCATGCCTTTTAGACTGAGGGCCGGGTTGCCTTGTTCATTACTGAGTTTATGTAAGCTGCTCTGGGAGGTTCAAATCTAGCTCAGTATGGTCTGTGCTGACTGGCAGGAACCTTAAGGTTTCTGAGACTGTTCTCCTCCAGCCTTACCTGGAGATGCCAGCGACTGAACCTGGGTTCTTTTGTACACAAAGCATGTGATTCACCACTGAACCATAGCCCTTCCCCATAGCTTCCTCATAGGTAGGCCTCCGCTTCACTAAAAGGCTCAATGGGTACACTTAACCAAATAATAGCACACTTGAAGTCTGTGTGTAGGTAATTGGGTGCTGACCGCTATAGTCAAGCACATTTTTAATCACCTAGAACAACCTGTGGGTCCCCAGATGTTGTTGAACTACAACTCCCATCACCTCTAGCTAGCAAGGCCAAAGCTCAGGGATGATGGGAGTTGTAGTCCAACAACATCTGGGGACCCACAGGTTGAGAACTGCTGATCTGGAACATGGGTAGGCAAACTAAGGCCTGGGGGCCAGATCCGGCCCAGTCGCCTTCTAAATCTGGCCCACGGATGGTCCGGGAATCAGCGTGTTTTTACATGAGTAGAATGTGTCCTTATATTTAAAATGCATCTCTGGGTTATTTGTGGGCCATAGGAATTTGTTCATTACCCCAAAAAAATATAGTCCACCCCCCCAAGGTCTGAGGGACAGTGGACCGGCCCCCTGCTGAAAAAGTTTGCTGACCCTGATCTAGAACCTCACCTGGCACACGCCCAATCACTTGCATGTTCTTTTGCCAGGTGATGGGGCAGGAGAAATGAAGGCAGACTTATTTAGCAGTGCATACAAGTTGTTCCCTATCCACAGCACATTGTTTGCCATGACGTCACACCACCTCGCTTCACAGGGGTTAATTTTCCAAAAACCAAAAACTGACCCACTGGTTGTTTTCCCTTTTTTTCTTTTTTCTTTTTTTTTAACCAGTCGTGACAACTGAAGTCACTCACCTGGGCTCATCCCAGCAAGTCCAGAATCAGAAGCAGGAGCTAGAGAAGCATGAAGCCTGGATGCTTATGGAACTCCAGAAGCTTCGTCGCCAGATTGAGAACTGTGAGCTCCGCATGGCGCAGAGAACCATCCTTCAGCCAGACCAAGGGGCCTCCCAGAATTTGTCCGTCAGAATCAATGAATTAGAGGTACGTGTTGATTTGCACTGGACAGGCATAGCATGATTGTGTCTGGTTCAGACTGAATGAAGCCCAACTATTCTGAATCCTCTTGATTCCGTCTTTCTCTACTCTTCATATTCTTAAGAAGCACCAGCAGTGCCAAGATGAATTGATACCACTAGTATAATAACACTGGTGGCATTTGTGGCCAATCTGTTGTGCAGTGAGGTCATGAGAGGACGTCTATCTACGCTAGAGCAAGTATTATAGCAGCTACTAGGAGAGAGACAATAGCTCAGTGGTAGAGAGCCAAGGATCAGCTAATACATGACATGAGAGATCTGCCTGAGACCTGGAGGGCAGTTGCCCGTCACTAGAAAATACTGAGATAGATGGACACAACATTATCACAATAAAACACCCATCAACTCCACTTGTTTATAAGCAGCGCAGCACATTTAATATCAGTCAGGGCCACCACTGAGCAGACCCTGCCCCTGTCAGTCCCAACAACTCTTTCTGGCAGACTTTAAAAAAAATATGCATTTTATCTCATACAATCAGAATTTCTTAGCTTGCAAAGATGGCCATCTTTCACAGCTGGTGGATCTGGTCCCTGCACAGTATGTGTGTGCAGAGAGCTTGGAAGGATTGTAGAAAGTTTTGGGGGATTTGTACTAGAAGTTGCTTATTATGGGATTGCATACCAAAGAGAAAAGTGTCTGAACATCTCTTTCAGTCCTTTTATTTTCTTAACATTAGCTGAAATACATGGTCTGTGGGCAAGATAGATGATATGTCAATTGCAGGTTGTTAATGTGATCTTAAGAAGGGTGTTAGAGTAAATAACATCTCTCTCTCTCTCTCTCTCTCTCTCTCTCTCTCTCTCTCTCAGGGTATACAAAACGATTCTCAGGCAATAGCGGTCGCTCTCAATGGGCAGAAAGATTATCTCCCCAGGTTTAGAGGCTCTGAAAAGTATCTCTATTTGCAGTCTGAAATAAGTACCTTGTTTCAGAAACTGGAAAATATTAATGGGGTCTCTGCTGGTTATTTGGACAGGTAAGGAAACAGACAAGCAGTCCTATGGTTATCCATATTATAGGTGTGCTTTGTTGTTATTCTTTAGTGATTAGTGCTTTTATTTAATCAACTGCATGTTTTAAGGATTTAAATCCAACATACACCCGTAACTATTAATATTTTAAACTAAGGTAACTCTAACCAAGGAGGTCCAACTTCTTCAGCAAAATAAGCTGTACAAAGCAGCGTCATTTATGCAGATGCCTAGTTTTCTATACTGTTGTTGACATCCATCCATCTCGAGAGATGATGGGAAAGTGTGCCATTGGGGTGAAGTCAAACCGTAACAACGCCTGCTGTAGTTGTGGAGACTGATAGGAGAGGGACATGTTTTATTGCAGTTGGGGCAGATGAAGGCGTCCAGTTTCGTTTTCTATACATATTCCTCAGTTTGCATGTGGAACAGTTTGCGTGCGGGCTCAAATTTCCTTAGAATCGACTGGCGACCAAAACCAACTTCATAGAGCAATGCTATGCCTATTACTCAGAATTAAGTTCTGCTGTGTCCAGTGGCACTTACTCCCAAGCAATGAGGGGTGGAGAGAAAAGAGACTGAAAGCAAACGATCTTTTCCCAACCCTGCATATGACTTTCTGACGGCATTGTTTTGCTACAGCTTGAATGCGCTGAGGTCCCTGCTCCAGGCAATTCTCCAAACAGAAGATGTGATCCGAGTGTTCGAAGTCAGACTTACAGAAGAGGATACTCTTTCTTTGGACCCAGATAAAGTGGAAGCTTATCGAGCCTGCCTGAAGGTAAGAGAGAGGGTTTTATGTATATATCGGAGATTGAGCCATTAATTGGTTACTTAAAGACTTTGTGCTGTTTTTAAACATAGGGGGGGAAAGCTTAATGTTATAATATATTTGTATATTACGATTCATAATTTGGTCTTGCTTCCATAAATTAACACATTCTATTTCCTATGAAAAAATAATCCAGTTTATGATTGTTTGCGTTCTCTAAATATTGCCAGATATGTTAAGTTTGATCATATGCAACCTATTCTGCCCTTTCTTGCAGCTGTCTGGATTATGCTGTGGTTGTGTTTACTTTCTGGCGAGATCTGGGATACCGAAGATAGATTATTCTGTTGCTTATTTTTTTCCAGAAAATGAAAGGAGACCTTAGTATGAAGAAGTCGCTGCTTAGTACCTTGGAGGCAGAGCTACAGAGGGCTCACCAGGTCCACTCGCAGTCTTGCCAGTCGTATCCTCTCCACGATTTAGATCTTGGAAAGTTCACTGAAAAAGTCGGGCACCTCACAGACCGTTGGCAAAGGGTGGATAAGCAGATTGATGACAGGTTTGTTTGTGATTTCTAAAGAGTAAACTTCAAATCAGGTGTTCAGTAAGCTGTAGACCTCGTGCACACATTGATGCATCTGGCAAAAAACCACACATTTGAAACTTGACTTTCTAGTTCCTGTAATAGTTAAAGGCACCAGGGAGGTCAGCTGAGTCTTGAGAGTGGTTTGCCTTTTTGCTGCTCTAGACTCATAACTCTGTAGCTTTGGGGCTGTGCCAGCTCTTTAGCCATAGTTAAGGAAGTCCAGGATAACATTAGGTATGGTTTGTCAACCAGCTACAGACCTTGGTTGACAAGCAACTTTTAAGAAGAAGAAGAGTTTGGATTTGATATCCCGCCTTTCACTCCCTTTAAGGAGTCTCAAAGCGACTAACATTCTCCTTTCCCTTCCTCCCCCACAACAAACACTCTCTGAGGTGAGTGGGGCTGAGAGACTTAAAAGAAGTGTGACTGGCCCAAGGTCACCCAGCAGCTGCATGTGGAGGAGCGGAGACGCGAACCCGGTTCCCCAGATTAGAAGACTACCGCTCTTAACCACTACACCACACCATACTTAATAAGCCAAAGTTAAGCTGCTGGGCTGGGTTCATACATAACATCAAGTCATTTCTAGACTGAACTGATAAGTGTTTGACTTGAGATCGTAGTAGCTGAAAACGTCCTTCCCTAGGAAACTACAGCTACTTCTATGAAGATTCCAGTTTATATGTTATGTTTAGAATGGAATGTCACACAGAATGTTGGAGGAGGTAACACTTCCCTGACCTTCCAGCAACTGAGTTGCCACTGTTTACGGGAAAGGAGAGGGGTTGAGGTAGAATGCAGGTCAGTGTGGAGCAAACACACTGACAGGAGCGCTGTATTGGCTCTGCCAGTGTGTTTGCACAATTCTGACCTCCCTGCAACTTCACCCTTCACATTCTCCCTCCCGGTAAGCAGCAGCAATTCAGCTGGTGGGAGGTCAGCTGAGTGCCATTGCTTCACTGCGCTATCCACTACTGACTGGTGGCTTTTAAAGCAGAAGGCTTTTATGTTGGCATATGTCAATCTATATTGCAACTGTTGCATGGTATGCAGATATTGCAGATATTGCATGATGCGTGCATTAACTTGGAGCTTTTTGAAGTAGCAAAGTGGATCTCTTTCTGTTCTTAGGAGGCCATATGCTTTGTGTAGTGGTCCTAGGATTAATTCTGCTTGCAAAGACCTCTATCTCACATCTGGAAGACTGCTTTCAATCATAGTGGGCAGCACTGGGCTGCATAGACTAGTGATGTGAATTAGTTTAAGGCAGCTTCATGTGTTGCTACTTTGTCTTACAGGACCTGGGATTTAGAAAAACAGGTGAAGCAGCTGAAAACCTATCGGGATCTTTACCAGGCTCTGAATAAATGGATTTGTGATGCCAGGCGCCGGCAGGAAACTATTGAAGCCATGAAGTTGGGAGATGTTAGCACTGTCATGAGATATCTGCAGGAGCAAAAGGTATTGTCTTGCACTCAGTGTTGCAAAGTGTTTCCCCTAAGTAATTTGGCTGATGTGAAACCAACTTAGATTCGGCGAAGTATTAGGAGTTTGTGTCAGAATCCCTGCTAATGTAATAATGATTAAGGGTGCAAGTTATGAGCTTGATGTCCTGATTTCAAATCCCACCTCAGCTAAGCTTGCTTTATACATCTTTGTCACCACAATTGTCTCTTGGGATCACCATGAGAGATATAGTATCATCAGTGGAGTGATTGACAAGTGTTGCCATTCTGCTGAACCAAAAGACTTGACAGCTAGGAATCTGATAAAATTAATATTGTGGGGTTGTTGTTTTTTGCAGAACTTACATGCTGAAATAACAAGCAAGCGAGACAGAGTGGAAGATGTGATGAAGAACGCAGAGGTGTGCTCAGCTGCAATCAAGGTACTGTTATTTTTGAACATTCCCCTAAGAATACATCTTTTCCTACAAGAGCTTAATCCTGCAAGGCTCCCTTCTCTCTTCTTAACCCTAGACTAAATCCTTCTCACTCTTCACACACTCACATTTCTCAGCACAATAGGCTCAGTTCCTGGGCAAACCAAAGTTTACAAGATACAGACCCACTGACAGCCTCTGTATTTCTGCAAGTGTATCCATGATAGTCGGCTGGTCCAAAACTTCCAGGGCAAATTTGGAAAAGCACAAATGCTGACAACAAGCTGAGGTGGCTACGCCAAGGGAAAGAAAATACACGCAGGATTATCTTGTGATTTTATTTTTATTTTTGTGTTTCTAGTAGTTCTGTTCAGATTGCAGTACTGAGCATACTTCTAGAAAGCATTTGAAAAAGAAAAAATCAGTGGGTCTTATTCCCAAATCATTCTGTCATACCCCTGTCTGGGTTAATCATGGGGCTGATTTTTGGAAGTTTAAGACATGTCATTTAAACCTCATTGATCTGCTTGTACAATCAATCCTTTTTTGTTTCCTTTCATTCAAAGAGTTTTTAATGCAAGTTGTGGAAAAAAGTTTCTCTACCTTACTTCCAGCATGTCTGGTTTTAAATGCATTTCTTATTCTTCTTTTTAGCAACTACTCTCTCTTCTGACGCTCTACCATACTGATTCTTAAAATCAGGATTTGGGGTTTTATTTATTATCTGTCTGTCTAAAACACACTCTTCATTACAAATGCAGTTCCAGAGCAGCTTGCAATTTTAATACATCACACAGAGACTAAAAACAAGGGAGGTATTTACGACCAGCCAGCTAAAATAAACATCAACACTGGCACCAAAATTCCACCAGAAACCTGGGCAGATAACCAGGTCTTCAGCTGGTGTCAAAAGGTTGAAAGAGTAGGTTATTGCCTTCCTGCAGTTCTGAAAAGCCAGGTCAGGAGGCATACGATGGCTGTCTTTACAAAATGAATTGTGTTTTCTTCTCTTCTGCAGGATTATGAACTGCAGGCTGCATCTTATTGCTCAGGACTGGAGACTTTGCTGAACATCCCCATTAAGCGCAGCATGGTCCAGTCTCCTTCAGGGCTAATTCTGAAAGAGGTAAATGATAATAAAGTGCACTTTCATGATAATTGGTAATGTTCTTGCTTGGTGAAACCAAGTCAGGAGGTGTGCACACAGTTCTGAAGGAAATCTATGGTGTTGTAGCACTGGGCAGGAACCTGTTTGCTAAACCACACGAGAGACTGGTGTTCCAGAAAAGCACGGGGTGGTGTTTTGGAATGCAGATTGGGGAATTGCATACTTGGTATATATATGACATGTCAGAACCCCTCTGCGATCAAAAGCTGGTGTGTTCTAGCCTAATTTCCCTCCTTGCTGGCTGTTTTTCAAACACAGAGAAGAAGTTAAGCATGACACACTCCCCCCAGGCTTATACAGTGGTACCTCAGGTTACATACGCTTCAGGTTACAGACTCCGCTAACCCAGAAATAGTACCTCGGGTTAAGAACTTTGCTTCAGAATGAGAATAGAAATCGTGCTCCCGCGGCGCTGCAGTGGTGCTTCAGGTTAAGAACAGTTTCAGGTTAAGAATAGACCTCCGGAATGAATTAAGTACTTAACCCGAGGTACTACTGTAGTCTAAAGTGGTAAAATCTAGAAAGGGCTGCACCACGGGACGTTCCACTATTTGTAGATCAGCTCTAAATCCATTTCAACTCATTTATACTTATGTCAGGGACATGGGTGGCACTGTAGTGTAAACCACTGAGCCTAGGGCTTGCTGATCGGAAGGTCGGCGGTTCGAATCCCTGTGACAGGGTGAGCTCCCGTTGCTCGGTACCAGCTCCTGCCAACCTAGCAGTTCGAAAGCACGTCAAAGTGCAAGTAGATAAATAGGTACCGCTCCGGCGGGAAGGTAAATGGCGTTTCTGTGCACTGCTCTGGTTTCACCAGAAGCGGCTTAGTCATGCTGGCCACATGACCAGGAAAAACTGCCTGCGGACAAACGTTGGCTCCCTCGGCCAGTAAAGCGAGATGAGCGCTGCAAGCCCAGAGCTGTTTGCAACCTGGACTTAACTGTCAGGGTCATTTGCCTTTACCTTTATACTTAAGTCAGAGTCAATCTAGGATCAGGCTGGCATTTTATTTTAAAATAATAACAACACAAAACCCCAAGCCTGTTGATGCAGACAAAACATAGCGTTTGGGATAGGTTGACAATAGATTGCTTTTCCCTCCCTCTCCATGCAGGCTGCTGAGATCCAGTCTCGTTACATTGAACTTCTTACAAAATCAGGAGACTATTACAAGTTTTTGAGTGAAATGTTAAAGAGCTTGGAAGATTTAAAGGTAATATCCCTCTTCATTTATGTATTGTGAATTGTCAGGTTCCTGGGTGCTTTGTAAATATTTTCGATGCTGTTAATAAGTCCTTCATGCAATAATAAATAACATTCTAAGGCTACACTTCTACAATGGAAACCAAATTTTCTTGCTATACACGGTTCAGCTTTTTTAGTCTTAAATTTGAGGCGTGCATTCAGCAGACTCCTACAATACAGCTTTTTGTGGACTAGACCAGTTTAGACTGCAGATAGAGCTGATTCCTTGTTTGAATACTGCTTCCCGTAAAACAAATGCCGCTCCCTGCACATTTAAAAATGGGCATATTACGAAGATTTTAGAGTAGCTTTCCTGGATATGTTAGTTGTTTAGGTGCATGAGGCTTTTTTCCCCCATGAGGCATCCTTCAAGCAAGTGATGGGCTCATCTGCAGTTTGAAGTTGTAATAGCTTAGAATGAGCTGCTATGAGATGATTTGTTGCCTGTGTAGATTGATTCCTAGTTATTCCTGTTATAGTAGATGCAGGGTGGATAAAAAAAAGTGATTTTTTTTTTAAATGAAAAAAATCGGATTTTTAAAAATTTTAATCAGATTTTTTTATTTAAATTGGATTTTTAAAATAAAATGCTTTTGAGGAAAAAATCTTTCTAAATACAATTTTCTATTTAAGTTACATTATACGCCAAAGGCTAGTCATCAGGAAATAAGGATTTGTTTTAAGTTTTCCATGAAACCTTCATCTGGTTGTAAATATTAAGATTATACCAGCAAGAATGAGTCTTTCTGTAAAAAAAGGATTTAAATCAAGTCTTACTGACTAGTGATTTAAATCAATTTGATTTAAATCAAATCCACCCTGAGTAGATGAGATTTTTCATTTTAGCTTCAGTTGTCACTCCCTCAAGTTCAGGACCCCTGAATTTGGTTTTGCCACCAGCTTTACATAGGGCATAACCTGAATTTAAGCATGGCTTTGGATGCCCAGTCTTGGCCACTGAACACATGAAGCAATAAAAACAGGAAACTGAGAATGTACAGAATAATGTTCAGTTGCCGTTAAGGAACCAGTTTTCCTTCACATATTGAGATCAGCGTGCAGGGCATCCAAGAGGGAGAATAGTATTTAGTGGCCGCTGTGAGCATTAGCGCCTTCCCCTCTTTTTCCTTTTTGTATAAAGTAGCCTGTTTGTGGACACCTGGTTTCTGTACAGTTGTTTTCTATTTGGTCCAATATTGGTTCAGACATGATATGTGATCAACGAGTTTCTTTATTTCAAGAAACATTTTATATCATGCCTTTAAAAATGTTTTCCTAGGCTAACAGATGTGTAAAAACCAGAAAAATGAACCCCAGAGCTCTGGTTTAAGTCTGCTTTCAGAGCTTGACATAGAGTAGCATATATTCCTCCAGATCCAATGTTTTCTGGTGCACTAGGACTTTTGCACTGAAAACCATGAAATATTAAAAAGGTCTCGTTGAGAATGTTAAGAGTCTTGTCCATTATGGTTAACAAGAGAATGTGAAGTTTTTTTAAAAAAATGAAATAAAACAACCAAACAGCAAAAAAGGCATTTTATTAAAATTAGCTGTGGAGTGGTGATTTTTTTTGGGGGTGTGTGTGAATGAGTAGCATGCTGTTGGTCAAAAATGGTTGTGATAGGTAATTTTTATCTTTCATGCTTTCTGAATCTGCAGATGAAGAGCACCAAAATAGAACTATTGGAAGAAGAGCTGAGACTAGCCAGAGATGCCAATTCCGATAACAGCAATAAGCACAAATTCCTGGAGCAAAACCTACAGAAGTACCAGTTGGAAATTTCCCAGCTGAAGGCCAAACTGATGGGTTTGGAAGAGATGAAGAGGCAAGCAGAGTTGGATGGTGGCTCTGCCAAACAAAACTTGGACAAGTGCTATGCTCAAATAAAAGATCTGAATGACAGAATAACAAGGCTGACTTATGAGATTGAAGATGAGAAGAGGAAAAGGAAGCTATTGGAGGACAGATATGACCAGCAGAAGACTGACTTTGACCAACTGCAGAAGACAAGGCAGAATGAGAAAGAAAGCCTTGGTTGGCAAAAGATAGAATCTGAGAAAGTCATCAAGGAGAAGGAGTACGAGATAGAAAGGTTAAGGGTGCTTCTCCAGGACGAGGGGAATCGGAAGAGAGAATATGAGAATGAGCTGGCTAAGGTAAGAAACCAGTTTAATGAGGAGATGAGTAATATAAAGAACAAGTATGAAACCGAGATTAACATTAAGAAGACCACCATCCACCAGATAGCATCCCAGAAAGAAGATGATGCCAAAAACCTCCGAGCCCAGATCGATAAGCTGCAGAGAGAGAACAGAGATCTGAAGGATGAGATCATCAGGCTCAATGACAGCATTTTGGATGCTACAGAGCAGCGGAGGAGAGCAGAAGAAAATATTCTTCAGCAGAAGGCTTGCGGCTCGGAGGTGGCTCAGCAGAAGCAGCAGATCGAGCTGGAGCTGAAACAGATCATTCATCTGCGCAACGAAGACAACGCGAGGTACAAGCAAGCGCTTGAAGATGCTGCTTTGACCATCCAGGACAAAACCAAGGAGCTTGAAAGAGTAAAGATTCAGCTGCAGGAAGAGGCTAAAAGCCGGTGGGAACTTGAGAATGAATTGGCTAAGGTAAGGAACAGTTATGACGAGGAAATTATTAGTTTAAAGAACAAGTATGAGACTGAGATAAATATCACAAAGACCACAATAAATCAGGTGACACTGCAGAAGGAAGAGGAATCCAGTAATTACCGAGCACAGCTCGACAATGTCGTGAGAGAAAATAGGAGCTTATGTGAGGAAATTAGGAGACTGAAGAACACTATAAGTCAGACATCGGAGAACCTTAGACAAGTGGAAGAAAATGCTCACCAGCAAAAAGCCATTGGCTCTGAGATCTCGCAAAAGAAGCAGCAGCTTGAGATTGAGTTAAAACAGACTGTCCAGAAATACTCTGAGGAGACCATGCGTTACAAGCAGTCTCTTGACGATGCTGGGAGGACAATTAAGGACAAAAACAAAGAGATTGAAAAGCTGAGAAAGTTGCTAGAAGCAGAAACAAACCAGAGGAAATCTATGGAGGAGGAGAATATCCGACTGCAAAGAGTCCAGTACGATTTGGAGAAAGTAAACATCAATGCCACAGAGACCATCAGCAGGTTGAAAGTCCAAGAGCAGGAACTGGGACGGCTAAAAAGCGAATACGAGAGGCTTGCCCAGGACAAAAAAGGGAAAGATCAAGAAAGCACAAGGCTGCAGGGCAACATGAAAGAGCTGCAACAGCAGAAACGCAAGCTGGAGGAGGAGCTTAGTAGGCAGGCTAGAGCCATAGGAGAAGAAACTGCCAAGAGGAAGGAAGTGGAAGCAGAGTTAGAATCTATGAGGAGGTCTTACAGAGAGCAATCTGTCAAGATCACAAACCTTACTCAGCAGATAGAGGAGGTCTCGATGGTCAAGAAAAGGAGTGAAGATGACTTGAAGCACCAGAGAGAGGTGCTAGATGGTCAGATGAGGGAAAAGCAGAGATACTTGGAGGAGATAAGGAAGTACACTTCAGAGATCGAAACCTTGCGCCGCCAGGTGGTCCAAGAGCAAGAGAATCTAAAGCAAGCTCACATGCGCAACGAGCACTTGCAAAAGGCTATTGAGGACAAGAGCAAAAGCCTCAATGAGTGCAAAATAGAAATCGAAAGGCTTCAGTCTCTTACCGAGAACCTTACAAAAGAACACTTGATGTTAGAGGAAGAGCTGCGTAATGTGAGATTGGAGTATGATGATCTAAGAAGGGGCAGAAGTGAAGTGGATGAGGAAAAAAATGCCACAATTATTGAACTTAAGAGTCAACTACAGACAAGCAGCAAGCATACCCTGGAACTTCAGGGTCTGATAAATGGTTTACAGAAAGAAAGGGACAATTTGAGACAGGAAATTGAGAAATTCCAAAAGCAGGCTATGGAGGTATTCACAAATATTTGATCACAACTTTACTGTCCCTCAAATAATTCAACACCAAATGCATTTCCAACCAATCATTGGACCCTAAATTTATGTATATTGATTTTAATTGATTCCTTTTTAAATTTGATATAAAAATTCCAACTGGCTTCTAAGTGCAGGTCTCTTACAGGCATTTGATTGGCCACTGTGAGAACAGAATGCTGGACTAGATTGGCCATTGGCCTGATCCTGCAGGCTATTCTTATGTTCTTAGCTGTAGGCCCAGATTTGGGTCGCTTCTAGACTAGTGCAAAGGAGATATAAATCTTACCTAGCATCTGCTTTTGTTACCTTTGGTGCTTAAAAAAATCTTTGGGTGATATTTCATTCCAATTGAATTTAGCGTTTTACCTATGGAAAATTGGTCAGCTCTTCATCATCCTTAGGAAGGAGCAGGACTTTGAAGACCAGGCCATATTTCCAAAACCTGTTCTTACAGAAGCTACCCCCTGAAGTTCGGTTACTCTTGACATCTCAACCCCCAAAGAGGGGTATACAATATGTTATTCATGAAGTTGCATATTGGAGCTTATCCTTATCTCCTTTGCTTTGCTCATTCTTTATTTTGCTGTAGGGTAGTATATGTGTATACATAAATACATACATGTATACCTTAAAAAGTGTACATATGCAAAAGTGTATACATAGTTATACTGGTGTTGTATATTTGGTATACATTTTATTGCTGCTTATGTACCTGTATATTGTCTAAAATGCACATTATACATAATTATATATGTGTGTTTGTATGTGTGCATGCTATACATGTCACTGCTTTCATTTCTTTCTTAAAAAAAGAAAGAAATCTATGAGTCACAATCCTGCACAGAGAAGAGCATACTTAAGCCTATTGACATTGCCTCAAGTGTGCTTTCTTCTGTGTTGGAGTCTGCCCATTTTGCCTAGTAGCTTGGGCTCATAATTTTCACGTAAAATGATAGTTAGGTTTCCCTGTCTTCGTTTACTAGGAGCAACCTATCAGGCATTGCTACAGTTCAGCCTCAATTCATATCAATTCACTCATTGAAATGAATGTTTGCTGACCTATATTGGTTTGCTAGTGCAAGATTGGTCCAAAAGCAGTATTTTCCTCAGTGGGGTATCGGTTTGCTCTCATTGTGTCCCCCCCCCCCCCAACACCTGTAATTCACACGCACATTATTATCTATGTACTTTTATTCACTCAGATTCATCACATAAGATACGTGATGGAACTTTATCCATTAGTATAGTTGTAGTCTCAAAATGAGCGCTTTCTTGAAAGAAGAATCAGATTGTGGAATTAAATAATCAGATTTTTATTTTTTTTTGTTAATGTGGGTAAATCGGCTCCAGGTAAGACCAGTCTGGATTTGATGTCGTGATACATATGTTTTGTAAACAGAGCAAGATGAAGGTCCCCTTTCAGTAGACGCAAGATTTTATCAGAGGCAGTACTGAAATGCAGGCATCCCAAATTACTTAGCTTCTGCTAGACTGCTGTCAAAATTAAGACTGTATGTCGTATATATGTACAGGTGGGAAAGGGAAAATATTAAGCACTGACAGTACAATCCACCCCAAGCTAAGTATTTTTAATTCCTGTTGATTTCAAAGGGAAGAGATAGGATTGTGCTGTATGCACAAGGCTGCAGTCCTATGCACGCTTGCCTGGGAGTAATCCCCATTTAATTCTGTGGGTCTTACTTCTGAGTAGACTTGTATAGGACTGCGCTGTTAAACACGTGCTTAATCTTTCCACTGAAACTGGCAGGACCCCAATGTGCTGGGTCATGCCCCAGACTCTCTTGTTAGAATTATTTTTAGCCCATTTCTATCAGTGTGCTATCCTGTATTAATAAAACAAATCCACAGCTGTATCCAAAACATCAGATTTATTACTCAGGGCCACAGTTACCCAGTACCCCTTGCAGGATAGGTTGAAATATAGGGAATATAGGATGTTAAGAAGAGGCACTAATTTTCTCCTTGTTTATTTCTTTCTTTAAAAAACCCCATAGACATCCCATAGGATCCAAGAATCCAAATCCCAGTATACTCATATTATGCAGGAACGAGAAGCGCTGCTGATAAAAATTAATGCCTTGGAACAAGACAAAGCAAGGTTGCTGAGGTTGGAGGAAGAGCTGAATCGGGCCAAAGGTACACTGGAGTCAGAATCCCGCTTGAAAATGCGGCTGGAGAATGAGAAGCAGCAAATCCTGAACGACTTAAATCAGTGGAAGAGCCAGTATTCCCGGAAGGAAGAGACAATCAGGAAGATTGAGTCTGAGCGAGATAAGAGCGAGAGGGAGAAGAGTGCCTTGCTGATAGAAATTGAGAGGCTGCAGGCAGAGATGAAGAGAATCGAAGAAAGGTACCGCAGCCGCTTGGAAGAGACAAGCAGAAAGAGCCAGTCGGAGATGGAGGCTGAGCGCCTGAGGCTGCAAAGGGAAATTGAGAAACTGAAGCAGCGCCCATATGTGGCCAACAGAGTCACCCAGACAGAAGATGACTTTGCCATCGACCCTTCCAAATTACTCTTCAATGGCCTGCGGAAAAAAATAACTGCTGTCCAGCTGTACGAATGCCAGCTGATAGACAAGTCCACCCTGGATAAGCTGCTGAGGGGCCAGAAGTCCGTGGAGGAAGTTGCTGCTGATCTCGAACCCTATCTCAGAGGAGCTGGGGCTATAGCTGGGGCTTCTCTTAGCCCTAAGGACAAGTATTCCCTGGTGGAGGCTAAACGGAAGCAGCTTCTCAGCCCAGAGAACACCGTCTTCCTTTTGGAAGCCCAGGCAGCCACCGGAGGTGTGATTGACCCCCACCGCAACGAACTTCTCAGCGTGGACAGTGCAGTTGCTAGAGATCTGATCGATTTTGATGACCGGGAGCAAATCTACACCGCTGAAAAGGCTATCACCGGATTTAAAGATCCCTTCTCAGGGAAAACCGTGCCTGTGGCACAAGCCATCGGTAAACAGCTTATCGACAGGGAGACCGGGATACGTCTCCTTGAAGCTCAGTTGGCTGCGGGAGGAATCGTTGACCCCATCAACAGTGTGTTCTTGCCGAAAGACATCGCTTTAGCTCGTGGGCTGATTGATCGAGACCTGGTCAGATCCTTGAACCAACCTCAGAGTTTAAATAACTTAATTGACCCGATCACCAAGAAGGCCATAAGTTACACGAAGCTGAGGGCGAAATGCAGAATCGAACCACACACTGGTTTGCTCCTCCTTCCCGTGCAGAAGAGAAGCATGTCATTCCAAGGCATCAGGAAGCCCATTGACATTTCTGAGTTAGTAGACTCTGGCATCATTCGGGAGTCGACGGCAAATGATCTGGAAAGTGGAGTAATCACGGTTGAAGAAGTCAGCGACCGAATCAAAGATTTCCTCCAGGGCTCCAGCTGCATAGCTGGCATTTATAACGAGGCCACCAGAGAGAAGCTTGGCATTTACCAGGCCATGAAAATAGGTTTGGTTAGACCAGGAACAGCTCTTGAGCTTCTGGAAGCCCAGGCAGCCACTGGATTTGTTGTGGACCCTGTGAACAATTCACGACACACGGTGGAAGAAGCTTACAAAAGAGGCCTAGTTGGAATAGAATTTAAAGAAAAACTCCTGTCTGCTGAAAGAGCAGTCACTGGGTACAAAGATCCAGAAACAGGAAACATCATCTCCTTGTTCCAAGCAATGAACAAGGAACTCATTGAGAGAGGCCACGGGATTCGTTTGTTGGAGGCCCAGATAGCCACTGGTGGGATCATCGACCCGAAGGAAAGTCATCGGTTGCCAGTCGGCACGGCATACCAACGTGGCTACTTCGACAAAGAGCTGAATAACATTCTCTCTGATCCCAGTGACGATACCAAAGGCTTTTTTGACCCCAACACAGAAGAAAACCTGACCTACTTGCAGTTGAAAGAAAGGTGCATAGTCGATGAAGGAAGTGGGCTCTGTCTCCTGCCCCTGAGAGAGAAGAAGAAAGTGGTGCAGACTTCGCAAAAAAACACCCTCAGGAAGCGCAGGGTCGTCATCGTAGATCCAGACACAAATAAGGAAATGTCGGTCCAGGAAGCGTACAATAAAGGCCTCATAGACTATGACACTTACCTGGAGCTTTCTGACCAGGAATGCGAATGGGAAGAAATCACTATAACAGGTTCAGATGGGAGCACAAGAGTAGTGCTTGTTGACAGGAAAACGGGCCACCAGTATGACATCCAGGACGCCATTGACAAAGGCCTTGTGGACAAGAAATTTTTTGAGCAATACCGTTCCGGGTCATTAAGCCTCACTCAGTTTGCGGACATGATTGCTTGCAGGAATGGCGGTGATGAAGTTTTCAGACACGAGTCCACTCGTTCTCCTACGGTACTGAGTATCAAGAGTTCATCTATCAAGCTAAAGAGCAGTTCGGGCTCCGGCTCCGGCTCCTTTTCTGAGTCCCTCGAGGAAACGAGTCCAATCGCAGCCATATTTGACACAGAAAATTTGGAGAAGATCTCCATTTCAGAAGCCGTGCAACGGGGCATTGTTGACAGCATTACTGCCCAGCGTTTGCTGGAAGCCCAAGCTTGCACGGGAGGCATAATATGCCCTGTCACAGGACAGCGGCTTTCCCTTCAGGAAGCAGTCGCCCAAGGCCTCATTGACCATGAGATGTCGACACGGCTGAAGCCAGCTCATAAAGCCTTCATAGGGTTTGAAGGCATCAAGGGCCGAAACAGAATGTCAGCCGCAGAGGCTGTGAAGGAAAAGTGGCTTCCTTATGAGGCTGGCCAGCGCTTCCTTGAGTTTCAGTTTATCACCGGAGGTCTCATTGACCCCGAAGTTCGTGGGAGAATAAGTACCGAAGAAGCCATTCGAAAAGGGCTGATTGATGGCCGGACAGCCCAGAGGTTACAAGACACCAGCAACTATGCGAAGATTTTGACCTGTCCCAAAACAAAGCTGAAAATCTCCTTCAGAGATGCAATGAATCGTTCGATGGTGGAAGATATAACTGGGCTTCGGTTACTGGAAGCTTCTTCGGTTTCATCCAAAGGCATCTCCAGCCCATACAATGTCTCTTCGGCACCAGGCTCGCGCAGTGGATCACGCAGTGGATCCCGCTCAGGCTCGCGCAGTGGATCCAGGAGAGGAAGCTTTGATGCAAACACGAATGCCTCGTATACTTATTCCTATACAACCGTCAGCAGCAGCAGCTCGCTTGGGCGCTAGTCATTAGCTAGCTAGCCTATCTGAATTTAGCACTGGAAGCATCTGCTGGGATCTGTATTCCTTCTTTGTTTTAACAAACAGAAAGAACTGGTTGTTGGTGATATTAGCACTTGCTTAGGTGAAATAGTTAAGCTGCAGAATAGACGCCAAACCCAAATGCCTATAAAATAAATCTTTCTGGATGGGATGCTGTGCTTCTCAATACATGTATATATATATACAACTCACATGCATGTGTGCATGCTTTCTAAATGTCTTGGGTGCAGACTTCTCATAGTAAATGGAGAAGGCAAGTTCTCTCTGATGTTGGTGTGCATCTTTCCTCATGTATTTAGCATTTGCTTTTGTTCCCTTCAAATAGTCATGCATGGCCACAAACTATTATCCCAGGCTTCATATTGGTTTTTTTTTATCAGTGTTGATGTTTTTAAAGCCACTTTTTTATCAATGTGGATGTTGCACTGCACAACGGTGATGGTCTGAAAATCCTCTCCAACAAATGTTATACCCAATTGTGCTATGCTGTATTCTCATTTGGTCACACTGCTTTTATTAGGGCAGATTTATTAGAATGTGCTTTTTCTTTTCCTGTGGCCAAACATTTCTATTCATTTTTTGCTTGCTTGTAACCCGGGTAATACCATGCAGGCCCATCTGTGTAACATTTACTATTCTGGCAATAAAAAAAATAATTAACCACCTTTGATTCCTTTGTGGTAAATATCTTGACATTAAGTGTTTGTTTTGCGTGCATTCTTGGCAGTGGCTAAACTAGCTGCAGTAGTTGACTGCATATTGAGTACTGCGAATTGGAGGTTCCCTTAGTCTCACATTTAACGGCTGCTTCAGATCTCAGCTGTAAATATCTGTGGTTGTCAAGGAGGCTAGGCGTTAGACATGCACTTTAAATTCATGGTGGGAATATGATCACTATAAACCATGGAAGTGGATGGGAAGCCATTGGCAAGTGCATTCCAAATTGCTTCTGGTTTCCTATCGGAAGTAACTGGTGAGCAGTTTTCTAGATCTACACCTCCATTGCTAAATGCTGAAGTACAGATGTGGAAAACTGCATCCATTCATTTAAAACTTACTTGATCATAGGAACATAGGAAGCTGCCTTATATCAGACCAGAGTATTTGTTCTATCTAACCCAATACTGACTGCTCTGACTGGCTGAAGTGTCTTTTCCATCACCAGAGTCTTAGGCAGAGGTCTTCTCCATTACCTGCCATCTGATACTTCAAAAATAAGGGATTTGAATCTAGGACCTGCTACATCATGTGCTCTACACCTGAGTTATGGTGTCTCTACTTTTAGCTCTCTTCCTTGGCAAACCATCAGTGAGATTAGCATGGGAACAAATTACTTTTCTCTCTAAAAAGCAAGATATGGGTGGCTTATATCGTAGCCACCATTTAAAGCATCCTATATGCAAGAACTTCTACTCAAAAAACAGCGTTGCTGGAAAGAGCAGGGGAACAAAGCACAGGAACCCTTGTTAGCTTGGCTGTTTTATAGTGGTTCCTTATCTATACCTGATAGGGATACACCTGTGATTTGGGGAGACAGCACACTTCGACAATACGCAAATTAGAGAAGGATGCATATAGTAGAAAAGAGGGGAAATGACACTTGCCATTTTTACTTACAAATTATCATAATCTCATGTTGCAGTGTTCCAACACATGTCAGCAGAATTTTCCAACTGAATGTTCTATAAATAGGCAACCCCTTTACTAATCCAGGCTGAGAGGGTGGGTGCCATAGTCTTTTACCTCTCACAGTCCAGAAACACCTGGAGGACCACTGTATCCAGGGGAGCCTAGTGGAATAGCCAATTTTGGAACAGCCAAATTGCAGAATAGCCTTGAAATCCTGGATGAAGAAGCAGAAATTAACACGGTCATCCTTGCTGCTACCTGGTTTCTGAGTGCGAAGTGAAAGAATATCCAGCCATTTATTTACATTAGTAAAGTATGGCATATGCAATCATCCTTGGCTCCTTTGGTAGGGTGGGATATAAATGAAATAAATAAAACAGTTACCTTAATTTTATCCTCGCAACAGCCTTGGAGGTTTGGTATGGAATGCCATCAGGCATTCGGTTTATTACCTCATTGAGAACTAACCTGTATTCTTGGCCACAATACGCCTTTGTGTAGAAACTGTTGCACCTCTATCCAGACTACATACCCCAAGACAGACCTGCTACGTATCAGTCAGTATACAAATATACAAAGGATGCTTTGGGAAACAATGGCTCAGCTGCCTGCAAAAAACAGCTGTGGTTAGGTCTGGTTGCTTTATTCTAAAGTGGATGCAGAGTTTCACAGAAGGTGAACATAATGGGGAAATGGAGTAGCACACTTAGACATTTGCCTCGTAAACTCTGGAATCTTACCAGGTCCAGGGAGGCCTGAACCTAGTTTTCTCCATTCACTTTTCTGCCCATTTCCTCCTAGATAGCAAAAGCATATCTCACAAAGTTCCATGAGTTGAAATAGATGATTTAAATGGTTAAGTAAAAAGCTCTGGGGTCCTTAGCATTGTCTCCATCAGCCCCTTTAGCTCCAGGATGCCCAGTAAGTCCCATTAGTTCAGTCAATCAACACAGGGTTTGCCCTGTTTGCAGAGTAACTGCATTTATTTTTTTCCAAATATTAACCCAATGCAGCATGTCAGTGGTGCCTGTTCAGATGGCAATAATATGAGAACTGCACTGTTCTGCACTGTTTAAGAGTCTAAACTTGTTATAAGGGTATGCCTTATACTCTGCTAATGTGTGTGTGTGCACATCATTTGTCGACTTCAGTATCAAGTGATAACTTGCATGTGTGGATACAACGACATAGAGGTTTCATATCACATTGCCTTTAACAAGTTGTTTTTAAAGTGGAGTTGGTTCATATATTCAGCTGCTCATGACCAAGAGTAGAGATATCAAGTGAGATGCATGCATGCATTTAGCCAAAGGGCTGCATTGCCTCATGGGGACCACATGCCAGTGGTGGCTGGGCAAGAACTGAGCAGAGCCACAGATACAGGAGTCTCTTCATTTAGTGGGCTACATTCCAGCCAAGCAAACAACAAGAGGTTTCTTGAGTGCACACAACACATCTCTTCGTCCAGACACGCGAGGTCCATTATCACAGTTCAAGAACACATTCCAGCCACGCAGCATTCAAGGAGGTTGTGGAATAGGACCAGCAAGAGTCTGCGGACTGCACAACTACACAAGCAGGCTGCATACACTTTCAAGTGCCTTGTGCCGCCTGAATGAAAAAGAGAAGGGACGGACTGCAACGACACCGGTGGGAATCCAAAAGCATCTTTCTAGTTGTTCCCATCAAGGGTGAAGGGGTCATCTTGATTATTCACTGGAAGTTATGCCCACACATTCAAACTGCAGCAGCAGGGCTGTGCCTACAGCACCATCATCACAGCCTTCCTGTGTACAGCTCCATGCACAGAGGCCTCCCTCAATAGCCTACTTCAGACAACACGTGGAGATATCGGAGGGCAGGGCAGCGAGGTCTAGCTCCCCATTCATGCACTGACTAAACTCAAGACTTTAAGGTTTTCTGCACTAAGCCCTAGCAAACTTGGTCCCTACACAGACTCTCAAGGCTGCTGCTCCTCTATCATCACCCTAGTAGTTGTGTAATGCATCACTACAAGAATGCAGAGCTGTGTCCCACTTACCCATCTAGCCATTTAAGCATCACTCAAGACTTGAAAGTGCTATCGTCTCATTGAGCGGGAATCAATTGGGCTAACACGGAGTATAAAACGGCAGTAGATCACCCACTGAGGGCTGCCAGCTGCATGCCAAGAAAACAGAGGTGTTGACTTGAATAAAATATATAGGGGGCAGGTAAGCCCCGCCCCACATAATCACATGACATGACATACACACATTATTTGAATGGCAGTACCTATCAGCGGGGGGGCGGCTGCTGGTTCCCTCAAATGTTTTATTGGTTCCTATGCAAGAAAATGGGATGTGGGTGGCACTGTGGGTTAAACCACAGAGCCTAAGACTTGCCGATCAGAAGGTCAGTGGTTCGAATCCCCACGACGGGGTGAGCTCCCATTGCTCGGTCCCAGCTCCTGCCAACCTAGCAGTTTGAAAGCACGTCAAAGTGCAAGTAGATAAATAGAATCATAGAATAGAATCATAGAATAATAGAGTTGGAAGAGACCACAAGGGCCATCGAGTCCAACCCCCTGCCAAGCAGGAAACACCATCAGAGCACTCCTGACATATGGTTGTCAAGCCTCTGCTTAAAGACCTCCAAAGAAGGAGACTCCACCACACTCCTTGGCAGCAAATTCCACTGTCGAACAGCTCTTACTGTCAGGAAGTTCTTCCTAATGTTTAGGTGGAATCTTCTTTCTTGTAGTTTGGATCCATTGCTCCGTGTCCGCTTCTCTGGAGCAGCAGAAAACAACCTTTCTCCCTCCTCTATGTGACATCCTTTTATATATTTGAACATGGCTATCATATCACCCCTTAACCTCCTCTTCTCCAGGCTAAACATGCCCAGCTCCCTTAGCCGTTCCTCATAAGGCATCGTTTCCAGGCCTTTGACCATCTTGGTTGCCCTCCTCTGGGCACGTTCCAGTTTGTCAGTGTCCTTCTTGAACTGTGGTGCCCAGAACTGGACACAGTACTCCAGGTGAGGTCTGACCAGAGCAGAATACAGTGGCACTATTACTTCCCTTGATCTAGATGCTATACTCCTATTGATAGGTACTGCTCCGGCAGGAAGGTAAACAGCGTTTCCATGCACTGCTCCGGTTCACCAGAAGTGGCTTAGTCATGCTGGCCACATGACCCGGAAGCTGTACGCCGGCTCCCTCGGCCAATAAAGCAAGATGAGCGCCGCAACCCCAGAGTCGGTCATGACTGGACCTAATGGTCAGGGTCCTTTATGCAAGAAAATAGTCTCTTGAGATCTTCCAACTCAGGGGCGAATTGCTTGCTATTAGTTGCCACCACAGCCCTAAAACTATGGAGGCCTAGGCGATGGTTGGGAAACCAAGGGAAGGGTGTATCCCGTCGTTGCCTTCGGGAACAGAGAAGCAGATTTCCACATGGCAGACCCTCCAAGTGTCCCTCTTTTCCAGGGACAGTCCGGAATTTACAGAAGCTTCCCCGGTTTCTGATTTGAACGTCCTGCTTTTCCTTAGTACGTCCTTGTTTTCACTGGAGAAATGTTGGAGGATATGGAGTTATCCCACCCCTGAGCCATCTGAAGTCAGCCCTGGATAGGGAAAGTTTACTTTTTTATATATTCTGTTTTTATATATGTTGGAAGCTGCCCAGAGAGGCTGGGGCAATCCAGTCAGGTTGGCAGGGGATAAAGAGGAAAACAGCAGCAGCAGCAGCAACGGAATAGGACACCCCTATTTTCACCGGAGAAATGTGGGAGGGTATGGAGTTATCCGACCCCCTGAGCCATCTGAAGGCAGCCCTGGATAGGAAAGTTTTTGTAATGTTTACTTTTTTATTATGTTTTTATATATGTTGGAAGCCACCCAAAGTGGGCAGAGGACAAAGAGTATAACAGCAGCAGCAGCAACAACGGAATAATAGGACACCCCTATTTTCATGAGAGAAACGTTGAAGGGTATGGCTTTCCTCTCTTCCCAAGTAGGCTTCATGGTCCCCGGCCACGTATGCAAAGCAGGAGGAGAGGCTTTCTTTGTGCAAATAAAGGGGCTGACGGCAGCTCCGCGGTGCCATCCCAGTTGGACTTCGGGGCCCTAGTAAACAACGCTCATTCCGCTTCGACGCCATAGCGGGCGCCGTCGAGCCCTGCCGTCACTGGAGCCCCGCTGACCTTTCCAACTGCGCGCCCTGAAGAAATGGCCCAGCGGCTCCTGTGCGCGCCTCTCCTCAGCCGAGGCCTCCGGAGTCCGAGAGCAGCCGCGGGGACCCCCGCCGTCGTTATGCAGGCGAGCTCGGCCAGCTCGAGTGCCGGAGAGCCGCCCGGAGAAGGTTAGTAGTTCTCCGGTTTTGGCGAGCGAAGACGAAGAGCCCTTTGGAAAGCACGGGGGCGCGCGTAACTTTTTCGTTTCGGCGCAAAAGCGAGCCTCCTCGGCGCCGTGGTGGGCCGGGCTAGGTTTTTTATTCTGCAGCCGCGCGGCGACGCCTGCAGGTCAAGCTCCAGCGCTGCAGAAAGGAAAGGAAAATGCGCCAAGCAGAAATTCAGCAGGTCGAGTCCCCCAATCCCCACCCCCCATCAGCTGCTGGCTTGGCAGAAGTTCTTCTGATTTTCGACTTGTATGCAGCACAAGGCTGTGGTTTTTAAATGCATCTATTTATTTGAATATATATACACACACCCCTTAACCTTACAGTCACTGTTGGTGTACAGAAACAAAGCAAATTAAACTTAATGGAAACTGGAACAGATTAAAATTCCAACAAGAGAAGAAAGCAACATCAGAAATACGAGCAGTGCAAGATGGGAACACTCATCAAAGTCGTTGTTGTTGCATATTTGTTTATACCCCATCTTTTTCTCTGACGGAGACTCCAGGTGGCTTGCTGATAAAATAACTGCTGCAAACATCAGGGGAACCACTCATTAAAAACAATTAAACATTAATAGGATTAAAACTATCTAGCTACCTAGTTATAGGATCAATTAAAAGTAAATTCATCCACCCGCCACCTAAGGATGTGCAATGTTTGTTGTTGTCCGAAATAATGGTGTCAAGTAGTAGGATGGACCTCAGTGGGCAGGGAGCTCCATGGGTGTGGAGCCACCACAGAAATGGCCCTTCCCTGTGCCCCATGTGTTGGATCTCCTCCAACACAGGGACGATTAGGAGTGCCTCATTTGCTGACCTCAGTTCGATATGGGAAATGGTGCTCTTTCAAGTGCTTGGAATTAGGTGCAGTACTGCCAGGAAAAAAGATGGCACCCTTTATCACTGTCATGAATAACTAAGGACACAATCCTAGCCCTAGATTGGCAGAGATGAGGGAATTAGGATGTGGCAGACCTCCTGTTCAGCTAAGAGGTTCCCATGCTCAGGCCATGTAGTGAGTTTGTGGCTCTTTGGGGATCTGAACCAAGGAGCCTTCTGGTATGAAAATCCACATTAGGGTTAGAATGTTAAGTTTGGACCCTTGCCCAGCTATAAAGCTCATTGGGTGACCAAAGATTTTTGCCCGTAACCTTGAGGCCTAGAAGCATGAAATGTGAAAGCCAACATTCTCATGGCTTCATCAAAAATTGGGTCACTTTCCCCTTCCTTTTTAAAAATATGAAACGAGGTAAACTAGACTAGGTATAGACATCCTAGAGCTGACTGTGCCTCCTTGCAGACTGTATAGGCAGTCCAATAAAAGATGGCGCACATTGCCAATACATGGTGGATGTAATTTCACAGGATGCAAAGTGGCTTTAATTGTGCTTTGATTAAGCATGCTCTCGTGGGCAGTGAGAAGGAACTTGTTCAGAGACTGAAGTCCTTCACGTTTGAGTAGGCCGAGTAAACAGCTGTGATACACATAGACTTTGATCCATCAAGCCACCTTGTGCCAACATTTAAATGAAAGGCATTTCAGGAGTAACTAAGCATTACTAAAGACCCTTCATACTGTAGCCTCCTAGTTTTTGAAAAAATATTTTATTTTCTGGTGGTCTTTCTTACCAATTCATGTGGTAGTAGTACCTATTGCACATGCTGAGACCAATTATAAGCTGGCTCGTGAGTGTTATGTTATTTATGCGGCTGAACATCAGCAGAGAAATATGCCATTAAAAACTTGCTTACCCTGGCTGTTTAAAACAAGACAATGAAATGAATTTAGTTATGCAACTTGCAGTGTTACAAATTATGTTTGTAGGCATGAAAATAACAACTGGTTTTAAAATACTCATCACATGACTTAATTCTCTTTGTTCTTTAAAGGAGAAAGAAGTGTCTCATAATTAGGGTTGCCATATTTCAAAAAGTAAAATTCCTGACACCCGCAAAGTTGTTGAGGTTTCTGGGGGGAAACCATCCCGCAAAATAGTGGTTTTAAGCTTTTGGAGCTGTTTCTGTTGCTTTTTTCATCGTGTTGCCATACATCTGGGTTTTCCCTGACATTATTTTGCTGATTCTGCAAAATTCCCCTCTGACACCATTTCTATACTCGAAAACCAGGACATATTGGGAATTTTCCTGACATATGGCAAGTCTACTCATAATTAGCTAAGGTCAGTAATGTAAGAGCAAGTTCTGTCTTCCTTAGGGTTACTGATATTGGGAGATGACTCATTAAAAAACTGAACATCTATTTTCCATTTTAATAATTTATAATAACTCCAATGTTAGTTAATTTGTATTGTGGATATTTCAGTAAAAACAAGGGGTTGTAGTACATGCATTCAAAGCAGGCCTAGCTCAGGGAGAACTTTCCACCTGAGTTCTTGGATTCTCCTGAGAGTTGGGGAGGGACTTTGGGGAAGGTGTGGGACAGGGGAATGGAAAATATGAGTTAATTGCCTCTAGCTAATTTCCCCGAATTTTCTCCCCAAGGGGAGGAAGCAACAAAGAATTTGTTATTTGCATAAGTAGCACTGTGGGTTAAACCACAGAGACTAGGACTTGCTGATCAGAAGGTCCCCGGTTTGAATCCCCGTGACGGGGTGAGCTCCCGTTGCTCGGTCCCTGCTCCTGCCCACCTAGCAGTTCGAAAGCATGTCAAAGTGCAAGTAGATAAATAGGTACCACTCCGGCGGGAAGGTAAACGGCGTTTCCATGCGCTGCTCTGGTTTGCCAGAAGCGGCTTAGTCATGCTGGCCACATGACCCGGAAGCTGTACGCCGGCTCCCTCGGCCAGTAAAGCGAGATGAGCGCCGCAATCCCAGAGTCAGCTACGACTGGACCTAATGGTCAAGGGTCTCTTTACCTTTACTATACTTTGGATGGAAACCAGCTTTTGAATGTTATGAAACACTTGTTTGGAGAGCCATTGCCCAAGATTTGTAATCATGGAATCATAGAATGATAGAATTGTAGAGTTGGAAGGGACCCCAAGGATCATCTAGTCTAACCCCCTGTAATGCAGGAATCTCTGCTAAAGCACCCATGACAGATGGCCATCCAGCTTCTGCTTAAAAGCCTCCAAGGAAGGAGAGTTCACAGCCTCCTGAGGGAGACCGTTCCACTGTTGAACAGCTCTTACAATGGAGAACCATTGTGGTCCATTAGACAGAGATTTCTATCTGGAGTACTAAATTAAAATAACTCCACTGCCTCATGTACTGGAAACGAAATGCATGGCTTATTTGAGCTGTTTCTGGTCCTTTGTTGATTTAAAGTGGAATTTGTGCTCCCCCCACCCTTGTTTGTGAGATGCTCAGGCTGTTCATGTTGGAAGCATGCACATCTTGCTGCAGGGGGCATGCACCCAAGTTCCGTTTTGGACATCAAAAAGAGGTGTGAAAGTGAGACCGGTTGCTTTGCCTTCAGTGTAATTAAGGCAACATTGCTCAGCTCCCAAAATTTTGGAGTTCGTGGGCTGAAAAAAAAAGATTCATAGCATGAAAAGTGAGGAATTTGGAATCTGGGGGCTAATAGTTTGGGTCGAGAACAAAGTTTTAAAATTATTCCTCTAAAACATTTTTCAACCTAAGACATTCTTTCTCAGTTCAGTTATTTCTTGCTGTGCTTCAGCCCATTTTTAAAATAAAAAAATCCAGCTGTTCATTATTATTAATTTCCAGGAAATGCCCAGTGTCTTAATTTTATTCTTTGTATCCAACCCTGATGATGAACTGCCTCACACACTGTCTCTGGCTATTGTCTTTTTTTAAGGGAGTGGACAGGGAACGACAAGCCGCAAACAGATTGAATCCAGCCCATAGTGTTAGTTGTGTTCATGATGACATTGTAAACGTGATACAGTATTAGCTTTACCTAGTAACTGTTTCACGTGTCAACCCCTTCAGCCAGTCTTCCAAAATGTAGTTTACTATATTAATGGGTGACTCTAAAAAGCAAAAGAAAGAATTAATAGCCACACACCAGGGTTTCTATTTGACCTGTTCTGTTTTCTCAGGAAGAAGGAATGTAATTACTGAAATCCGAGGGACCATAATGACAATTGGAATCAACAGGCCGGAAGCCAGGAATGCTGTGAACCAGGAGACTGCAGGATTGCTGGTGGAGGCTTTCAGATCGTTTGAAGAGAACGGCACGTTGACTGTGGCTGTGCTTCATGGGTTGGGTGAGGCCTTTATACTGTATTCCTGGGCCATTCCTGAGCCTATGCAATGGCCATTCAGGGCCATTGGCAATGCAAGAGAACTGTCCTTTCCCCCTGCCCAGAAACTGGGTGTAACCGGGTGTGAGGTGACAGGTAAAGAGTGTCTTTAGCAAGGTGTGCTTGGTAGGGGGAGAACATAAAGGCTGAGATCCATCTTGGGGCAGGCTGGCTGAAGGCGGGCTGGGAAAGATGCCTGGCTCTCTCCAGTGCTGCACTGCTGTGGGGAAACAAGTGCCTCTTGAGATGACCATGCTGTAGGATCTGGACTCCCTTCCTCCAAACTCAGATGTAAATATGTGAATAAATCATATTTCTTAAAGCTACAGCAACCTCTGCCGCCTCTTCAATTCTACAGAGGAGCAGAGACCCTGGAATCCCATGAATGGCTCTGCAGGGATTGGGGTGGCCTGTAACAATACTCTTCAGTCATGCTCTCATTCGAAACCCAGCCCCTCTCCATCCAGTGTCCAATGTTTTGCATATACAGTAAGCCCACAACTTCCACACATTTAATTTGTGAACTTTCAGCTGTAGGCACATAGCAAAAGAAATAAATAAATGAAAAGTGGGCAGGGTTCTGGGGAAAATAACCTTGGCAATCCCACCAGCCATTGAACCCAATGGGCTTTGACTAGACGTGGCTTTGACTTTTAGCCCAATCCAAGGAACATAACCTCTGCACAAATTGCGGGCCTGCTGTACACTTAAAACTCTAATATTTGAATAGAGCAAGAGCAAATTGATGCAAAAGGTATGAAGGGTGTGTGTGTGTCATAAAAGCCTTAAAATAAGTTATCTGCCGTGGCTCGGGATACTTGCGTCAGCAACCAGAACTCATACATGCCTACAAAATGACTTGTATGTGCCTTACTTCAGGTAAGGCTCACGTTGAAGTTTCAGGCTTCCTTTTGCTCTGTGTCAAGGATGGTGCCAGGTATGTAATAGTTAGGGATTGTGTTTCCACATCATAGTAAACTATGGTTCGTGGTTTACGGCGAACGTGTAGACTACTCCCACTTCGTTTTTCCCTGGTAGTGAGTAGGAGCAACCATGATCCTTGGCTTAGCGTTCCATCTGAGCTGCAGGTTGTGGTTTTCTTCACTTCAAGGAAACCATGGTTGATAAGCATGGAACAAACCTTGGCTTCTGATTGTGGTTTGTTTGCAGAGAAACAAACCATGATCCCCAGTTTGGATGCAGCACTGAGCCAAGCATTGTGGTTTGTAGCTCCCACTTGCTTTAGTGGAGGGGAGTGAAGTGGGAGCAGTCTGCGTGTTCATGGTTTAACCATGGCTTCCCGTGATGTGCGAACACAACCACGATGTCATCTCATTCATAACATGAACCCTGATTGGCTAGAATCACATTGTGAAGGATAAGTTAAGTTTTTAACCAAGGAAAACAGAGCTGGCAATGGCAACGGCCACAAACAGGCACAAAAAAATAATGAATGTTCTTAATGGGAGGAGTGGTTATTTGCAGTGAGGCTTAATTTTTTCCAGGCCTTCTGAAAGCAGTTCTTTGAACCACAAAACTGAAATGGGCAACCCAGTCGGCACAACCTTTAGAAAATTGGCCATTGTGATATGTGATAATGAATCACGCATTTAAATAAGCGAGTGATAGTTGCAGCTATCAGCATGACAACATAACAAGCTTTCAGAGAAAAGCAAAACAGAGCCCGGGTTTTCTCTTCCTCATCTCTCCTTCCTCAGTAGATGGTCTACTTAACAATTCTGCTCTATAATTACAATATTTACTTTGCTGAGATAAAGTAAAACAGTATTTAGTGGAATCAGAAGCAGCTGCATTATTGGTAGTCTTGAGGGGAAAGGATAGAGATTACAGTTGGAAACTTTAAAACAAGAAAGATTTATGTATATTTATGTTTTTTTAAGGGCTTTGTCCCCCAAGGATGTGTATACATAAGGTTATTTTTAGACCATCAATTTGATTGAGAAAATTATAGTGTTGGGACTTGAGCCGAGAACAGTGGTCCCATCTGTTAAGCTCATATCTGGGTGATGCCTGCTTTGTGGCCTTTAATGTGCTGGGCTCAGCAAGTGAGTGATTCCCCTCCTCCCCTCACTGTAAAGTAAATACTGTGGGCACTCGTGCTTTGGTTTTCATCATGGTGGTACAGTCAACAGCAGCTCTTTCTTCTGCTTCCAATGCACACAAGAAGTCATGGTTCCCCCGCCACACAAGAAAAAGGCTTGAATTAGCTGCCTCTGCGGTAGAGGAAGAGTAGGGAGACACGGTTTTGCTGATGACGTGGAGGATGTGCTGGCTGGTATACATGCCATCAGGAACCCTTTGAATGAAATTCTTGGCTGTGGTTAAAATGCTTCTTCGGGGGCAGGGGGAGGGAATGATGTGCCCTTCTTAGGTTTTTGTACTGGGAGTTATTAAAATGCCATTCTAAAAGGGAGTGAATTTGATACACTTACGTCCCCCCACCCCAATTTCAGGTTTTGCCTGTTCTAATTTAAGATTCAGGATGAAAAGCAATTTTGATTATTTTAATTCTGTGCTTTGTGCTTTGTATACTGTAACTTTGTATACTGTGAACTGCCCTGAGACCTACGGGTATAGGGCGGTATACAACTTTAATAAAGAAGAAGAAGAAGAAGAAGAAGAGGCAGCAGCAGCAGCAGCAGCAGCTGGTTGATTTGGCCTGCAAAGTTTAATTTAGTTGATCACAAGCTGCAGACCAGCCAGCAAAAAAGGGCAAAAGCAATTTTAGACTGCATTAACAGGCACATTGTGTCCAAATTATGAGAAGTAATAGTTCTACTCTATACTGCATTTGGTCAGACTGCATCTGACGCAGGTGGTGCTATGGTTTAAACCACTGAGCCTCTTGGGCTTGCCAATTGGAAGGTCAGCAGTTCAAATCCCCGCGATGGAGGTCGTTGCTCTGCCCCTAGCAGTTTGAAAGCACGCCGATGCAAGCAGATAAATAGGTACCACTGCGGCAGGAAGGTAAACGCCGTTTCCATGCGCTCTGGTTTCCATCACGGTGTCCTGTTGCACCAGAAGTGGTTTAGTCATGCGGGCCACATGACCCAGAAAGCTGTCTGTGGACAAACACCGGCTCCCTCGGCCTGAAAGCGAGATGAGCGCTGGAACCCTATAGTTGCCTTTGACTGGACTTAGCCATCCAGGGGTCCTTACCCTTTTTATTTGATCAGACTGCATCTGGAGTATTGTATCCAATTATGGACACCACGTTTTAAGGAGGACATCACCAAACTGGAGTGCACCCATTGGGGGTCAACCAGGATAATCAGAGTTCATCAGAAACATAGTCCCATGAGAGACTGTTGAAAAAGCACCATGGGTGGTATTCATCTAAGTGTTACTCAGAGGAGACCCATTGAAATTAATGGACATGATTATTTCAGAAGGTCTGTTCTGACTAAAACTTAGTTTTACCACCCAGTGTGTTTAGCCTAGGGAAGATAAGAGTAAGTGGGGGATGTAATAGTGGTCTTCAAACAGCTGAAGAGCTAACATGCAGAAGATGGAGTGGCCTTATTTTCTGTGGTTCCATAAAGCAGGTCTAGAACCAATAGGGAAATTGCAGGGAATCAGCTTTTGCCTAAGCATTAGCAGAAACTTCCTGATGGTAGGAGCTGTTAGACCGTGGGAAAGGCTGCCTTGGGCGGTGGTTTGCTCGAGATATGTACATGGAGACTAGATGGGCATATGTCAAGGATGCTGTAGTTTCATCCCGCTCTGCAGGTCTTGGATGATCTCAAAGGTTGCTTCCAACTCTGCCATTCCATGAAAATGCCTTTATCCCATTGAAGAGCATCTAGAATGGCTCAAATAACCAAGAGCCTAGCCAAACAATAAAAAAGGCTGAATAGAAACCAAACTTTTTTCTTCATTCCATATTCTAAACTTTTGTGTGTGTCTTCTTCTATGTGTGTGTTTTTTAGGTGGCAATTTTTGTGCTGGTTATGATTTGAAGGAGTTGGCGCATGCCCCAGCCTCTATCAAATTGGAACAAGATGTCACCCAAACGCCTGGCCCCATGGTATGTTCCAGAGGGAAATCCTGACAATTTTCTGAAAAACTGATGCCCTTTTCCATGGTAGTGTTTTGTTTCGCTATGGAAACCACAGCGCTTTTCAGTTAAAAGTTACAGACATTTTAAAAAAGCGGGAGAGAAAAGAGGAATCTTCCCTTCTCAGAAAGTAACTCAAACCAAATGGGATTGTTTTCCCAAAAGAAAAGTTGTAAGTTGTCTGCTCCCAGCAAACGTGGGAATCAAGCACACTGTCCTGTGTTTTATATAATGTGAACTAGGTGTGTGAGTGTGCAGTTGTGGTGCCTATGGAAGCAGAGGTAAATTATGCAGTGTGGATGGGAAAGCCGTGATCCATCCTACATCAACATTAATTTGCGGTGCTGCTTCTTGCTTGCTCATGAGTCACACAACACATTGTGTTTCCTTCATTATCACTGGGCTCGATAGACAAGACTGAGTAACTCATGACCCTCCACATGTGGTTTGACTACAACTCCCCTGACCATTGGCCACACAGCCTGGGGCTGATGGGAACATCTGGCTTAGCCACTTTGAACTGATTCATCAGGATTATATTCTTAAATGACTTCAGAGAAGATGAAAAAGATGTGGGAAGAGGTGCCATGAAGTATGGGTTTCTGTTAGTTTTGAAATATGTTCAAAAGCCCTGTCATGATAAGGGTTGCTTACCCAAATTCTAGTAGTGATGTATGAAAGTGAGAGCTGGACCATAAAGAAGGCTGATCGCCGAAGAATTGATGCTTTTGAATTATGGTGCTGGAGGAGACTCTTGAGAGTCCCATGGACTGCAAGAAGATCAAACCTCTCCATTCTTAAGGAAATCAGCCCTGAGTGCTCACTGGAAGGACAGATCCTGAAGCTGAGACTCCAATACTTTGGCCACCTCATGACAAAAGAAGACTCCCTGGAAAAGACCCTGATGTTGGGAAAGATTGAGGGCACAAGGAGAAGGGGACGACAGAGGACGAGATGGTTGGATAGTGTGCTCGAAGCTACCAGCATGAGTTTGACCAAACTGCAGGAGGCAGTGGAAGACAGGAGTGCCTGGCGTGCTCTGGTTCATGGGGTCACGAAGAGTCGGACACGACTAAACGACTAAACAACAACACCAACACCCAAATTCTGGGTGGGCAGTGGTTGCGGCCTGGCACGGCTCCCCCTCGTGGCTGGCTATTGGGATCCTCCAATTGAATCTGACAATAATTGAATCTGACAAGGCCAATGATGGCCTTTGTGGGGGGTGGGCCCTAACCCAGGCACAACCCTGTTCGATTATTGGCCTTCAGCCAGAAGGCTAATACAGGTTACATGCACAATGCCTGAGCCAAAGCCTACCTACACCTGTAATCCGAATGGACAGTATAGGATGCTGACTTCCAGAGATGCCTCAGAAGTCCATTTGGGTGTTTATTTAGCTGAATGTGTGAAGGGGCTGTGGGGGTCATTGTGTGTGTCTCTTTGTTCCTCTGAAGCTGGATTTTAACTGAACGTGACCAAATGTTCTCCTCCCAGTGGTTGGGAACACCATGTGAATATGGTTTCCAGTTACAGGAAGGACTGTAACCACTTCCACCCGAATGGTTACAAGCCCCGTCAGACCTTTCCCCTCAACATGGGAAGAAGGGCAGCATACACAACTCCTCCATGGACACAATCAACAAATGCCTGAATATATTTTTTGGTTTCTGGAGACTTGGACATAAAGGGCTGCCCTCAGTAATCCTAGCTGTCAGTATCCTAGATCCTCAGTAAGCCTCTTGCTTAAGGGACGGGCGAAACTCAATCAACTTCTTTTTCCTTGGTAACGCCCTGTAATTTCCAGCTAACCTGGGCACACTTCGCACGTTAGTTTTGACTATATGCTCTGCATCACCGTGAATGTTATTAATGCATTGTCTCTGGATCAATACTGATTGGAATATATTCTAGTCCTATTGAATAATAGTTCTAACACAATTCCAATACCTGTTACAGGGTCCTTCGCGGATGAAGTTTTCTAAGCCAGTGATTGCTGCGGTAAGTGGATATGCAGTGGCTGGTGGGCTTGAGCTGTCCCTCTTGGCTGACTTGCGTGTGGTAGAAGAAAGCGCTATCTTCGGAGTGTTCTGTAGGCGTTTCGGTATGTTTCGTGAATTGCATGGAGTTTGGTTTTAAATGGGTATAAAAAGGTGCGTGTGCCCTGTATCTTTATAGTCAGTACAGCACATGGCCTCTGATTAGTTGATTAAACTGCCAATTAAGGCTTACAGCGCTGACCTAAAACAGGATAAAATATCAAAAGAGATTATTTTTTTTACATGAACAGTCTACTATACCTGCTCAAAAGACTTGTGAGCAGATCTGCATAGCTGACTTACTGAGTATATGTAATAAATACACAGTAGGGCCAGTTTGGCTCAGTGGAGAGATCAAAGCCATTTCGTCTTCAAATTGAATATATTTTTGCAGCGCACGTCGTGTTCATTAATTTCAATGTGTTTACTCTGAGCAGAACTTTGCTGAGTGCCCCCCAATGGATTCATGGAGATTTAGGGAGGAATGCAGTGTTGCCCTGATGGTTCCGTCAGGGAAAGCATTTTGCCTTGCCAGATGGAACGATGTCTCCTCTCCACCACCAACCCACACGCTGTTCCAGGGTATATCGTAGCCCCTCCAGAGCCAATTTCAGAGAAGGTGGGGAGTGGGGTTAGAGGAAAGTCCCATTGCACAAGTGGAAGCCCTTGCCCAGGGCTTCCACTGATGGGTCTCATTAGTTGGAAGTGGAAGCCCTTGCTTCCACTTATTAGGGTCTTATTAGTTCATAGAACTGTAGAGTTGGAAGGGACCACAAGGATCATCTAGTCTAGTCCAATTCCCTGCAATGTAAGGATCTTTTGCCCAACGTGAGGCTGAACCCCACAACCCTGACTTTAAAAGTCTCATGCTGTACTGACTGAGCAACCGCCAGGACAGTTGAATCCTGCCCTTACTCTCTGGCCACTGTTCTCTGGCATTTCAGACAGATTGCTGACTTCAGTTGTTTCCTTGCTCACTACACTCATTTTGCACTAGCTAAAGTCAGCCAAGGGTACAAAACATCCGAAAAGGGAACCAGCGCAGACCAGGAAAAGATGGAAATTCAACAGGTGCGGGAGACAGGTTCATTCACGCCGACGTTATTAAGCACAACATGTTTCAAGCAAATCAGTTTTAAAAGAATCAGAAATTGCTTTCATCTCTTGTAACTTTCTTAGCTACTCAAAAGGAGCTACTAACTCCTATTGTGGTAATGTATCTTTTTGTCGCCTGGTAAAGAGGCATTTGCTCAAATTGCACTGGGATCAATACAACTGATATCAGTACATTTGACTCCTGCGCTTGTTGGATTTTCAGAGTGTTGGAAGTAGCCGTGTTGTTTGCACATCACAGTAAGCCGGAAGCCGCGCAAGGGCTGATTGTGCCCTGCTCTTGCTGCGGAGAAACAATCCTTGGCATCGCATGATGTCTGCTCAAACAGATGATGATTGATAAGCCAAGTGCAAACCTTGGCTTAGGGTGGTTTGCTAGGAGTGAATCAAACCACGGTGCTTGGCTTGCACATGACCCTAAGCTCAAATATCACAATTTGCTTCTCCCCAGGGAGAAATGAAGTGGATGTTGTTGGCTTGTGCACAGTAAACCATGGTTTATGGCTTACTGTGACTGTGAACATAGCCAGAGTCTCTGTAGGACACATCTCATTGCTTACCTTTTGGCCATGTGTTTCATGATAAGAAGGCTGTTGGATGGTAAATGAGGTTTATACATGCCTTTATCCCAGATTACGGGAGTATAATGTGTTAAAGGTAAAGGTAAAGGGACCCCTGACCATTAGGTCCAGTCATGGCCAACTCTGGGGTTGCGGCGCTCATCTCGCTTTATTGGCTGAGGGAGCCAGCGTACAGATTCCGGGTCATGTGGCCAGCATGACTAAGCCGCTTCTGGCGAACCAGAGCACCGCACGGAAACGCCATTTACCTTCGCGCCGGAGTGGTACCTATTTATCTACTTGCACTTTGACGTGCTTTCAAACTGCTAGGTTGGCAGGAGCAGGGACCGAGCAACGGGAGCTCACCCCGTTCAAACTGCCGACCTTCTGATCAGCAAGTCCTAGGCTCAGTGGTTTAACCCACAGCGCCACCCACGTCCCACGTATAATGTGTTAGGGCTGCCATATTTTGAAGAGCAAAAAAAGAGGACACATTTGCCGACTTTTACATTTGATGACTCTCATTTTGCATACCCATGGAAAAAATGAACATGTCCTTGAAAAAGAGGACACATGGCAACCCTAGTTTCAGAGACATTAACATTCCAGTTTGCTTAAAACAAGGTTATTTGAGTGAGGTTCCCCCCCTTTAACTATTGTTGGCTGGGGTTTTTTTTAGGTGTTCCGCTGATAGATGGTGGCACTGTTAGACTACCAAAGCTAATTGGCCTTTCACGTGCGCTGGATCTCATTCTCACTGGGCGGCCTGTTGGTGCGCAGGAAGCATTTCAGCTTGGACTGGCTAATCGAATAGTTCCCAGTGGCCAAGGTAGGTGTCTTACGCAGCATGTCATTATTAACTGGGTTCAAAACCAGTCAAAGTCTCACAACATAACCTACCTCACAGAGTTTGTTGTGAGGATAAACTAGGGAGTGGGAGAATCACGTGTACCTTCTTGGAGAAAAAGTGTGGTATAAATCAAGTAAATAAATAAGATTGGACAAATCCAATGTATTATTGGGCTGCTAGAGCCCTGCGCGTTTCAGTTTCATTCAACCTGAATGGAATTAAATGCACCGAGTGGGATGCAAGACTACAGCCTTTGTTGTGCTGAGTCATGTTTTTAGATTGGGAGATGACTTTTGGTCAGGATTAGACCAATAGGCTGGTGCAGCACAAAGGTCTAATCCAGGCACCCCTAAACGTGGCTCTCCAGCTGTTTTGGGACTACAATTCTCTTTTATTTTTTTATTTTTTTTATAAGATATTTATTAAGATTTTTTAAAATATTACAATAAAAATGAAAAAAATAACAAAAATACAAAATAAAAATGGTTAAAAACACACAGATTTTCCATTACTTATTTTCCTTTAGCTTGTTTCCCGGACCTCCTCATACCTCCCTTTTTTGTATTCCACTTCAGTCTGTTGGTTCAGCAAATCCTTACCCTCTTTAATTATCCTAATCCTTGATCTTAAAAATAATAGCATTAGATTTTTACCTATTTATAACCCTTTTTTCATATTCCCGTAGAGCATCACAGCTGGAAACCACTTAATTTCTATCCAACATCATTCTAACATTCATTAATTTTACAATATTTCTGTAGATAATCTTTGAATTTCTTCCACTCTTCTTCCACCGACTCTTCTCCCTGGTCTCGGATTCTGCCAGTCATTTCTGCCAGTTCCATATAGTCCATCAGCTTCATCTGCCATTCTTCCAAAGGGGACTACAATTCTCATCATCCCTGACCACTGGTCCTGTTAGCTAGGGATGATGGGAGTTGTAGTTCCAAAACAGCCGGAGGGCTGAGTTTGGGGATACTTGGTCTAATCTGTTGCAGGGCCCTGTTGGCATCTGCTGTAGTGAAGCCTTCAGTGAGCTGGTGCGCACCACGAGTTTTGGACTACAGTTCCCCTCAGCCCCAGCCAGCATGGCCGATGGAAGTTGTAGTCCGAAGTGTTCAGAGGGTGCCGGGTTTGCAAAGGCTGCTTTAGATAAGTTCTTACTGGCCATAGACTAGCAGGCAAAAAGCAATTTGGAAGCCTAGCTTTCCAGCATTTTTTCCCCTTTTCCCCATGGGATGGGTGGGAGAGGCTAGGCAGGATGCCTCCCCCCCTTCTCAGAGCCGCGTAGAACACATATGTCGCATGTGAACGTATAGCATCCTTTCTGTAGCCAGCAACTGGCAGCTCTTTGCGAACTTTCATTCCATTCAGAAGGCAGAACCCTGATTTCTGTTTAATTTAGAGCGCGGGTTTGACAACATGGAAATACATTTCTTCCAATAACAAGGGTGTGTCCCGTCACGAAAACACATTCCTGCTGCTAACCTTTGACCACTGAGGGGGAACTACCTCCGTTAAGGTAAATGCACACAGCAGTTCTCTTGACTAGACTCCGGAGGTTTCCTGCAGAAGGAAAAAGGAAGACCCTTCTGAATCAGGCTTTACCTCATTCCGAATTGGCATGGAAGCTGGCTTAAAAAAATGACCAGCAACAGCTGCTTTGATTCAGCTTAAGCTGGTGGGGCTGCTGTTCTCCTCCCCACCCCACCACCGACTTGTTAACAAAACGATGACAGCATGTACGTATCTGAATGCAAAACAGGCTTTGGAAATTGCTGGTGGGGTGAGGCATCCGTATTGTAGCAGAGTTTTAGAAAGGAAATAAGCCAGGAGTCAACTAGCCATAACAAAAAAGGTACAGATTCAGATGTTTCCCTCTCTCTCTTTTTAAGGCTTTCTGTGCATGCGGGTGTGTTAAAATTTAGATTATTTTGATCGTGGAAGTGTAATGGTGGGGTGGGGTGAGGGAGATCATTAATAACACAGTAGGTTATTCAATCCCTCCTGAAGCTGCCGCCATTCTTCAGGTCCAAGAAGTGACTAACGTCTCCACAGACTTTCTGCCCATGTGCTCTGTGCGTCCTGATATCCGGATTCCTTTTAAAAAATATGGCTGTTTTGGTTGGCATCTGGAGACGTATCTTTTGAGACAAACATGAATGAAACCCTGTTTTGTTTACCGCCAGCCAGGGATGTCCAAGTGGGAGCCCCCTGTGGACCAGATCCACCCCCCAAAAAAATTTACCTGTCTCCCTCTAGCAGCCCTTCCAAACCTAATTGGAGATGTCTTTTCATACTGTTTCACTTGTGAGAAACATAGCAAATGTTTTCAAGTACAAGAAACTGAGTGTGAGGTTTACCTGGGGCTGGGATGGGAGCAAGTCCTGCTGAACTCAGCGGGAATTCATTTTGATCAGACAAGCATAGACATGCACTAAATGTGGCATCTCTGGATTTTATAAATATATGTATGTTTGAAATATACTCGGAGTCGAGTGTGAATTTCATGCTCTCTATTCAGCTCATAGTAGTAATGAATGAAGCTTTCCCCAAAATGTCTAGCTATATATACATTATTTACACAATGGGCCCCACGTGATTGGTTAATTGCGGGCTGCTCCTGTAAGCCAATCAGGTTGTGGATTCACTTCCTCCAGAAGCCTGATTGGCTGCTCCTGCAGGCCAATCAGGTTGCTGATTCACTTCATCCAGGAGCCTGATTGGCTGCTCCTGCAGGCCAATCAGGTCGCTGATTCACTTCCACCTGGAGCTGGATTGGGTGGCTCCTGCGGACCAATCAGACTGCTGCATTATGGATCCTATTGTTCTAGGGTTCAGCTCAGTACATAACAATGTTAAATAAAATAAATAATAATAATAATAATAATAATAATAATGTAATAGTAAGTAAAACACACACCGTATATAACTGGAAATTGCTTTACTGCTTAGGAGCAACAGTTGCAGGGGCGTTGGGCATCCGTCTGTCTCGAGAGACAATGGGATGTGTCTCTGGGGGTGAAGTCAAACTGCTGCATTAGCAGCAACGAAGTGACCTCTCTGGGATGCAAGCCTGGGCAGTGTGTATGGCGATCCTGGGCTTCCCAGATGACAAGACACCCACACCCACACCCCCGGCTGTGCTCATGTGGTCCAAAGCAGAACAGAGCAATACGTTTGGCACCAACTTGGCTGAAGGAATTGCCAGACGGAGCCGTACAAGGCACCATCCAATTGTCTTAGGGAGTCTGCTTTGGATTTGTGTTGGGCTTACTCCTTAGCCTTTTCTTCTCCTAAAGGTGTCCCACAAGGCAAGGCAGCAGAGGTTTAGGATCAGAGTTTCCCTTCTCCTAGATGGGCTACTTTCCCAGCTTGACGAGCCCCGTCTGCCCCTCACTTCCCTCTATGGCACACGCAGAAACTGCCTTCTTGACCATTGGTCCCACTATTGGTCTTGTCTGCTCAAATCACCAGAGCCTGTCTTTGCATGCAGGGAAACTCCCTAACTCACCAAGCATTTGAGACCCATCAGCTACCCTCACCTGGTTTAGCCGGCTTCACAAACAATTGTTGGCATACAGAATGGCTGCCAAGAAAATAGAAGTCTGCCAGCTCCTTTCTAAAGCCATAGGATACGGAATCTGTTGAACTTCAACTTCTGTAAGCCCCAGCCGGCATGGAAGATGGTCAGGGATGATGGAAGTTGCTGTTGAACAACTGGAAGGCCATAGGACTTTGTACTTTGCCATGGTGGGCCTTCCAAAGTCTGCTTCCTGGAATCACCAGGAAGCAAAATTAGGGCTTTGTTCAGGCTTAAATTTATTAAATGTCATATCCTGTGATTACTCCTATTCTCTGTCTTTATAATTGTGGTATGCGTGTACTGAAAATCAAAACACTTTTTTTTTTTTTATAAACTCAAAGCCACATGTAAAAAGCCACATGTTCTTAGTGACAGAATTTGTATGTACAGTTCTTGATTACAACATAGACCAAGAACAGACTCGCACTTCTGTGCTTCTTATTTATTTATTATTTTAAATGAAATAAAAAATAGCATAGGTGACAGGTTGCACCTAAGCATGTACCCTGAATGCCCCTATTTCCTAAGGTGAATTCTTGTTTCTCGTTGCTTTGTCCATGGCAAAGCCCATATTTTTGTATTTGGGGAGGCTTTTGAGAATTTGCTCTAAATAATATTTGCACATTGACCTAAGTTGCTATTCCAGCTCCCAAAAGTTAAATACCCCCGAGGTTTGGGGGTGGGTGAACAGATGCTCTGTGCCTGGACACAGAGTCACTAAGCAGGGATACAACTTGACATTGTACACACTGTAGCTGGTTGTGCTTTTGAACTTGCTAAGTGTAACCATATTTTGGGAGAATTTTTAATAAAATGCTTTTTTTTTTGCTTTTTAAAAGTCATCTGAGTCCCAGGCTGTGGTTGTTAACTTAATTCTTTTTTGGTTGTCTAAAGGCAGTGTGGTACTTCCTCTCTAGCCCTTTGTAGACATTGCCAAAATAAGTGTAGAAAAGCGAACCACAAGGGCCTGGGCAGTCCGGGGACCAGTGTCTAAGTTCTGCTACCCCCCACTTGTGTTCTCATCCCTCTCCAACTTGCAGAAGGCTGTCTTCTGAAATGGGGAGGCACCAGTATTTGTGGAGGCTTCCTGTGTGTTCTAGAATCCTGGAAAATCCAGGTTCTAGAACCCCAGGGGTGTTCCAGAAGTACAGGAGGTCCCCCCCACACTTCAAAAGGTCACCCTCCTCATGATAATGGTGAAGTTTGTGGGGGGGGGCAGAGCTGGTACTCTTGTCCTCACTGTGTCTGAATAGGGTTTTAGTCTGTCCCACAATTCCTTACTCATCAAGATAGATACTAAATGTTACAGAATGTATTTCAGCTATTCCATAATAAGTATAACTTTATCAATTAGATGATCCTTAAGTTTTGTTTTTTGTTTTTGTTTTTTTTAAAGAATCCTTAAATTTGGGGTTGTTTTCCAGTTTGTTATAAAGGAAAGTGTTGTGGCCATTTTATTAGCGCACTGAATCAGAAATTAGAGCACAGCAGGCTCAATTACAGAACTTAAACAAAGCTCTGTACAATCGTTGGAGAAGAAGAGCCTTCCGTAATGCGTAATAATAGTTCCAGTAAACAAATTCTTTTATTTTGTATTGCTTGTCCATGGCAAATCACTGTCTCTATTTTGGTGACGGCATGTGGTGAGACAAAAAGGGTAAATATATGAGAGCCCCTGTTTTTGTTTGGGGGCATGTCTGTTGTTTTAGCTGCATTTTATTGTTTTGTTGGTGAAGCAGCAGCAGCAGGTTCCCGTGAGATCTCACGAGATCTCATCAAAATCTTGCATAGTATCTTGTTGGGATGTGGCACTGCTGCTTTGCAGGTGCTGCTGTGCAGACCAGGTAAAGAGGTGGCAGTAGCAGAATGGCACCTTCATGTTTCGTTGATGCACTGCCCCTGGCTGTAGGGCCGTCTTCTCTGCCTGTCCTTCTTTCCCTTCCCTTTCATGTCCTTTGCCCTTTGCCCACTATCTTGTTTTAGGAGGTAAAGATTCCATACCTTTTATACAGTACAGTGGTACCTTAGGTTACATACGCTTCAGGTTACATACGCTTCAGGTTACAGACTCAGCTAACCCAGAAATAGTGCTTCAGGTTAAGAACTTTGCTTCAGGATGAGAACAGAAATCGTGCTCCGGCGGCGCGACGGCAGCAGGAGGCCCCATTAGCTAAAGTGGTGCTTCAGGTTAAGAATAGTTTCAGGTTAAGAACGGACCTCCAGAACGAATTATGTACTTAACCTGAGGTACCACTGTATATAATTCCTACATTGTGCCTAGCACTTGTTTAAGCACATACTATTTCTTTTTAGAAGAGGCCAGGGATGTTCTAACAACTGAACCTTATTAGGAATTACTTAATTAGAAGGTAACAGTGGAGAAATTTCCCGTTTTTAAGATGGTTTCCCATCACTCCTTATCCTCTCATGCAGCTGCCAGTGGACAAGTGGACACATTCAGTTCACATCAGGTAATGGCCAGGCCTACGAGACCTAGTTTGTGCACTGCACATGAGAACGCAACATTCGCCTCAAAACACACTCCCATAATCCTTTGTGACGCACGGGGTCCCATGGCAGATGTCTAGAGATTCAATGATAGACGTTGACACCGAAAATATTTCTCAGGCACTTGATTGCACAGAAGGAGGAGATGAGGGGTGAGTTCTAACTCTAACTTTAACAGTAAAAGGGTAAGGAGTACAGAACCCTCTCCCCAAGCGCTTCTCAGCCAAGTACAGAAAAAGATAATAACTTCAATTGGGTGGAAAGCACTAGAGGAGATGGCTCTGGAGAAGTAAAAAATTGTTATCAGCTCCCCAACCCATGCCCTGCCTTCTTGGTTAAAATCAGACCACCACCTCACGCCCGTCTTTCTGCATGTTTGAGCCAGTTCTATATTTAAATACACAGTACTACTGCTATCTAGCTTGACACTTAGCTTTTGGCGCATATGTGTACATTTCTATATTGGGATGTATTGGAAGTACAAATAAAGTTACACTGGGTTAAGCGTGGACATGGATATTCAAACAAAGTTGTGATTATGTGCAGAATTGTAAGTATGAGGTTTTTGTGTGTGTGTTTTTAAATCGCTTTCAAATGTTTATATAAACAAACAATATTGGTTTCTTAGTGATGTTGTTATTGAATTAATCAGTGTTTATTCACCACAGCCATTGCTCTCTCTCTCTCTCTCAAAGATTTTGATCTGGGAGATCCGTGCGATATTTTTGGAAAAATATTTCTGGGCAAAGAAAAGGAGTGGTTGCTAGTTGTGTGAATTAGCAAGGTGTTGCTGTTTCTCATTAAATGCCCACAGCTTGATGTCTTCCATTAAAATATGCATTCACTTGAAAAAGAAAGAAAGAAAATAGGGCAAAGACATCAATTTTTATTTTTAGATGGCTCTTCCCATGCTCTTCCATAGATGCAGAGTTCTTGGCCCTGCCAGTATTGCCCAGAGATGGTATCTTCTTCCTAGGCTCTCCTTCTTCTCAGCTATCACAGGATCAGTTGATCTGTATTTCACAGCCTTGTTTATTGTGACCACAGGCTTTCCAGCAGATTATCAGAGAGACATTGATCCTCTTAACACCACTATGCATTGCTGTTGGTCTTCTTCTCTGGACTGAGGTCACAGTATGGAGCAGAGGGGTGGGACCTGTTTCTTGCAGTTTGGAATCTTCAGCTTTGAAATGTGTTTACTTGTCTTCAGCCCGTTTTGTTTTGCAATGTGTTCAGCAAATGTTCTTGCAGAAAGATATGCAGGCAGCTGTGAAACAGAAAGTCTTGTGCTGAAGTTCCTGGCATCTGTTGTGTCTTCCTCGGTAGCAGAATACTTTCTTCTAAGCCAAGCATTCATCCCTCCCTTTTACTCTTTGCAATTGATTCCTATTACATTGAGGGTGTTTAGAGACTGGCATTATCTTGAGGAAATGAAAGGTTCCAGGTTATGGAAATGTAAAGGCAGTTTATATATAAAAATATAGCGCTAGTACTTAGAGGCTTGACTTGAAGGCATTACATGAAATGTAGAACATGTGTGAATTCATTTTAATGAGTTGTCTGGAAAGAATGAAGATGATACATACATCATAAAAGTCTATCTAACTTACTGAAAAGCATAACACGTATAGAGCAGGAAATTAGTGATCTAATGGGTGAGCTTTGACTCACTGTTTTGGAATTACTGGATTAATACATAGGAATCACTGCACCAATAAAGTGGTACAAAGCAGAGTGAGAATGAAGAGTAGACAGGAAATAATGAAGCAAAGTCTCAATGGGATTAGAGATGGCAATAAAATTTTCTATGATCAAGGACTTCCACTCCACCAGGACTTCCTGCTCATGGAAGTTGCCGCTGTGATTTTTGCATGAAGATTATGCTTTTCCTCTCGTAAGTTAAGCAACAAATCAGGGTCAGTTGATCATGATAGTGTTCCCATAACTTGTTGAAGTTCACCTACCTTCTGAATTAAAATGAGAACCTCTTTTTGCTCTTACCCCTCAAAGAGGTTTGCTTTTAGAGTCTGGGAGAATTATTCACTCTCTCATGAGAAGCCGGCTTGCTGTATTTCTGCAGAAGCATATAAGTATAGAAGATTCCCCCTTCCCTTTTCTTCCTGACCTTATACTGTACTCAACACTAATGTCTCATAACAAATGTAACTGATCTGTAGAAAAGACTGTACAACTTGAAAAAAGAGACAAAGCGTGTACTTTTGTAAAGCAAGAAAATATTTTTAATAATAATAATAATAAATATAGAAGATTTGAAAGGAGGCAAACCCAGAGCTGGGACTTAGATATAGAACAGGCCACATCCTGTAAGAAAATGCAATTCCTCCGCTTTGGAAATGACCTTAAGGTCCATAAATAACCACACTTTGGAAGTCCTGGGCCCCAAGGATGTTAGATTGGCTTCAACCAGGGCCAGGGCCTTTTCAGCTCTGGCCTCGGCCTGGTAGAATGCCCTACCGCAGGAGATCAGGGCCCTGCAGGATTTGACATCTTTCCGCAGGGCCTGCAAGATGGAGCTGTTCCACCTGGCCTTTGGGCCGGACTCAGTTCAAACCCCCTCTCGTTGTTGTTTTTTTGATGGAACCCCTTATATGGGATTTGTATATAAATTTCCCCTCAGCTCTTTTTGCTGGCCCATGTAGGACCAGCATGGATAGTTGGCCCTGGTGAATATTTGCCGTTTTCTCCCCTTATGACTTTGATCTATTTGTTGTTTAGTCATTTAGTCGTGTCCGACTCTGTTTAGTTTTATTGGATTGTTATGGCTTTATTTTAGGATTGCATGTTGAATCGAGCACTCCTTGGAGCAGAATTGCAAGTAAATTTTTATTAAGTTAATAGTGCTGCCAGGAGACCCACAGCCCAGGCACTTGTGGACACCCACATAAGAAATCTGCAATGGGTGATGCACCCTTCCAGAAAGGCAGCTGCCATTGCCAACCCCCCCCCAAAAAAACCCCTGTACCATTCAGTTTTTCAAAATTTTATCTTGCAGATTTCCCAATTGTTTGGAGAGTGGCAGAAAAAGTATAATATGGATCATAAGTGCCAACTCCCTTGGTTCCCAAGCACCCACAAAACTCCCCATGAAGGGACCAGGCACCCACAAATTTCAGTGTCTGGGCAATGCACGCTGCATGGCACCCATGGCCCTGGGCAACTATTGTCCCGGGGCCAAGCTGACACTCCTGATAGCGATCATACTGCAAGGGAAGCAATGAAAGCAATGGATTCACACAGGAGGAGGGGAAAGTGGAGCGTTGCACCAAAGGCATTGCTCAGCAGCAGTTGTTGTTGTTGTTTAGTTGTTTAGTCATGTCCGACTCTTCGTGACCCCATGGACCAGAGCACGCCAGGCACTCCTATCTTCCACTGCCTCCCGCAGTTTGGTCAAACTCATGCTGGTAGCTTCGAGAACACTGCCCAACCATCTTGTCCTCTGTCGTCCCCTTCTCCTTGTGCCCTCCATTTTTCCCAACATCAGGGTCTTTTCCAGGGAGTCTTCTCTTCTCATGAGGTGGCCAAAGTATTGGAGTCTCAGCTTCACGATCTGTCCTTCCAGTGAGCACTCAGGGCTGATTTCCTTAAGAATGGATAGGCTTGATCTTCTTGCAGTCCATGGGACTCTCAAGAGTCTCCTCCAGCACAATAATTCAAAAGCATCAATTCTTCGGCGATCAGCCTTCTTTATGGTCCAGCTCTCACTTCCATACATCACTACTGGGAAAACCATAGCTTTAACTATACGGACCTTTGTTGGCAAGATGATGTCTCTGCTTTTTGATCTATAGGCTATCACTAAAATGAGGCTGCATTTTAAGCTGCATTTTAAACTGTATTCTAACTTATATTTTAATCAACTGCTTTTGGGGGTGGGGCTGTTTGTTTTTAATGTTTTTACTGTATTTATATTCAGTGTTAGCCACCCTGAGCGCGGTCTTGGCCGGGGAGGGCGAGGTATAAATAAAAAAATATTATTATTGTGGCCCACTTTCCCTAATTTTAATATATGGTTGTGTTTCCCTTTTCTTTCTTCCAGCCCTCCAGCATGCCATTGAATTAGCAGAACAAATTTCAGCATTTCCCCAGCTGTGCATGCGCACAGACAGAAATTCTGCTTACTATAGTGCGTTTGATGCCTCTTCCTTCACAGAAGCCATGCAGTTTGAGTTCGACACTGGAGTAAAGGTGGTATTAGAAGAATCTGTTCCTGGTGCTAACAAGTTCAGCTTGGGGCACGGGCGTGGTGGGGCAAAGTTGTAGCAGTTGCCTATAATGGCTCTTCGCTTTGAACGCCCACTTTATAATAGAAATAAATCTATGTTGCACTTGCAAAATAAGAAAAGCCACATGCAGTATATATGCATATCCCACTGAAATGCAGCCTTTAAAAATGTTTTATAGAAAATCCACACTTGAACTAATGCTAATGTGGGCTATATTTTTCAAAAATGTAAATGTAGCTAAGAATTGTCAGCTATTTGTATATTTAAGGCCTAAAATGGTCACAGAATCTCTGCAATTCTTACCCGGAAGTAAGTCCCATTGAACTCAATAGGATTTATTCTGAGCAGACAAATATAGGACTCCTCTATTAGTGTTTTTACATGTGCCCATGACAGTATGCGTTAATTATTGCTTCTGAGCGCGTGCACACACACACACACACACACACACACACACACATATATATATAGTTCTCTCATTTTCATCAAAAATGTTTCTTCCTATAAATACTTACATTTGTTGTTGACAAATTACTACTGATCCCTAACAAATATTGGTCACTAACGTGTATCTGAAACCCTAAGGAAATAGGTTCCAAAATAGTCAGTAAATGAAGCTGCAATCCTGTACTTAGTTGCCTGGTAGTTAAGTTCCAATGTTACTTTTTCCTGAGAACATCTGTATTGCGCTGGAAGTCTCTTTAGTTTAATAGTCCAAAGGTGGGCACTGCTGTTCTCGTATGTAAGCACATCGTCTTCAAATACAGTAGCTTCTGCGTTTGCTCCTCTAGGGAGGTGCTTCCCCTTGGTAAATTAAAGTGGTTGAAGAGCGTGCAAACACAGGGCCTTGATATGTGCACTTGGGTGCACCACAGTGCTGTACATGCCAGCAAGTGTGCTTTTTAAAGATTCAAGTATCTGTTATGTGGGCCAGGAATGAGTTATACAACTTTAATTACCTAGGACTCAGCTATACAGCTGCAAAGATAACGTTTTAAGTGTGTTTTAAGTGCATTATATAAATGTGACACTAGATGGCGCAGGTGGGCTAAGAATTAGATGATAGATAGATTAGATTAGATTTATGGTGTGTGTGTGTGTGTATAAAGCATTTTCACAGCATTTTTAAATATATGTGTAGATTCAGCCCTAGACCCGTCCTACCCAACTTGAAAATTGCCGAAGGTTTCGGCCACTTAAAATATTTTTCTGCCTCTTGTTGGACTTGCAATATTCAATGCTAGATGCTGTATGTTTTTTCATTGTTTTCCTTGATTCTTTTATTTCTTGCAATGTATTATATTGTCTTATTCCATGGGAAAAATTCCATTCTATTGTAATAAGTCCGTTGCAATTATTGAATTACATAGAGTTCAATTGGTAATGTAATAAAATACAACCTAAGAAATAAGAGAAGCAATAAAAATACAATTAAAAATCAAAACGGCCATATAATGTGGGCTTGCTGCGGGTCACCTGAATGAAGTTTGCTGTCCACTGGTGGTCCATGGACCACAGTTTGGGAACCTTTGTCCTGCTCATTAAAGCTGCCAGAGGAAATCTTCGTGATAGGGAACAGAGTTTGGCTATGCATTCAAAAGGCCAGATTGAAATCCTGAGGCAATAACGACACTAGGTGGTCTTGAAAAAGACATTTTTGCAATACAACCCTACATCATTGGGTTCTTATGTAGATGAAATAACTTCAATTATACCACCCTGAGCTCTTTGGAGGGAAGACGAGATTATAAGGTGACAGATAAATTATACATTTAAGTGCAGTGTTTTAGGTTTTTTTTCTCCCTGATAAATGCTTTTATATCTTAAATTCCTCTGGTGATGATTTCATGAGTGTATTTACAGCACATCACTGACAAAGAGGTGACACACCTTCTCAGTACTAGCACAGACAGTACCTTGGCTTTAGGGCAAGAATTTAAAGGAGCTAATTCCAAAAGCAAACTTGCCATTTTTCCTGTATGGAATCATTTCTAGAAAGCTGACTCTGGTTCGCCACCAGGTGTCCTTCATGAGTAGGAAAATATGATATTCTGTATTCTGCATTCATAACATTCTAAGAAAGGACAGTGAAAGGAAAGTTTGAGAGTGAGAGAGAGCAAATATTAGGAGGTGAAACATTCTTTTAATAGTATTGGTGTTTTAATTCTGTAGCCTGAGACCTCATGGAACACCTTTACGTTTTGTTCAGCAAGGAATAATTTTCTGTACTCTTAAAAAAAAAAAAACTTTAAAATTTCAAATGGAAAAATGTTCATTTTACATATATGTACGTATAAATTCACATTTCCTCTCATTAGTTCCTTGACAGTTGTAGAGCATCCAGAGGTTGTTGGTTTTTTAAAATTAAAGTAACATGACCTGAATCCAAATGGAAACATTGCAATATTGAGCTCTGACTCCCCAGGGTCATACTTCTCCAAATGTGCAAGTGTAAATAAGGTCTGGCTGAAGATATATTGGTTTGCCTCTAAGCAAATATTGCTCTGCCTCTTAATAAATGGGTATGCTCCATGCAGATTTGAAGGGTGCCCAGCTAAATGGGGACTAGGGAGAAAGCTGGGAGAAGGTGCCCCAAGTTATGTGCGTGACTTCTTTGAGGTCTGCAATACATTGGTTGGAAAAAAGCCAGCAAACCGCCTGGAGACATGCAACCTGCCCTCATGATGCCATGGAACTTGGACAGCAGAGAGCAGGATCCAGGGCCCATTCCTCACTGGCTAAGTAGTCATTTGGCTGGAGTACAGCATTCAGCCCGAGGCAATTGGTAGTGGAAGAAGCCATGCATTCAGTGTTGCGGGCCGAAGTCCGTGGAACTCCCTCCCAACTGAAATTAGACAGGCGCTCTTCAAGCTGAACTTCAGGAGCATGTCAAAAATTATCTTACTCCACCAGCCATTTTAAGGTAGCGTTCAGGTTTCTGTTTGGTTGCATGGTGGTTTTATTCTGTATGGTTTTATTTTACGTAAACTGCTTGGAAATGCTCGCAGTTAAACCATAATATAAAAAGGTAAAGGGACCCCTGACCATTAGGTCCAGTCGTGGCCGACTCTGGGGTTGTGGCGCTCATCTCGCTTTATTGGCCGAGGGAGCCGGCGTACAGCTTCTGGGTCATGTGGCCAGCATGACTAAGCCGCTTCTGGCGAACCAGAGCAGTGCACGGAAGCGCCGTTTACCTTCCCGCTGGAGCGGTACCTATTTATCTACTTGCACTTTGACGGGCTTTCGAACTGCTAGGTTGGCAGGAGCAGGGACCGAGCAACGGGAGCTCACTCCGTCACGGGGATTCGAACTGCCGACCTTCTGATCGGCAAGTCCTAGGCTCTGTGGTTTAACCCACAGCACGAATGATATGCATCCCTGTAAATAAAATAAAGAACTGGCCCTTTGGGTGCAGATTATCAAGAATATATTCGCAGAGCTTGGTTTCTGAATCCCCTTGTACTCATGGTGATACTTCCATCCCCCTTGACAGCTTGGGAGGGGAACATGGCCACAGAGGTGTGCAGGCAGGAAGTCCAGTGGCAGCTTTCAGCCAGGAGGAAGGCGGGGGGGGGAACGTTAAGGGAGGAGGACTGAGTGACCGAAGTAATGAGGAGCTGGCTGAGAAGAGGGGTGCACTGCGTTTGAACCCCCCCTCAAATGATCAGCTGTATTATGTGGAACAAGTTTCCTACCACGCTCCCACAGTTTTTGCCCCAGATGCTGTCATGTAAGCCTGAGTACCATAAGCTCAGAGGACGTTTTGTGTTCTTCCCCAGAGACCTCTCATTGGCTTCAGGGTAAAAAGACAACAACAAAGTTAACATTCCCAGGTCAACCCTAGGAGTGACTCAGGCTGTAGAACCAGAAAGTATGGGTAGAGAGAGGGAGAAGAGAGAGAATCTTACCCTTTGTGATGTTTTGTTGTGGGACCTCACCTGTAGCAATTAATTTTTAGTTATGCTAATATGTTATAGCCTATATATTTTACATATTTACATATTTTACATATTACATATTTTATATTTAGCAGTTTGAAAGCATGGGTGTAGCTGCCCACCAATCAATAAAAATCAGTAAAAATACTTAAATAACTGAGGTTCCGCACCCTAACATAAAGTCTCCCCCCCCCATAAATCGTGGCTACGCCCATGTTTCCCCATTCCTACCTTAAAGGTGAGCACATTAAAAAGAATTCTGTTTTTATAGGTGGAGAGAATCTTGTCTGAGCTGTAATGTTTCGGTTTGCCTTAGACAAGCCCGTGTTTCCCAGGCTCAGCGCTGGCCTTTCCCCATCTGTAACACGGGAGCTATAACAGTGCTGTGCCTTTGTGTGGTTGTAAAATCGCTGATAATACATTGGGCTGTGTGGTGGTTTTTTTGCAGCACTTAATTATGTAGTGCTCTAAGTAGTATTGTTTTTATTAAAACATGTAAAATTTAATACACAACCCACACTTTTTTTTTATAACTTGGATTGTTTGTCAGGCAAAACAAAAAGCAACTATGCCTGTTATCTTAAAGGATCTTTTGGAATGAACAAAGATTAACTGCTTAGTTTATAAAAAACAACAACAACAACCCTGTTCTAAGTTCATGGACTTCCTGTTAAAGTTACTCACAGGTTATTATACTTCCTGTTAACCACTCTCCTTGTGTAATAAGATACGTTGTTTTCGGTTTGAAGGCCTCCATAAATAAGTCGTGGAAGGGAGGAGGAAACACATGGGAGTATATAAACTTGCATCTGATCATCTGTGAACTTCTTTTCCATTACATGCTCGGCAGCCAGCAAGGGTACCCGTTCTTGTGACCCCTTTTCAAATGGACCTGGATCCTTAAGATCCATACAGATCCATTTAAAAAACACACTAGGTCACCGCCCCTATGTAAGTCAGTGTACAGACCTGGAAAGTTAGGACGGCTACGTGTGAAGGAGGACAGGGCTGCTCTGCCTTTCGATAGCTGTATAGATGAGGAGGGAATTTCAGCAGATGCAGCTTCTCTCTTGTAGCACTATGCTGTGAAGCAGCTATGTTGAATGTCCCATCGCTGCACATTTTGGGATGGTGAACTTAGGGCCCTCCCAGATTCTGTTTGGATCGCAACTCTCCTTAATTCCCGACCATGCTTGCTAGTACTTATGGGAGTCTGAGTCCACCATCTGGAGGGCCACATTTTTTTCCAACCCCTGCTTTAAAAGCCCAGCAGCTTTCATCTGTTGTAGCTGGTTAGTTACCCTGTTTGCAATGGACAATTCCAAACAAGACCCACTGAACTTAAGAGAATTTATTCTGAAAAGCTGCATTCATTAAGTCATTCACTCCAAAGCAGCTTCAAGTAAGAACCTTTGTACAATGTATGGCATAGGGTGGGAGGTTAAACTTGCTGTTAAAAAGGATGAGAGAATTTTTCAAGTTGTGATTATCAAGTTTTTTTATTTAAATAGAATCTATCTTGATCCAGATAAGTGTTTAGCTCAGCTGATACAGTATCAGGGAATAGGAATAATGGTGGATGAAGACAAGTTCATATCCTAAACCAAGGGTGGGGAAATCTGTGGCCTTTGAGATGTTGCTTGACTCCAGTTCTATTAGTCCCAGCCAGCACAGTCTATGGCTGAGGATAATCGGAGTTGTAGTCCAGTAGTATCAGGGTGGCGGGCAACAGGTTCCCCACCCCTGTGAAACTCTGGCTTCCATGGAGTTAGTGTGATCAGATTTTGTGGAAGCAAGACTTTGGAACAATTTCTAACGCAGTTCTCTAGTGAAAAGTGCCTTTTGCATATGTTTGGACTTTTTAGATAGGAGGTGTTTTATATTAGGGTGGGTTTTTTGTGGTTTCTTTCTTTAGAAAGGGTAGAATTTGTTACAGAACCTTGTTAATTTACATCAGTGGTGTGTGTTTTTTTAGTTTATGTCCCGCTCTTCCTACCAAAGGAGCTCAGGGTGGTGTTAAAACTTAATATCTATACTTGGCACCTGCTTTCTAAAGAAGAAGAAGAAGAAGAAGAGCTACTGTCCTGTGGAATAACAGGAAAAGAACTGATAATGGATATGACGACTGAGCCTGTAATGTGGTGGACATCTTCATTCTGAAACACAAGGCCAAGCAAATAAGGTTAGAATGGCTGCTGATCTAAATAGTTTCTAGGTGGATTTCCATATGCCCTCATTTCATAACAGAAAAGTCACGGGCATAAGCACACATGGATAGGGTGTAAATTATAATATTGTATGTGCCGTTACAAGGAGGCTTCCTTCTGATGATCTGGAGATGAAGAGGACCGTGCTGCTACTCCAACTCCACCTTGCATATTCTCCAGAGCACTGGTCTTCAGCTGGTGGTGGGACCCACTAGCAGGTCATGGCCTGATCCAAGGTGGGTCGCTTCAAGAGTGGAAATACATAGTAAAATATATATTTGACCATGCAGATATATAGTAAAATATTAATAAATTGGTCCCCAAATGCTTGTTTTGATTAAAAGTGGGTTCTGAAAAGGTTGGAAATACCTACTCTAGGTAACATTCCAGGCTCCCAAATGCCCTTTACTTGCTTGTGAACCTGAGATTAGACAAACTGTAAGCATAGGTGTGCATGTAGCTGAGATGTGCCTGCCTTCTTTGAGGCCATTACAGAAACCCATGCTAGGGCACCTGATTGTATCCTTCAGCACTATGTTTCTAGGTTTAAGGAATGAGGCTTCCATGGCCACACCTACAGTAGAAGAGGTTTTTTTTGCTTTAAATAGCTCTTTGAAATCTGGAAGTCTGCACAGAGTTGTTCAGTGGAGTTCGCCTAGCGGATTTTAGGCCAATACCACATGTGTTTCTTCAGAACTAAGCCATTATACTGAATAGGGAGGTACACAAAAGGAAAGCATGCACAGAATTAGCCTGTGCTTCAAGAATGGGATGGTATCTGAATAAGCTACCAATTCCTACACAGAACTTAACTTCTGTTCCAAATTATCTCTCTGCTTTTGCCTCCCTGATCTTTCCCCTCCACTGCTTCCTTTTTTCTCTCTTTCACCATAAGAAACATTAACAAACTTTTAATACCCTGCAGAAACCTCGCTAGGAAAAAATAAAATAAAAACCCTCTCGCCCACGTTCCGTCGAAGGCATTATTTTATTGCAGCTTTCTCCAAGCTGGTGCCCTACAGATGTTTCAAACAACAGCCTATAGTCAGGTATGATAGGAAACGCATGGTCCAAAACATCTGGATTTTATCCTGGAAGGGACTCCCTCCTTCCCCGCCCGCGCCAAACGCTTGAGAACCAATCTAATTCTTTAGCTCGGGGTCAGCAAGAAAACCAAATGCATTCCTCCCTCGTCCTTTGCACATGCATGTTTCCATTCCGGCAATGTCCTTTCTCTGTTTTAATCCTTATCCGCCT